GTCAGTTTCGAATCATCAGATCGCATGCGACCGGCAAACTTACAAAATCGGCCAAATGAACATGCCCCTCCGAGTCAAGTAGAATATTGTCCGGCTTGACATCTCGATGGATGATTCCCTGCGAGTGAATGTACCTCAGAGCGCAGCCCAGCTCAGCTATCCAGAATCTCACTGCCTCCTCCGTGAAACATTTCCGCGAGATGTGAAAGCGGAGGTCACCGCCATTCATCAAATCCACCACAATGTAACTTCTCAATTATCAGTGACTGCGGACGGATGATGGGGATGTCGTGCTGGGAGAGCTATTGCAGGACGCACATATATTCAATGTCTTGGAAGCTGTATCTCAAGTTGCAAAGGAAGGCATGGTTGAGGTGCTCGAGCATCCGCCGTTCACGGATGATATTTCGTACGCTTTCCGACCGGACAACTACCCAAGAAACGAGCATCTCATGTCAGCGTGCATTGAGGCCCCCGATCGGCAGTCACATACCTTCTTCCTTCCGAATATATTTCAGCGCGAACGTCAACCCGGTGTCTTTCTTCTCCACGATGCGAACCTTGCCGAACGCACCCTTGCCAACCACCCGCAACAAACGAAACTGGTTCAAGTTCACTGCGCCACTGTCAGCCCTCCGCCGCCTATTCTTGTCTGCCAACCCGATACGTACACTCATCGGTGGCGGCCACCTGTTTCCCTTGCGAGTTTCCCATTTAGACAGTTGTGTAACCACAGACGTTGGAAATGTTGTTCTCGGTCACCAATAGCAACATCCCACTGGAATCACGGTACTCTCGACGTTGGAAGATGGAATGCGAGGGGTGGGAGTCGAGAGAAATATCGCAGAGGCGAATCGAGAGAGGAGAGGGAGTGGTCGAGGGGGAGTAGGGGATGGGGGGCGAATTGATTGAGGGAGGTCGTAGGAGAGAAGGATAGGAACTTTATAGGCGATGAAGATGAGGTATGAACATGCAGACCTAGACAGAATGAGACAGGTGTTAGTTAGGAGGAAATAATTGCGGGAAGAGTGCAGAGGTCTATTGAGACGGGGGAACGTGGGCGGAGGGGCTCATTTTCCCGATTCGCAAAGGAGATAGATAGCAGCAGACTTTGGAAGGAGTGAAACATACCCCAATGAAGAGCGATGATGGCAGGAAGTAAAAGGGAAAAAAAGGTAGAGAGAGAGTTTTGGATGGAAGACAAGTACGAAAAGTCCCGACGAGGACAACCAAACGGAGGCCTGGTCGGGGGGGAAGCGAGAGAGAGAGAGAGCGCGAGAGCGTGAGAGGGAGAAGGGGGGCGGAAAAGAGCAAATGGAATATGGGATGGAATTCCGAGTAACAAGTAGTACTAGCAAGCAGCGGCAGCACAGCAGCAGCAGCAGCAGTAGCCAAAAGGTAAGAGACGAACGGGGGCAGCCCCTAAGACGGAGGAGATGATGAGTTAAGTTAGTTACTTTTCTGACCAGCAAGGCGGGCCGAAAGTAGTCGGTCGCCTGTACACTAAAACTACCGCGCAGAAAGGTTCCCTTACTCGCCCAGTTGGCTCTGCTGACGAAACCAACCAGGATGGGGCCCAGGGACTTTGCAAATGATAATGGTGATGGAGATTGAGGTGTGATGTTTTCTTTTTTTCTCTTCCCTTTAATTCTTGGGTTTTTCTCTACTTACCTTTTTTTTTCTTTTTAAGTTTTGTCTTGTTTTGCTTCTTCACGGTATTAGGTTTCGTTCTGGAACCCAGCCAGAAGGAATACGAAAATGCAGAAACCTCCAATGCAAACGGAAACAAGAGGAGGGAAAGGGGGAAAGGAAAATGTATGGAAGAGGAGAGAGAAAGCGAGACGAAGCGATAGAGGGAAGATGAGCTGTCCCCAATACGAGGCGTAATGGCCCAGATGACTGGATTAAACTATGGGGTTCAACAGGAGGGGTTCTTGGGTCGGCACTGGGTAAGCGAAGTCGAAAGTCTGGAGAAATCCAAGATGAAGCGATGGATGGAAAACCTTCGTGGCTTGGAACCGGCTACACGGTAAGACACGGTGTATATTTACAAGCTCTGACCAGTTTGAAAACTCTACCAAATAGACTTATCTTGAATAGCAAGAAGAGATGTGGAAGGGGATAATATTATGGAACAAAAAAAAGAGAGAGAAATGGCGGCGGTGAGGAAATGGATTAGGGTATACGGAGTGGAGGATACTTAATTACTACCAACTAATAGAAAAAGAAATAATAATTTATAAACAAGAAAAAAGTAAAAATAAGAACTACTCAAAAAAATTTACCCAAGTGAAGATACTTCCTACTCCTACTAATCCATCACTTAGTTAATGGGATGGAGTTATTCTGGATGGAGACTACAGAAAAGGGGATGGTTTAAACCCAGGAGAAGTGCCGCTTGGGCCCACGAGGGAAAGGCGCGCCGGCAAGTGGGAGAGAGATACGGAGTCGCAAGGGCGAAATGCGAATGGGAGACGGCCTGGATGGAGCAAGTCAAGCAGAAAAGACTGGGCCTGCGGTGGAGAGCAGCAGCTTCACTAACTAAGTTAAAACTAGAAGTGGTGGACGCCGTGGGTGACATGGCCAGAAGGGATGATGCGCCGAAGAGGTCTGGAAAATCTGCACCTGCAGGCAAGCAGATGGAGTGCTGTACTATCTATCTCCCCTGATGCAGCAATAGTTTGGGTTTGCCAGCCTTGTCGGTCGTACTTTTTATTATAATTTTCTTAATTTTATTATTTTTTTCTAAAAAATTTACCAACATACCAGAACTCTACTAAACCTGCACCAGGCAAGGAACATCCATCGAAGCACCTTGTTTCCTTCCCCACTGCTGCCGACCGAGAGTTTTGCTTTTCCCTTAAATCCCCTGTGCGCCTCTTTGCTTCTTCCTTTGCTTGTTCTTTGTCTCTTCTCCGCCTCTTCCAAACTTTCTTCCCGCCAATAATACCATCTGTCTGGTATTTGGTCTTTTCTCTCTAATTTCTTTCTCTCCCACCGCCATCCTTTCCGCCTCGTGCTTTAAACCCCCATCCCAATCTGAATGGCCCCTACATGCCAGCCGAGTGGCCCCAGAACTAGTATTCCTCTGACTACATAGTAGTACCTCTGGCCTGGCCCATGTCAGACCTCCTTGAAACCCTTTCTGAGGTTGTGCGTGGCTATCGCTCGTGGCCGCCACGTTTTTGATTGACCGACCGCGCGACCACTTGGCCAGTCATACCAATGGGAATGCGCTGCCCAGCCTTGGTGCTGATGAAGTGGCGGTTGGGGCCAGAATCATCACACACTTCCTGCACCATTCAAATTGCCCATACGGGTTTCGCCGGGAGGGGTCCTATCTGGTCTGGACAGGCCTCAAGCCTCTCTGTTTTCTTATCCTCTCACCTGCCAGAGTCAGATGTCCCCTATATTTCACACGAACTACGAATAACCCGCAGATCATCTGGGCTGGTTTGACTCTCACGCTAGTTGCATCTTCATCCCGGTCTGGCGTTTCAGGTCGCCGTGGCCTGGGCGCCTGCATCGACATGATCCCGGTCAGCGTAAAAGCAACCAGGGTGTTGCACTCTATCTGCTTGTGCCACGCCGCCCACGCTGGCCAATCCACTATCCCATCTTCCCCTCATGCCTGCACTAAGGTTCTGCAGCAATTATAACGACTGCCATCGTCACCTCGTATCCTTCGGAAAGCAACTTGATGCATCAAAAAGCTTCACTTCCTCCCCAGAAGCAGGAGTCCAATATATTGGCTTCCCAACCTGCTGATGCTTATTGATTAATCCCACCGCACGATCATCCACTTAGCGGGGCGGGTCCGACCCCCAAATCCTTTTTAGCCCAGAGATTTGGTGGACCCGGCCGCCCATCCCATCCAGCTTCGTCTCGCCAACGGTGCTGATCTTCTGGATCTAGACAATTTTGAGCTTAGACTTGGCTGCGTAGGCTCCCGACACCAAACTTAGCTTTCCCCCTACTCCGTCTCGGCATGGTGCATCCTCGCCCGTAGTCCGCTTTCAGGATGCCACGGTCATATTCGGTATGTTCAAAGCTAGGACAGCTGCCGGATGTCTTCCCCGGTGCTATAGTTAGATTTGCCCTGGCCCTAGCCGATATTCTTCTTCCTTACACGCGCTCGATACGGGGTACATGTGGATGCAAAAAATAGGAGCAAAAAGATATGACAAGAGTGGGACTCGAACCCACGCCTCTTTCGAGACTGCAATTCATCCAGTTGAACTGGACAAGCTATTCACTTGAGTGCAGCGCCTTAGACCACTCGGCCATCTTGCCTTGATGACTAACTCAATAGTTTTACGACATAATACTGCAGGGAAGTAAAATCAAGGCGAATGGACCTGTCATATCTCGGAAGTCAAGATACAGTTTTGTTATCTCGACCTGTCAGTTCCGCAAGGTGCCTCAGCACTGATAGTTTTCTCCGCGATCAACCTTACTGTAAAACGGTATCGTTTATTCAGAAAGTCACGAGGTTATTTGTGTACGTGGGAGTAGAATGTGATAGTCGCCCTGCTTCTGCCCGTGAAGATGAGCAATTCCCCACCCACATTTCATCTACAACTGCACTGGATACACAACATCACTTGGACCCGGCCTACAGTATAGTGTTATTCAAGAGTCAAACTAATAAGACTATTGCTTACTGCATGCGCTGTTCATCCACCCATACGCTGTGGTGGTGGATATGAAACCGTGTATTTCTATGGTAGCCCACATATAATAAAGTACGGGCATGTATATTAAATTTTTCAAATCCAGCATACTACTGTCCACCTAACAGCACCATCGTATGATCGAGTGGATATAAACGAAAGAATCAATCAACGAGCAAATACCACCATCTATAGATTGCATAACCCCCAAAATACCCTCCAAACCCATAGTACAAAACCAACACAGCAGATCTCCATCCATACTAACACCCCTCCACACCCTACCCCCAATAACATACCAACAATGCAAACCAATCCATATCAACAGGCAAGATGGCCGAGTGGTCTAAGGCGCTGCACTCAAGTGAAATATCTTGTCCAGCAACAGCTGGATAGCATTGCAGTCTCGAAAGAGGCGTGGGTTCGAGTCCCACTCTTGTCATAATCTTTTTTATTGATTTTCATATTCATCATTTCTTTGATCACATGTCCATCCCCCGCAACCAGCCCCACCTCAACCCTCTCTTGATCCGAACTTTCGGAAAAACAAGGTACTGAATAGGCAAGATGGCCGAGTGGTTTAAGGCGTCGCACTTAAGTCGTTGGACTTCCAGCTTTGGTTTAATAGACTAGACTGGTGCTTTGTTTAGCGGAAATGCGATCTCGTAAGAGGCGCGGGTTCGAACCCCGTTCTTGCCATTTTCTTTTTCTCTTTTTTTTTTCACCCCTCCCCCCACTAGGAAGGAAGGAAGGATGAGGGATGGATGATTGACTACTTGGTAGTTCGATCATGATCATTTCTGGTTTGAATACATATCTATCCGTATAATTTATCCTTCTTCTTCTTCTTCTTCTTCTTCTTCTTCTATTTCTTTATCCCCATCGTTATATTATGTTATTTATCACTACTATCGTCAAAGCCTACATATGACGAGACGTCAAAAGATTTATCGGCCATTGATCTATTAGTGGTGAACGTCACCATCTCCCAGTAGTAGGTGAACACCAAGAAAGTAATAGATGAATCTATATATTATAGTTCCCTAATACTGCCTATTCCAGTCCCTTTCCCCGACTAGATGTGGACCATCCGGATGGATTCAGTCTAAGCTCGTGGGGATGTCATGCAGGGATCGTTCGGGGTGAAATGGATAGGGGTCATAATGTGCAGTATTATTGATCTATTGTATTAATATGGTTATTATCTATGTCTTTGCGTCTTAGTACTGGTGTTTATAGTTCGGTCTGTGAGGTGTGTTTTAAGTTGGATCATAGTATGGGATGTATGGGTGGGGCGGGCTGTCAATAATATATATTCGCTCCGCGGTTGGAATTAAATAGCAATATTAACCGGCACTGAAGATCGATAGAAACTTACTACTTGCATAACCCCCCAAAGCATATGGTACTATTAATGGTTTTTATAGAAGATGCGATATATAATGATATATAGACAGATGATCTCTTTGGTAAATTTTAAAGAAGGACGTTTACCAACAAATTTTATATAACTATAATGTAACTGATAGCAACTTTTCATGAGGGTAGATAACTTCAAATAGCCATTAGCTGTCTTTGTTATACCTTCCTCATGCAGTTCCTGGACAGTACTACTACTGCCAATGAATGCTCATTGTATGCCAATATCAAACTTTTTTCGTGCTATCAAACCAACTGCGTAGATATATACGTAGAAATGAAATTAAACAACCAACTCCCCACCCATAACCCGCACCGCACTTCCCCTCAACTCCACCGTCTCAATCTTCTTCTCACCACCAGCACTCTTCGTACTAACAGCAACACTGATATCCGATCTCCTCCCCATCTCCACCCCCTGCACAATATCGTACTCGACCTTGCCCTCACCAGCATTAGTCAAAGCCAAATAGCTCGACAGACCACTCGCCGCACTGCCCGTCGCCGGGTCCTCAAAGTTCCTCAACAGCATTCTCGACCGAATGACCTTCTTCCCGGTCGCCTCATCATAAACCCCAGGAACATAGAAGTACACCACAATAAGACCAGCCCCTTCCCACCCTTCATCAAGGTAACCGCCTTGCGAGACAGATTTGCAGGGGATGACTTCCCCGCTCACGGGGGCTTCCGTGGCAGCTAGCGCCTCCAAACTGGGCAATTCAACCAAGACCTGGCTCATGCCTTTGACGATGGAGAAGACGGGGAAGCTAGCATTCTTCTCGGTAGAGAGGAAAGGAGTCAGAGAAGGATGCAATCTCAGCATCTCTGACAGCGGGAACCGCGATGAGTGAATGTGCACGTTGTGTGCGATCTGAGCGGCCACTACGCCGCCATCTGATGAAGGCGACACACGGGAAATGGCGAATGGACCGGCTTTCGTGAGAAGCGTCGTGACATCTTTCCTGTCGGACTCTTCCGGGGAATGCTGCAGGAACCAGGAGACTGCGCCGATGGTGGGGTGGCCGGCGAAGGGGAGTTCTTCGTCTGTGGTAAAGATGTCGATTTTGCGGACAGAGGGAGTGGCGGGATCAGTGGGATGGATGAAGATGGTTTCAGAGAGGTTGAATTCGCGGGCGATGCTTTGTTTTTGGGTTTGTGTGATGGTGTTGTTGGTAGGGAGGAAGACCACGCCCAGCGGGTTGCCGGAGTAGGGGGTGGTGGTGAAGACGTCGAGGGTGAGGAAGCGGAGGGATTGAGACATTTTGATTATTGATACTACTTATTCAATCGTGGTAGACGTGAATCCTTTTCAAGGGTTGAGAAATGGATGGGATCATGGACGGTTCCGAAGTATAGATATAGCTGGGAGGGGAAAAATGTATGAGTCATGACGTGAAGGGATTGGATCAGGCGATGGTGGGGAATCTCCACGCCCTCCGAATAGCATGCGGATATCCCAGGAACCATACTTCTCCAGCTCGGTTAGAAGTGATGGCTCCACTAGAGGCTGCAAAATGCCGGCACTTGTGGATGGGGTTTGATTTGACAGTTTGGATGCCAGAAACTTCTTTCGGTGTGCGGCATATTCTCCCCGGTGCTTGCACGTGGAATGCAAACCACAACGTCGGTTGGTCGGGGCTTCTAGACTACTGGTGCGATGCATGTTATGCTTGGAATGCAGTGCCAGATGATCGCATCTTAATTGTATCTCCTGTAGCGACCTGCATAGAGCCCGTGTGAATCAGCAATTTAAAATGCAGGCGCTACTTCCATTAGGAATGCTGCAATGTGCCCCACGACGCAGACATGAATCTCTAATACCAACTAAGCATCTAGACTCATGATTTAGTTTTCAGCTCAGAGACTACCGCAGGGTAGAGTCCCTTGCTTTTCGCAGGTCCAGGGAATTGCGCGACCACGTGTCTCTTGAACCATTGCTCGTCCTAAGCAAGGGGAAGTCTGTGGGTGGCATACGCTAAACACCCGGCACCATCGATTGACCCACCAGACGAGCTTATTCCAGTAGTCTGATCTTGCTAGATCAGCTGCAGAAGAGTGAAACCAGACTAGTAACTGAATTTGGGATTGGATGGCTGCCTAGCCCAACTTTGAACTTCTCGAGTAATGTGGGAGATGCATCATAGCAAGAGGGCCTTGTAGCGCCGCCTAGCATTACCAGTGCCCCAGGAATGCATAATTGCTTCTGTTGCGCCCGAGTAGTCTAGGTGTACAACACAGAATTTAGTGCTCACATGGCTCGGGCAACGGTAATGTTGGTTAAGAAGGGAGGGTGAAGGAAGTAATTCGTTGACTGCCATGCCTATGTTTTAATCGAGCAATCGAGACTTTTCACAAGAAAATGTACTACACAGCAGAAGTTACAAATAGTTGCTGAGATACACGGGCTATTCGGTGAGAAGTGTAGTTGATTTCCTATTTGAGTAGGCGAGAGGTAGTTTAACTATGTAATTGCTCCAACACGTTGACAAGCTGGCCTGCCTAAATAGCTCTTTAGTAAATAACCTGCCTAACTAGTTCGTTTCAGAAGCACAAATCTCATGCTTAGTTGCCTGTTGTGCATGAGTCAGCATCACAGCCCCATGCCGAGATAGCGTTGGTGACGAAGTATCGTCGAAGAGGCACAAAGGCAGGCTGTGCGATAGTACACTGCTAAGGAAGACGTCAGAAGAAGCAAGATACATTTGTTTCAGGTCTAGGTTTGCCACGAACACACGTAAGGAGGCGGGAGAGGATACTGCATGACTCTGATAAGCTGAGCCACGGCTGTTGTCGAACCTGAGCGGGACCGACACGTTGTTCGATCAAATTTCTGATGTCATTTGCGACATAATCTATTTGGATTCTGGCCACTCACTGCAAAGTCTGTTATCTCGAGAATTTCGCATCAGATCCCAAACAAGTAGGCACTGGGATGATGTTGGTTGGACAGCCAAGACTCCACTTCAATTGCAGAATATGTAAGGGATGATATAAGTAGGTGCGGTTCGTATTCGTCGTCGAAGGCTCAAGAAGACGCTCACTGAAGCAGAGCCAAGTATAACCAACAAGGCTTGTCAAATGCTTTGTGGCGACCAAGCAAGCCGTGGGGATCGACGCGGCTCCTGGTCCATCTTATGTACATATACGAGAGGGAGTTTGCGGTCTGACGGCCTGCAGTGGCTCAGTTGTATCAGAATGGCGCAGAGGATGACTCTACTTGCGGGCCAGAGAGGAATGTGTTTCGCGTGGGAGACAGTGCGATCTGGTTTGTTGTGAGGGGAACCTGATCGGCATGGTCATATCTAACTGGATTGTCATATTCTGCAGGCTACACTGCTCGCTTAGCTCAGAGTACGGCTCAGGGCGTTGATCCCGTCTAGATTACGACCAGCAAAGTTAGGTTAGAGGATGGGATGAAGTGTGAAGAATAGTGAGAGACTGGGTTAGCCCCAAGAAGGTAGACGGGTGGAATGACGGAAGAATCCTCCAGTAGCCCTGAACTGCTGGACACGAGGAAAGTAAATCGAGATACTGTGATGCTAAACAGAAGTAGAAGGTGGCAAGGTGCTGATCGTTCGATCTGACACGCTACCCCACCCAACAGACTCGGATTTCGTCCCATCCTGTTGCGGGTAGGGATCATCAAGGCTCCACTTGGTAGCAGGTTGAAGATAGCCACGGATTCTGGCATTCCTTCGTCGGAGAGTGATGACCTCCGATGCCTCGGGATAGATTCCGCTTGATCTAACATCGGCGTTAAATCCCGGAAAACGCCATCGTAGAAGCTTTGAAATGTCCGAAATGATTCTTAGTCTAGCAGTTAGTTGAAGTGAATGGAGAGGTAATATCTACCGTCTTCATTATAGGGAGTTTCTAGGGATAGCGACCGACCACGCAGTACTATGGTGGTAGGAGAATCGATCGAGATCGCCCGGTCACACGTGGTCGCAGCGCCACGAGCAAAGCGATAAGATCATGGTCTGGTGGAGGAACCTAGTAGGTAACAGTTTCGCAACCTCTAACCGGACTGGTAGGGCGACCACTCAGGCCGATCTTGCCTGTGCTTGGTCTGCCCACGCGAAGAACATTGTAGATGACTGCTAAATTAGGGCGGGACTGAACCACGCCAGAAAATGTTGGCTGGAGGAGGGTGAAAGAGGGGAAGAAGGAAGGGGGTGGGGACTTGCAGCCGAGCAATAACCGAATCATATTTGTTGCGAGGGGAGGAAGGTATCTTGAGTTCGAATCTGACCACAATAGCGGGCAAAAAAGGTTCAGAGTGTTTCAGCGGGATGGGGGAGCAAGAAGCACCGCGACCAGCACAAGGCCGATGGAAGCAGGATTGCGATGGGGGCCAGAATGGGTGCATATGCCCGGGTGGGCTTAGCATCCACCAGCCATGACCTGCGGGCTTGCTGACAGTCCAGTGCGGAGATCCCCCATTGTCGTTTCGTATTCCTTCTGATTCATCGCAACAGGAATTAGAAGGATCTGGCCTGCCTGGGAGGATTGCGTCGAATATGCTGCAGCATACTACTTACTAACTTACTTGTCCACAACCCCTGTCGTTCGTTTCCTTGCGTCTAGCGGATGACCGGATCCAGCTTATTATCATCATCTCTTGCCGCCGAACAAATAAGAGATACTTCTTCCATCGTCATCGCATTCCTTCCGACGTTGAAGATTCAACATCATCATCTATCTACAAAGAGAAACGAGAAACAATAAAAAGAGTGAAAAAGCGACAAACACAGACAGACAAAAGAAGAAAGAGAGAGAAATACAGAGTCAGCTCAAACATCGTGATGGAACAGCGCAGTTCCCCGGCCAGATCGCTACCCCCGCGAAAAACCACCACGACCCCCCAGCTCAGTTGCGAACTCTGTCGCAAGCGCAAGGTCAAGTGCGACAAGCTCACCCCATGTACCAACTGTGCAGCCTCGGGAACGGTCTGTGTTCCCATCTATCGCACACGACTGCCCCGAGGCCGACATGCCACTCGTCCGCGTCGAGTGTCATCACCTCCGCCCACATCAGCTCCCGGGGACACCGATCGGATGATCCAGCCCACGGTTCCCGTCAATGAGGATCTCCAGGAACGAATACACCGACTAGAAGCTCTCATCCAGGGGATGAGCTCCCACTCCCATACTCGAACTCCATCCGCAACTTCGCGGGAACAGGTGGGCTAAACCCCTGCTCTTTCAGCCTCGCGGAATGCTGACCTCGGCAATGACCAGTCCGTCCAATTATCCGACACTTCCACATTCCAAACGGCTCCTAATCCTAATACTTCCCCCATCCTAAATAGTTCTATTGTTTCCAAACGTCTCATGTTACAACGGCCCGATCAGTTCTGGGCCGACTTGGTGGATGAAGTAGGTCTGCCAACCTGGACCAGGAAGGAAAGAATGCTGACGCGGACACATGCAGATTCACGGACTCCGCGATGTGGTCGAATCATCACTGGCCGGAGGACAAGAAGGCCCCATCCCTTCCTCCGACTCAGCCAAGACCGAGCCACCCAATGATGACGGAATCCAGGTTCTTGGCCTCGGGGCTAGCAATCCTTCTGCAGCCCTACGCTCCATGAGTCCGCTGCATAATCCGATGGTCGCTCGTCAGCTCTGTGAAGTGTACCTCCAACAAGTCGACCCGGTGATCAAGATCCTCCATCGCCCGTCGCTGAACCGATGGATGGTTCAGGGTGAAACCTATCTGGCGTACGCCGATGGTCACCCCTCGGTAGAAGCACTGGGTTCCGCCGTCTGCTACTCGGCTATTAGCAGCATGACGGAAAACCAGTGCTCAGTAATGTTTCATGCCAGCAAGGCAGATTTGTTGGCTGAGTCTCGTGTGGCCTGTGAGACGGCTATTGGCCGTGCGGGTTTGCTCACCAGCCGCGATATTACCGTTCTGCAAGCGTTCATTTTGTATCTGGTATGAACTGGACTTGACCAAAAAGAAGCGATATCAGACTGACTTTCTCTAGGTAGCTAGGAGATCGGAAGATCGCACCCCAGCTGTTTGGACTCTGATCGCTCTGGCTGTACGAATCGGAAAAGGCCTCGGTCTTTATTTAGATCCTGAGACAGAGACCTTTTTTGATCAGCAGATGCGGAGGCGTCTGTGGTTTACCATTTGCCTGATGGATTTGCAGGCCTCATTCGGTCAGGCATCCGAGCCACTTATCAGCGTCGACGAGTCGGCATCCACAGCTCTTCCTCACCACATCAATGACTCGGACTTTGATCCGACCACGGCTGCACCTTGTGACCCCAACCGGGAGGGTCTGACAGACACGACCTTTGCGCTGGTTACCTACCATGCACAGCGGACGGGTCGTCTTCTCAACTTTGCTCAACACGATCGCAAGGTCGACGGGGGCATTTCAACTCCCGCATCCTCTACCTCCGGCACTTCAACATCCCGCACCCGCACATGCGACCCCAATTGGCCGCAGCAGCAAGCCCGGCACTTCGAACAAGAAGCACTGCGACTTCTCCATTTCTGTGACCCCGGCACCTCTGCGTACGCGTGGTTCACCTGGCACGGCACGCAGAGTTTAATCGCGACGGTACGACTGGCAGCCGCGCGACCGCTTCAGTGGCACGGACGAGCACCGCCGCCTCGCCGCGAGGGAAACACCGAACTGCTGCGTCTCTGTCTTCCCGTGCTGGAGAAAGCGCAGCTCATGCACACGGATCCCCGCGCCGAAGGCTTCCGCTGGTACGTGACAATTCCCTGGTACGCGCTGGCGATGGCTTTGGCGGAGTGCTATGTGAGCAGCGACACTGCCCTGGTGCGGTACGCCTGGCCGCTGCTCGAGTCGTCGTACGTGCAGCATGAGGCGACGCTGGGACGGTCTCTCGGCGGCCCGTTCGGGCAACTCATGCGGCGTATGAGAGAGAAACTGGCGGCACCAGCCGTACTCCCACCGAGCAGTCTCCCTAGCACCAACTGGAGCCCAGCCACTCCGCCAACCTTCCCGGGCGTGCCTCGGCCGCAGAGCAGTAATGATGATCGACATGTGTCCGGTTGCTCTTGGCCGGTACCCACCGGATCCACCCCGCCCGCGGATCTGGGGATGCCGTCCCTTCTTCCGGTATCTACCTGGGAGGCGCTCTCGCCGCCGTCGTTGGACAACGCTTCTCTCTTCGGGGTACCTCCAACGACGACGGCGGTAGCGGACGGGATGGATCCGGGGGCGGATATGATGTGGGAGGAGCTGTTCTCGGGGATTCCGTTCAATGAGATCGCGGGGCCGGATATGTTCTTTTTCGATATGAACTGGGGGAGTTAATAGTGGCTGGTGGCTTATTTAGTGCTGTATTGCTAGTAACGATGATATGATTGTGATCGAAGCGAGAATCTAAATCTAGACACACTTGGCGATTCCTTTCGGACAAGACATGTACCTGTTTAGTAGTTGTGGGTGGAGGGGTTAAAACCCGCAAAAGACGATTAAAAGCCGATGCCAGTGCTTAACTACTTATAATTCTCCCTAGTGTTGATGATACAGTAAGCAAATCGTTCAATTCTGAAACGAAACCAAGTACTAGATGATCTTCTAAGCCTAACACAGCAATAGATCCCCATGTATTTACCACCAATATCCCCTAACACCCACCTCTCCCTCTATCCCTCCCCTCCCCTACCACATCCCCACCCTCAAGCACTAAACTAGTAGCCAGTACTCAAACCCCACTAAGCATCAAAAATTGGCCTCTTAGCCCTAAAAACAAAAACACTCCCAACAACCCAAGTCTGCACCTCCCAAAAATTCTCCCTGAGGGCCTTCTCAAACTCAAACGCATTATCCTCCTCATTATGAAACACCCCATGATTCAAACACCCACGTCGAATAATCGCCGCAAACCAATTATCCTTCCTGACCCCCTTACCCAGGACATTCGCACCATGGACCACCCCGTCCTCCGTCATGTATTTCTTGATGTGCGTGAAGATCTTGCATTTGCTGGCCATGGGGACGGGCAGGCAGTGCAGGAGGTAGTACATTGAGACGGAGTCGAACTTTTGTTTTTCGTTGGTGGAGTAGGATTCTGGGAAGGGGGAGGGTTGCAGGATGTCGGTGACTATGCCGTGCGTTTGGGTGGAGGGGTGTTTGCAGCGCGCGAGGGCGACGTTGAGTGCGTGTGTTTCATTGTCCACGATTGTGAGGGTCGTGCTGGATGGGATCTGCGCTTGGTTGAGATAGTAGCCGGTGCCGGCGCCGATGTCCAGGTGGTTTTTGCCCACGTTGGATCGGAATAAGGGGATTAGGTAGGTGCTGATTCGGCAACCCCAGGCGAGGGTGCTCACGATTCCGAGAACCCAGATGTCGTAGATGAAGAGGCGCCAGGGGGTGTAGATTTGTTCTTGTTCTTGGGGTTGGGGTTTGGGTGGGGTGGAGGAGGTTGTTGTGGTTGTGGTAGTTGAGGACATTTTAAACTTATTGATTGAAGTGATGAGTTATGCTTGTTGTCTGAGGTTTGTCTTGTGATGATGGTGAGGTTGTTCGTGGCGGAGAGACATTTTATAGTATCTTCGGAGTGTATACAGTGTCAGATCGGACAGGACTTCGGAAAACGTCAAAGACGCATTTGCATGCCACATGGACATGAAACAGACGCAGAATCAGGAATTAAGTTAGAAGCCGACGCAAAATTGAACGGACACCTAATGGTTTACTCCGACCGGCTTTTGATACTGTCATGATCGGATTCCCATCGTGGGGGCCAAACGCATCTAGTCAGACTATACACCGAGAGTATACTATTCCGTCCGGCAGAGATTAAGGGCAATTGATAAAATAGAGCAAGTCATGAGGAGTAGAATCATAACAACACATTGCCTATACTCTACTGATCGAAGACAATGACCTCTCCTATCCTCATCATCGGCGCCGGCCTCTCCGGCCTCACAGTCTCCCGCATTCTCACCAACGCCTCCATCCCCAACATCGTCTTCGAGGCCTCCGCCCCCGACCGTACCCAAGGCTACGCTATCAGCCTCCGCGAATGGGGCTACACCTCCCTTCTCACAGCCCTGGGCGACCTGCCCCTCCGCAGTCTCACCCGGGGCGTTGCCCCGGACCGCATCCTCGGCGGAACCGGCTGGATCGACCAAGCCCTCCGGGACAATCATACCGGAAACCTGCTAGTCGCTCCAGACCCCGAAGCCAAGCAATGCATCGTGCGGGCGAACCGCAATGCCCTCCGCACCTGGATCGCCGATAGTGGCGACGAGGAAGTGGACATCCGCTACGGCCACCGTCTGCGCAGCGTGCAGGGCTCAATGGGCAACGTGACGGCCACTTTCGAGAACGGCGCAAAGTACCAGGGCTCACTTGTCATCGCAGCTGATGGCGTGCACTCTACCGTGCGCTCGCAGACCCTGCCCCATGTGAGCCCGGATATTGTGCCCGTGGTGGTGTATCATGGCGAATTGGAACTCCCCCGCAAGGAATTCGATAATCTTATCCGTCCGCACTCCGGACCGTCGAATATCCTAGCTGGTGTGGGCGATGGGTTTAATACACCTATCACTGTGTGTAATATCACCCCAACGCATGTCCATCTCGATTGGTCGTATTCGAGACCGAGTATAGCCGATAAGAATACCGAGGATCCCCTCTATCGGCCTCATGTCTCTGCTGCCGAGGCTAAGCAGATTCCTCCGGCACTGTTGGAGGAAATTGCGTCTCGGGATCTGGCGAGGCCGTGGTCGCAACTGCTTAATGCTGAGGCTTTGCCGACTCATCGGGTGTTCAACTGGGTGAGCCGATGTGTGTCGGTGACGAGGGAGGATGTGAATGCTGCGCAGAAGCAGGGGGTGGTGTTTATTGGGGACTCGTGGCATGCGATGCCGATCTTCGGGGGTGAAGGTGGTAATCATGCCCTGGTGGATGCGGTGGAGTTGGCGGAAGCGCTCACGGGTAAGGAAGGGGAATTGAATGTTGCTGTGACGGGGTACTATGATCGCGCGTGGAGACGCTGTCAGGAGGCTGTCAGACGGTCCCGACAGAGGTTCTTCCAGTTGCATCGGCCGATGAGGGAGTGGATGGAGATTGCGGAAAAGAAGAAGATGATGGCTGCTCTGAAGGAAGTGGAGGCTCATTGATTAGCAGCTGTATCTGGTGTGCTGGGAGTTATGTCTTAATATTGAGATAGTTTCATTGGCTATTCATTCAGTTTCGAGTTGATTGTATGCAGTGAATTCTTAGCTTGTGGGGTAAATCATCAGGTGTTTGCTATATTTAATAAAATACAAGGGTTGTCAATACTATGTTCGGTCATCAACTATAATAGGAACAACTGTTCTAGTAACGAACGTAGGCTTATGAATCTGATATTCGAATCATGTCATGAACAGGAACCATGGACTTTGCTTGCGACATATTGGTCATGAAATGAGAGTAAGTGACGGTTTAATTATTACTGAGCATTGGTTTAGCTGTTCAAACTGAAGGACTATATTCAGCAAAACTGGTATGAACAAGAACAGCAACTACATAAAAACAGAGTTTTGGAATGAATCTACAGCCTCACGGCAGCTGCAGCTGGCTGCCCAACCGCAAACCAGCGTCTTTGACTTGGTTCTCCCTCAAACCCAACCTTCCGATCCTCCGCCAACTTCCACAAAACCTGACTCAAGAACGGCGTCAAAGCCTGCTCAATCTCATCTGGAATTCCTCCATACATAGAGTTAATAAGCTCCGGGAACGTTAGAGCGCCGGCACGACGCCCTCCCCCGGTCGCTGCCATCCTCGCCCGACTTCTCTCCAACGCGGCCAGTACCTGCCGCATCCTCGACTCTTTATGCTGGATATATTCCTTCATTTTAGCGGGAAGATCCTCGATGCGTGTCCCATGCGCTGGATACCCGAGCGCGCAATTGAGGTCCGCCATGCGTGACAGGCTGGTCATATACGTGCCTAAATCTTCCACGACGGAGTATCCGTGTCCCAGCACATTGTCCCCGGTGAAGAGGGCGTTCTCTTCCTCCAAGAGGAAGCACATGTGATCGAAGGCATGACCAGGAGTAAAGATAGCGCGGATAGTTGCGCCCTCTACTTGGAACTTTTGGCCATCGTGGATGGCTTGTTGGCCGAGATCGGGGGTGTTTTTGTATACCCGAGAGGACAGTTCGGGGTTGTAGCTGATGAGGTCGGGGACTCCGCCGGTGTGATCGCCGTGCCAATGAGTGAGCAGGACGTGGGAGATTTCTAGACCATTGGATTCCAGTTGTTCCGTGAGAGCTTCAATCCAGCTTGCTTCACCCTGTTCGGCGTTAGAAGTATTCATAGCAGGAAGGTAGAGGTGGACTACCTGGCCGGTGTCAATGAGAATTCGGAATTTGCCCGTCCCCACGAGGTACGTGTTGGTTCCTTGCAGCTGCATGCGCCCGGGATTGCCTCCGAGGATGCGCATCACTCTCTCGGTGACTTGCTGGACTTCGGGAAGACGAGGCAGGTTGGCTTCCTGGCCGGACAGATATTCCTGCCAGAAGGACTGAGCGAAGGGGATACGGAAGGCCATGTTGAGATACCAGCTCGTAGCGACTATTCACTCAGTCAATCAATCCTGGATGTGGTTGAACCGGGCCACGTTTATTGTTCTATACTATCTTGAATGCTTCTATTTTGGTTCTGGAACGGAGTTTAATCGGACACACGTGGAGGCCATGCCATCCGAGCGAATCTGACATCAGCCCCATTTGTCCGTCCGATCCTGCCACTTTTCTTCAACATCCAATCTCACGAATCCTCTGACTCCTCGCAGAGTACCCAAAACAAAGTTTAAAATCCGACTTGCGTCTGCCGAGGGATTCTGCAGGATTCAGAATCAAAACCCGAGCGATGTCACCACGCCGTCCGACAATGGCCCCATTCTGCATCGCGATGATGATGAGATGATGATGCTGAATCGACACAGCTTTACAGTCCGAAACGGACATGGAGGAGTTTACAAAATTCGGTCGCAGATTCAGACTCATTTTGCTGAGACGACGAAGGGTATATAGAGAGCATCAAACCTCGCCGTTGCTGGGAATCTCATCTCAGTCCAACACTGCTAGCAGCACAGCACAGCAAAGCAAAGCAAAACAATTACCTCTCTTCTCAAGACAACAAACTCTCTCACTCAAATCAATCTAATTTAATCAACCAATAAATCACTATGTCTGCACCCACGAAGCTAGTCTTCTTTGGAAACGAATTCCCCAATGACGATCTCAAGACCCTCTTCCGCGGCCTGCACCGACACGGCAAGGACCGGCGCTTTCGCCAGCTGGCAACCTTCCTGGAGGAGTCCACTCGCGTGCTCCAGAATGAAGTTGCCCAGCTTCCCGAGCCGCTGAAGAAGCTGGTGCCTCATTTCGAAAACCTGATGCCCTTAACCGAGGTCGACTTTCGTCAAGGCCCTCTGGGAGCTGCTATGGAAAGCGCGCTGCTGACCATTCTGGAACTTGGAATGTTTATTGGCCACTACGAGGCCGAGGAGCGTGTCTGGGACCTCTCCGCAGACCGAACCACCTTGGCTGGTCTTAGTATTGGCCTGCTCGCTGCCGCTGGTGTCGCATTGTCCACTCACTTGGCTGAGGTGGTCCAGAACGGTGCTGAGTGTGTGCGGGTCTCCTTCCGCCTGGGCGTCTACGTCCACGACATCTCCCGCAAGCTGGAAGCTCCCCAGGCAGACGGCAGCTTGCTCAGCTGGGCTCATGTTGTCACCGGAGAGTCCGCATCCGACCTCCAAGAGGAACTGTCACGATACAACACGGAAACGGGCACTCCCGAGCTGCTCAAGGTGTTCATCAGTGCTGCCGACAAGACCTCTGTGAGTGTCAGCGGCCCTCCCTCGCGCATCCGTGCTGCCTTCCGGGCCTCTCAGCGCCTGCGCTACTCCAAGTCTCTTGCCCTTCCTGTGTATGATGGTCTCTGCCATGCCGCACATCTCTATGATGAGGAGACCATCCGTCGTGTTCTTCACCCCGATGGATCCGTCATCCCCACCTCTCGGCCGGTGCAGCTGGCACTGCTCTCGTCACGGTCTGGACAGCCCTTCGAGGCCACCACGGCCGCTGAGCTGTTCCGCGCCATCAGCACAGAGCTGCTGACTGGCACCATCTTCCTGGATAACATCACGGCCGGTATTCTCGACCGTACTGAACGCTGTGCCGACACCACACAGTGTCAGATCGAGACTTACCGCACTTCGCTGGTGTTTAAGGGTCTGTTAAAAGCACTGGAGGCTTGCTTCCCTGACCGGACCATCAGCACGACCGACCTTATCCCCTGGGTGTTCCAGGACTACGGTGCGCGCCAACCCAAGTCATACGCAGACTCGAAGCTGGCCATTGTCGGCATGGCCTGCCGCATGCCCGGCGGCGCTAATGATCTCGACCTCTTTTGGGAGCTGCTTGCACAGGGTCGCGATACTCACACGACAGTGCCTGCGGATCGCTTTGACCTTGAAACGCACTACGACCCGACTGGCGAGACCGAGAACGCCACGCGCACTCCCTTTGGCAACTTCATCGACCAGCCCGGGCTCTTCGATGCCGGATTCTTCAACATGTCCCCCCGGGAGGCTGAGCAGACTGACCCCATGCACCGTCTTGCCCTTGTCACCGCTTACGAAGCCCTGGAGATGGCAGGTGTTGTCTCTGGCCGCACGCCTTCGTCCAACCCCAAGCGCATTGCCACCTTCTACGGACAGGCCAGTGACGACTGGCGTGAGCTGAACGCGTCTCAGAACATCGGCACCTACGCCGTGCCTGGTGGTGAGCGTGCCTTTGCCAACGGTCGCATCAACTACTTCTTCAAATTTGGCGGTCCTTCCTTTAACCTGGACACTGCCTGCTCCAGCGGTTTGGCTGCCGTCCAGGCGGCTTGCTCTGCCCTGTGGGCCGGTGAAGCCGATACTGTCCTGGCCGGCGGACTGAACATCATCACTGACCCCGACAACTACGCTGGTCTGGGCAACGGCCACTTCCTGTCACGCACCGGCCAGTGCAAGGTCTGGGACCAGTCTGCTGATGGCTACTGCCGTGCCGACGGTGTTGGCTCTGTTGTGATCAAGCGTCTTGAGGATGCGGAAGCAGACAATGATAATATCCTGGCTGTCGTGTTATCCGCTGCCACTAACCATTCGGCGGAGGCTATCTCCATTACCCACCCTCATGCTGGCGCCCAGAAGGAGAATTATACTCAGGTGCTGCACCAAGCGGCTGTCAACCCGCTGGATGTGAGCTATGTTGAGCTCCACGGCACCGGTACCCAGGCAGGTGACGCTCAGGAGGCTGAATCAGTGTTGGATGTCTTCGCTCCCCGGACTCATCGTCGTCGGGCCGACCAGCCGCTGTACTTGGGCGCGGTGAAAAGTAACATCGGACACGGCGAGGCGGCCGCTGGTATTGCCTCCCTGCTCAAGGTGCTGCTTATGTACCAGAAGAACGAGATCCCTGCTCACATCGGTATCCCCACTGTCATCAACCCGGCCATTCCCACGGATCTCGAGCAGCGCCAGGTTCATTTGCCTCGAAGCAAGACTGCCTGGCCCCGGGCTGCAGGCCAGATTCGCCGCGCCATTGTGAATTCTTTCGGTGCGCACGGTGGTAACACAACCCTTGTATTGGAAGATGCCCCTGAGAAGCAGGTGACTGTGGCCCGCGAGGAGCGCTCGACGCACCCTGTCGTCATCTCCGCCAAGTCGAAGAAGTCCTTGGCTGCCAACTTGGAGACTCTCCTTGCCTACCTCGACGAGAAGCCAGAAACTGATCTTGGTGACCTATCTTACACGACCTGTGCGCGGCGCATGCACCACAGCTGGCGCGTGGCCACAGCTGTCAGCGATATTCCCGCCCTGCAAAAGTTCCTACGCAACACCGTGAATAACGACGCCGTGTCTCAAACCCGGCCTATTCCCACCGAAGCTCCCCCTGTGGTGTTTACTTTCACCGGCCAGGGTGCATACTATGCTGGACTGGCACAGGGTCTTTTCCAGGCTTTGCCTTCCTTCCGCGCTGAGGTGCGCCAGCTTGATCATCTGTCCCAGCGGCTGGGATTCCCCTCGATTGTGCCGGTCATCCTCGGTGAGGTGGAAGAAGGAAGTGCTACGGCCCTGGTCACGCAGCTCAGCATTGTGATCGTGGAGATAGCCCTGGCTCGGCTCTGGCTTCTTTTTCTGGGTATTCCCGCTCCTCACGCCGTGATCGGCCACAGTCTGGGCGAATATGCCGCCTTGGCTGTTGCTGGCGTGCTCTCCACAGCAGATGTTCTCTATCTGGTCGGCCACCGGGCCCAGCTCATCGAGGAATATTGCACCCCCGGCAGCCATGCCATGCTCTCGGTGCGCGCGACCATTGCTGACATTGAGCGTCTGATTGGAACTGGCCCGGATGCACCCACTTACGAGCTGTCCTGCCAGAACACGCACCAGGACACAGTCATCGGCGGCTCGATCCCGGACCTCAATGCCATCCGCGAGAAGCTCGAGCCTGAAGGCATCAAGTGTGTCAACGTCGATGTTCCCTTCGCCTTCCACACCGCGCAGATGGACGCTGTCCGGGAACGCCTAGCCAAGGCCGTCGCCTCCGTGCCCTTCAAGACCCCCAGCGTCCCGGTCCTCTCTCCCCTGCTGGGCAGTGTCGTCTTCGACGGCAAGTCCATCAACCCAGAGTACATTGTGCGGGCTACCCGCGAGCCCGTCCAGTTCGCGGCTGCCATCGACGCCGCCCAGGAGCTCGGAATCGTCAACAACCAGACCGTCTGGGTCGACATTGGCCCGCACCCCATCTGCGCCAGCTTCGTACGCAGTTTGGTGTCTGGCGCGCGCATCGTCTCGTCCTGCCGCCGCAACGAAGACAACTTTGCCACTATGGCCAAGAGTCTCTGCACGCTGCATCTGGCCGGCCGCACTCCCTCTTGGGCCGAGTACTTCCGCCCCGACGAGCAGGCCTACTCTCTGCTCCGCTTGCCCAAGTACCGCTGGAACGAGGTTAACTACTGGATCCAGTACCTAGGTACCTGGACCTTGGATAAGGCGCATATCAAGAACAGCGGCAGCCAGAAGCGTGCCATCACTGATGGACCATACGTGTCTTCCCTGCGCACCTCTCTCATCCACCAGGTCACCGAAGAAACCATCGACAAGACCACCGCCACCCTCAAGGCAATCTCCGACATTCAGCACCCCGACTTCCTCGAAGCCGTGCACGGTCACACCATGAACAACTGCGGCGTTGCCACCTCCTCCATCTGGACAGATATGGCCATGACCGTCGGCGAGCACCTATACCGTCGCCTGGTTCCGGGCACCGACAACGTCCTCATGGACCTGTGCGACTTCGAAGTCCAACATGCCCAAGTCGCCAACACCAACTCCAACACCCCGCAACCACTGGCCCTCGAAGCCCACCTCGACCTTCCCACCCGCCACATGTCCCTTGCCTGGTACGACGTCGATGCCACCACCAACCAGCGCGCCGCAGCCCCCTTCGCCACCGGCAGCATCAAGTACCCTGCAGACCCAACCGGCGCAGCCTGGTCCACCGAATGGTCCCGCATCACCCATCTCATCCACGGGCGCATCGAAGCCCTGCAGCACCTGGCCTCGGAGAACAAAGCCAGCACGCTCTCCAAACCTCTCGCCTACGCGCTCTTCAAGAATGTCGTCGATTATGCCCCCCGCTACCGCGGCATGGACCGCGTCGTCATCCATGACCACGAAGCCTTCTCCGACATCACTCTTACCACCGACCGCCACGGCACCTGGCACACCCCGCCCCACTGGATCGACAGCGTCTCGCACCTGGCCGGCCTGGTCATGAACGGTAGTGACGCCTCCAACACAAGGGACTTCTTCTACGTCACCCCTGGCTGCGGTAGCTGCCGCATGACTGAGCCTTTGATTGCCGGAGGCAAGTACCGGAACTATGTCCGCATGTTCCCCATGCCGGACGAGGCCCACATGTACGCGGGCGACTTGTACATCCTCCGCGAGGACAAGATCATCGGTGTCGTGGAACAGCTCAAGTTCCGTAGAGTGCCCCGCTTGTTGATGGATCGGTTCTTCTCGCCGAATAAGAATGCAGCTGCACATGCTGCTCCTGCCGCTGCTCCGGTGGTGAAGAAGCAACCCTCCACTCCCACTCCCACGGAGACTACCACTTCCGAGCCGGCCAAGACAGAGCAGAAGCAAGTCCAGCTCCAGCTTCCTAATATCACCTCTGCTGCACCCTCGACAGCTAGCAGCTCATCTTCTCCCTCCTCCAGCGGCGTCGCAACACCCACCACTGAACAGGAGGCCCCCGTCGCCGATGCATCAGCAGTAACTGGTGTAGCCGGCAAGTGTCTGGAATTGATTGCCAACGAGACAGGGCTGGGTGTGGCAGAGCTTACTGCGGACGCGACATTCGTGCAGCTGGGCGTGGATTCGCTGATGTCGCTGGTGCTGTCGGAGAAGTTGCGCAGTGAGATGGGATTGGAGATCAAGAGTTCGTTGTTCTTGGAGTGTCCTACTGTGGGGGATCTGACGGGGTGGTTGGAGCAGTATTGCTGATGGGAATGCTTCTGTATCTTTGCTTCTTATTTTGAGCAACCAGTTGGGCTTGTATTTGAAGGAGTCGAGAGTAATTGCATTGCTGTGATCTATCTTTGGTTCTGGAGTAGAAGTTGTAGGGTAAGAAGTAGATGGAAATGAGGGGGTGTTGAGCTTAGGATGTAATTCTGAGCATCGCAGCTCAAGTCGGAAAGAGATGAAAGCTAGTCAAGATATCTCTAGGATAGGGAAATTGACCCTAATCTAATACATGATACTTTTACCACTGTGTCAAGAATGAACCATGCTTGTCAATACTGCCCGCCCCCTTTGCAAAACATGGCAGTCCAGCTCACCTCTAACCCTCTCCAAGAACTCAGCAACCTGCTCGTCACTACGATATGCCTCATTGTAACTCAACCTTACAGCCAACCGCCCCTGAAACGTCTGCACAACCAGGTACATCATTGCCGTCATGGGAATAAGCGCAATCCACGCCTCTTCCACCCGTAATGACCCGTACGACGATTCCCAAAGTGGGGTAATATCTCCGATAAAGCTGGCAAAGAACGGAGGCTCATCATGTAGAAGAGACGGAAGAAACTCATTCAGACAAGTGATGGACTCTCTAATGTATCGATCTTTGTTTTGAGCCAATTTGCAATACTCGCTTTTGAGCGTCGCCGCCGTATCCCAGTAGTCATCGACACGAACCTGGTAGGGCCATAGACTGACACGCGAGGCAAATGCTTCCTCCCCGACAGAGTCTGGAAATGAAGGATCACAGCGATCGCGAAGACTAAAGCCCGTCACGGAAGTGTGGATGTCCTGCGACGGACATTCTCTCATATCCTTGCAGGCCTGAAGCAGCGCGGCATGGACCAGTGCTGTGAACCCGAGACCTGTTTCCCGCCCGCGATGCAGGATCTGCGTGGTTTCGCAGTCGGATAACTGCAGTACCTGAACTCGGCCGGGCTTGGGGGTCAACGGGTTACCCAAGATAGGCATCTTCATCTCCTGGCCGGTGAAATGGACCGGAGAGTGGCTGGCGTCTGTGGGCTGCTGGATTCTTGCAGCATCGACGGCACCCACGGGAAGATTACGCACCTCATCACCGAACGATTTTTTTGGCGGCTCCTGGCCCTCGCTGATGCGGGCTAGCTCGGCCAGAAATTCGTTGAGAAGAAAACAAGTGCTCCTTCCATCCGTGTAAACATGAGGGCACCGGAGTACGAACCGATGTTCTTCGCGGAAGCAATACAGGACAGGTATACCTGATACTGGCACGTTGCTGTAGTCGTTGTAGACGCTGTCGGGACTGTGGAAACGGCCTGGGGAGACGATGAAGCTCCGATTAAGCCATTCCTCAACTTCTTGTCTGTTGACAGGAGACTGGTAGGCATACTGCTGTCCATCGCACTCTGCGGCGATCATGGGGTGAATATGGCGCATCTGTTCCCATGCGCGCCTGGCATGCTGAAGAAAATCACCAGTGAATGTGGACGTTTGAAGGCAAACACTGGTAATCATATCATGTGTGGCAAATCCAGGATGTTGTGGATTGGAGTATACACTGTTGAGAGTGGTCTCCAGCGCGTCCAGTTGCCGAGAATACCGGTTTTGGCCGATCTGTCGCCAGCTTGTGGTGGGATGGGGGATAGTCATGGCTAATTGATAGTAATGGATTGTGAAGGGAGGACTAAGGTAGATAGTAGCACGTAGGTGCAGAGGTTTGTGTGAGAAAGAAGATCTGAAAGGGAGACAAAGTCAGTGTTCGCATTATCTGGGAAAGGTGCCAAGGCACAGCACCTTTAGCTTGCAGACAATGTGGCGCCCACCCTCTATACGCAGCGTACACAGAGTTCTCTCTCCTTGCGTGCAAACTCTCATGCATGACAGCGACATGGCGCGGCAGTCAGTCTGCAGACAGTGTCGTCAATGCAAGGGATATTAAGCACGGACTCGACACGTCGACTTCAGTTCGCGTGCCGTTCCACTCACACCGCCGAAGTATATTTTCCTCAATTGTATACAACATCAAAATATATAAATTCATCTCCTACGGAGTCACCGGCTCAATATTGCGCTACACAAAATATACGACCTTTGAATGCACGATGCCTGTCCCAAGAACGACGTCTCAATGGGTCTACGACCAATCCACCGGCCTAGAGCTGGAAGATGGAGTACCAATTCCAGATCTGAAAGAGGGCGACTGTCTGCTTCAGGTTCACGCCGTATCCCTCAACTACGGAGAAATCGCCCGCATGAAAGGCAAATATCCACAGGAGGGCCCCCAGCGCCGAGTAGCGGGTGGTGACGGAGTGGCCACCGTCATTGCTACCGGGTCAGGAGTCACGGAGTTCCAGGCAGGTGACCGCGTGTGCCCGATCTGGCAACAGACGTACCAAACAGGTCCATTGACTCCGGAAATCGAGAACACGGCGCTCGGGTTGACGATTGATGGGACTTTACGTGAATATGCTGTTTTGGCGGCATCGGGGCTGGTAAAGGCCCCGACCCATTTGACTCATCGAGAGGCGGCAACTTTGACTTGCGCAGCGGTTACTGCGTGGAACGGCCTGTTTGGGTTGTCGGATCGCAGGCTCAAAGCTGGGGACTGGGTGTTGAGCCAGGGTACTGGCGCGGTAAGCCTAGCTGCGGTCCAATTTGCAGTGGCGGCTGGAGCTCACGTCGTGGTCACGACATCGACGACGGAGAAAGCGAAGTTCCTGAAGTCAATCGGGGTGGAGCATGTCTTGAACTACAGGAAGAATCCGAGTTGGGGTGAGTCTGCGAAGGCCCTGACGCCTGGTGGTAGAGGGTTTCACCACATCATCGAGCTTGGGGGTCAACGTTCACTACGGGAAAGCCTCCAGGCTGTTCGGTTCGAAGGTGTTGTGAGTCTCATTGGGCTCATGGAGGAGTTGGAGACCATTCAGAACACCCCGGGCATCACCTTCCCGGAATTGTTCCTCAGATACGCCACTGTTCGAAGTCTACATGTGGGTTCTCGGCAACAGTTCCAGGAGATGGTCGACTTCATGGAGCAGCACGCCATCAGACCCGTTGTCAACGAAGACGAATTCAAGTTCGAAGACTGTATTCAGGCGTATGAGAAAGTATGGGAAGGTGGTCATACTGGCAAAATTGTGGTTAATGTATCTAGTGCTTAGAACAGACTACATCTTGCGCTCATGGAAATACAGAGGTAACGGTGGTAGAGTATAGGTTACCGTGTCCTTTCCCTGAGTAATGAATGCCTTAGCCAGCCTTTCGTCGGCGAATTCCAGATCAAAGTTCAATGCAATATGCGCCAGAATAATACGCAACTCGACCATGGCCAGTCGCTTCCCGACACAAGCACGAGGACCTAGGGTGTACTTAGCTTTGGGTTTGGCATATAGTGGTCTTCGCAAGACACTTACCAGAACCAAATGGGAAGAAGGCGTCCTTGGAAACGGCACCGTCAACCCATCGCTGCGGTAGAAATTCCCCGCCTCGAGGGAAGAAGCGCTCGTCTCGGTGAAGGACGTGCTGGGGGACCACCACGTTGACATTTCCTGGGACCCAGACCTCATCGATCTGGATTCCTTCGGGAGGTGTCACGCGTGGTTGGCCACTAGGAGCTGCTGGTCTCAGGCGCAAGGTTTCCTGTATGATTGCATCCAGGTACGTTATGCTACCCAAGGTGCTCCATTTGGTGGTGCCATTGGTCCCTATCGGGTGATTATATAGCGCTTGCTGGAGCTTTTTGTATTCATTGGGGTAAGCTGTGAGATAGTACAATGCATGGGCGAGGGTACTACTAAGAGTATCACTACGAGACGAATCAGAGCTATGCGCAAATGTCAGTCAGTGAGTAGATCATACCTTCCCGCAATCACTACCAACCGGCCATCCTCGTGCAAGGCTTCGATGGTGGGGGGCTTCCCTGGGTCATTATCTTTCATCGCTGATATGAGCCAGGATAATATGTCCTGTGGAGGTTGCCCATCATTGTTTTGCCAGGCCTAAACCTCGGGTAAGCACGCCATGAACTATACTTGAGCCTGGAACCCACCTTTAATTTCCCTTCAACCAATTTTGAAGTGTGGATAAGGAACGAAGAGTGTTTCTTTGCAGCGCCGGGGAGGGACGCGAGAAGGCCGATAACCCACGGGGTAGGAGTCCAACGTCCCAGGAATTCCATTGACTCATGAAGGTTGGCAATTGCAGGGTGCTCCTGGCCACAGTCAACTTGATGGAAATCGTCGCCAAACCCAACGATGCCCATGGCGTCCGAAGCAAACAGACTAGACCAGTGCGCAGCGTCAACCGACCCATCCTTTCGCATGAGACGCCGGAACTGTTGGACTATAATGGCGGCTTTCTGCACAATAGCAGATTCGTAGGCTAGCTTGGCGGTGTCGTCTCCTGCAACTGATGAGCTGAATGCCAAGGAGGAAAAAATGTCAGTGGCACACCTTTCATATTCAGCGCCTTATCCCAGATTCTACGCCGAAGGTGATGCATTTCGGGATCCCGACCCATATGCAAAGATACTTGGCGTGGATTGTCCGACACATGAGCGTACCAGAGGGACTTGCGGCATCGAGAATTTCTGCTGTAAATGGCCGAAATTGCAGATGGTCGGAGAATCGAGACCTCTCGAGGCCCTAAACTTGGGTGAGCAACATATAGCATGTCAGGGTTGCATAAATAACGACAGGTACCTACCTGTTCGGACAAAATCCCCATATCTCTGATGAAGTCTCTCAAGCTCCACATGTAGCTGAAGCGAACGATATGTTCTTGCAACCAGATACAGTCGACTTAGGCGAGCTTGCAGGGGACCGGGGAAATTGTGGAGGCGGTGGAAGAATAGACGGTAAACGACGAGACTAGTGGTGAATGAAAGTGTAAAGACGGAGTTTAAGATGCCAGCGTGTAACAGAGCAAGAAATATGGATGGGGCGAACTGTTTCAATATCCACACAAGGACCCCCCAACCCCAAAAATAGACCAGCAGAAGTGGCAATAGGTGGAAGTCTGGATCAAACGTCTGGAAGATCAAGTGGGCGCCAACTCCAAGTGCCGCTGCTGTCAGATACGAACTGGAGTCCATATTCCCCAGTTGGCTAACACCGTCTAACCAATAGAACTGTAATTAGTGGTAGGCTTCCTTGGCCTCTGCCTTGGAAAGCCCTGGGTGTTGGCTCTTAGTGTACAGTTATACTTGTATCTTGTCGCCAAGACCACACCTGCGGCAGTAGATGCAAGGGATCAGAAGACTGCACCCCTTACATGACTTTAAATTTAGACATAGGAGAATGGCGCCAGCTGCAATCGTCAGGAAGGGAATATCATGTAATAGGCTCAGGATTCCCGCTAACTTTCTGTCCCTCGGACAAGATCGTCGAATATCTTTGATTTTTTTCCCCACCATGGCAGGAGTGAGACTTGCTCCTATCTTGTAAGGCCCCATAAGCCTAGAGCCTTCATCTCCCGTGGAGGACATTATTTCTAGTGCATAATAACCATAGACGCCTGTCTTTCAGTCGTCCCGCGTGTCTGGTAGTTCTTGTAGATGAGACCCTGGCGGACAAGAGCCGGAAGAAATGGTAAAACTTCGCATCCCGCACACTGTTCAGACAGACGAGTAAATGGGGAGTATCAGACTTCAGGTGCGTGCACGGATGTTTCTTCAAACAGTCGACATTGAATTGACGTCAAGCTTCTCCATTGGTTTTGACCGGCTGATCTTGGGCACCCCTGCACACCGCCAAAGCAATTGATCTCACATTGATCCATGCTTATGGTTCTTCAGTCCCCGCGTTGGAGCACAGGCCCACCAATGCATGTGAAGCTGGTCCTGCAAAGTGGAGAAGTCGCCGAAGCTGAGGATATCGGAGCCATCAAATTTGTCGCCAGTAGTTAGACGTTATCCCTGCAAACGTCACTGTCGCCTACAAAGGCATGATCACGGAGGTGAGTCTACCACCAGTAATTGACAGATGCCTGTACATCAAGAACAGACATAGAGGATATGTCGTGCAAAAGGCAAATCGACAGAGATCTTCAAGACCTCTGAAGATAAATTGCGTGACGAAGAAGCTAAATGGCAATACCTAACTATTCCTCAGAGATTATAAGAGTAGAAGTTCCCCACCTGCTACACCCCGAACTTATTCTAGCATATGCCTTGTGTCCTTGATGTTGACATTACTCAAGAGACCCCGAAAAATCGACTGCCCGTCATCCTCATCCCGAATGTAATAGGCCGAGTCTACATCCTCCCTCGCTTCGGTCTGGCTAATCCCATTGCCCAAGTACGCAAAGCGGTTGCCGCCGGCATACGTAATGTGAAAGTCTTCGTAGCGGGGCTGCGCCAACGCTTCCATATAGTGCAGAGAGCTCCCGGGCCACTGAGCAATCACCTTACCAGACTTGCTTTTGTACCATGAGTGGCAGGAGGAGCCCCATACGCTCCCTTGCATGAACAAGTCCTTGTGAGCAATGAAGTCATCCACCGCATGCGCGGTAGGATCGTAGGTGCGTATTCCTTCCTTTTGCCAGCGATTGAGGAAGTGCAACATGTAGGAACCTTGCAGTTCAATGGTGAAGAGCGCTGAAGTTAGGCCGAAAGGGGAGTTGGGCCCTAGAAAGGTGAAGTAGTTGGGGAAGTTATTCACTGCCACACCTAGGTATGTTCGAGGCTCATGCATCCATTGCTCAGCAAGGAGGGTGCAATTTCGTCCCACAATAGGTAGCCGAGGGCAAAATGACGTGTCGAAACCGGTCGCACATATGAGTACGTCAACTTCATACTCGTGCTCTGCCGTGGTGCAGTGATGCTGATCAACCGCCGTAATGTTGTCCATGACAAGAGACACATTGGGTGCATTTAACGCTCTTAGACACTGCGCTCCTGGCTGACGAGCTTGTACTTTAGCCAAAGGCTACTGACGGACCTGGGAAAGGAATTAGGCTCACAGTTATGCGGCGGCACCCGAGAGGGAAGTTAGGGATCAGCTTCGATGCGACTGCCTCGTCTTTGATGCTCCCTTCCATCTGTTCCCTCGCGAGATAACACATATCTCGCTGTGTCTTCGTTCCCTGGATCAGAGCCGGAAAAAGAGCATGTAAATCCCTCTCCGTCATTTGGCGAAACTCGCGGAGAGCATGTGGACTGTCTCGAAAGGTCTTCCGTTCTTCTTCGCTAAACTCATGGTACTCCATTCCACCACCGGAAGAGAGGATCCACGTCGGACTACGAGCAAACACAGTGACATGAGCGGCCTTCCTATCACACCTGTCAGTACGCTTTTGAAAATAGACGGGGCGCCTTACTCTTGAAGATATGGCAGAATCTGGACACCCGAGGAGCTAGTAATCTCTGTTAGCATATGACACGCGCGAGACGCTCCAGCACTATTGACTAACCCCATCCCAATCAGACCCACTCGCTTCCCAGTCAAATCAACTCTCTCATCCCACAAGGCCGTATGTATGACGGTCCCGTTGAACGACCCCAGACCGGAGATCTCGGGCCAGCGTGGCGAGTTCAAGATGCCAGACCCATTGATCAAGAAGTCACATCGCCTTATCAAGACTCCCCCAGTGTATTGCACTTGAACCACCCATTCTGCACTTTGCTCATCCCAGTGCGCCCCGACAACTGAATGATGACAGTGGATGTATCTCCGAAGATCATGGTGGTCCACAAAACTTTTGAAGTATTGTTGAATCTCGTCTGCTGCCGCATAGGTGGCAGAGAAGTCAGGCTTCGGCTCGAACGAGTATGTGTAATTGTGACTGTAAACATCAATCAGCATCAACAGATCTGACCGGAGCGTTCTTCATACGCTGGAATATCACAGGCACCTTCAATCAGGTCAGCAATGGCCTCGACTGTGTGTTTAACAGACTCATACAGCCTGGATAGCGATTCTCAAACCATGTTCCGCCCACCTCAAGGTTCTTTTCGTAGACATCCAGCGTGAAATCCACCAAACAAGTCTTCAGCTTGTAGGCCAAGTAGATTCCAGATGGGCCTGCTCCGATACAGACCACGCGCAAATGCCGATTTGCATGGATTGGTCGGGTGTTGCCACTGAAGTGCATTTTTGGTAGGAAATAGCGGACCTGCTCCCAACAAACTGCACAGAAATTAAATAGGCAATCGTGACGTTGATGGGTCTTTACCTACCTTGTTTTTGTCAGTGGCCATGGCAAGTTCGCAGCGCAGATGGGTCAATCAGCTGATAGTATGAGACCTATGCATGCATCTGCAACAGGCTGGCCGTACATGTGATAGCTCAGTTCTTCAGGACATGGAGGCCGTGCAGAAGGCTTTAATAGCCGAACTGTTTTCAAGGGTCCAGGCATTCGATCAATGTGGCATAAATGGAGCTAACAGCCAGGACAGGTCCAAAGCCACTCCAACTCAGATCAAGTAGCATATTTGCTACCGAAGATACCAAGGTCCCACCTCAAGAAAAGGGAAGGTTTCTTAGCCATGGCGCCCCAACAACAATGCTGTTTGGTCCAATCCGGCAATGGAGAGGGCCAGATCGAGCTCCAAACTTCGCGGCCTATACCCAAGATTGAACATCCGCATGAGGTACTGGTCCGCATTACTGCTGTCGCTCTGAACCCCTCCGACTACAAGTTCCCGAGATATCTCCCTTGTGTCGGAGCAGTGTTGGGGTGCGACTTTTGCGGTACTATCGCGGAGACCCGTGCGCAAGCCACGGGTCTAAAACAAGGCGATCGGGTTTGTGGGGCCGTCCAAGGCTGCAATCGAGCCCGACAAGACAATGGTGCATTTGCTGAATACGTAGTGGCGGACTCCAGATTGCTCTTGCGTGTACCACAACACTGGAGTGATCTGCAAGCGGCGGCGCTTGGTGGCGTCGGCTGGTACACCGCTGGCCTCGTCATGTATGACGCTCTGGGGCTGATCGGTCGTCCATCTCGCCCGCTCCCTGCTAGGGAAGATGGATCGCGAGTGCCGGTGTTGGTGTACGGTGGAACAACTGCTACGGGCACAATGCTTTGTCAGCTACTGTCGTTGTACGTATGCGAGGATCAATCAGAGTACTGAGCGGACAGCTAATTGAATGCATGAAGATCCGGCTACGCGACTATTGCTACTGCGTCGCCCTCATCCTCTGCCGTGGTGCAGTCCCTTGGTGCGCGGTCTACCGTCCCTTATGCTGATCCGAACTGTGCGGAGAGAGTTCGCGCGGCAACTAGAGGAGAGCTGCGTCACGCAGTCGATTGCATCGCTAGCTTCGAGTCTATGACCGTCTGTGCCGCTTCATTGTGCCGTGCTGGGGGCCGCCTGGCATGTCTCGAAGCATATCAGCCTGCGTGGGTCAGAAAAAGATCTGTGAAAGTCTCATTTGTGATGGGGCCCGAGGCACTTGGATTGGGAGTGGATGCCGAAGGTGAATATTATCGGCACCCCGATTTAGATAAACTTCAGATTACTCTGGAGTTGAAGCGGGAAATGCAAAGCATGATAGATGCGGGTCGAATCACAAGCCACCCCCCGCTGGAGTTGCAAGGCGGATGGGACGGCGTTCGCAATGGACTCCGAATGCTCCAACGGCACGAAGTCCACGGACAGAAGTTAGTCGTACGACTGAAGGATTAGAGAACTTTCGGAGCGCGGACGTATCGAAAGCGTGATACTAGTGATTCTGTGCATACATCTCTCAATGGTCGGCTGCAAGCCTGTCTCAGTCATTGTTCTGCTCAGTAATAACTCCCATGCTGAAGTAAAAAGTGTGCCCAGACCGGGATACTAGATTCAATAGAGAAATATCGTGAATGGAACGCATTCGAACTTTGTACTGCACTAGAAGGTAGAGACATATAAAAGAACCTTTACCTCCTATGCTACTCCGGGCATAAGAACATATGCAAGCAATAGATACCAGCGATTTACGAAACTCACGGATAAAACAATGGGTTTCACGCTTAAAAGGCTCGAGCCAGTCGCCATAATCGGCAGCGCCTGTCGATTCCCAGGAGGAGTGGCATCGCCAAGCCAGCTGTGGGAGCTCTTAGAGAATCCCATAGACTTGGTTCGCGAGCTTCCCGACGATCGTTTCTCTGCGGATACCTTTTATCACCCCAAAGCCCAGTCTCGGGGTCATACCAACGTGAAACACGCGTATACGTTGACGCAGGATGTTCGCAAGTTTGACGCGTCCTTCTTCAACATCAGCCCGGCAGAGGCCAAGGCGATGGATCCCCAGCAACGCATGCTTCTGGAAGTGACCTATGAGGGCTTGGAAAGAGCCGGTGTTACCATTGAGTCCTTGAAGGGGTCTGATACGGGAGTATTTGTGGGGATGATGTGGAATGATTACCTTACGATGCAGGCCCAAGATAATTTCAACAGCCCAACGTATATCGGCACGGGAACAGCCAGGAGTATTGTGGCTAATCGCCTATCCTACTTTTTTGACTGGCATGGACCTTCATTTACGCTGGACACCGCTTGCTCCTCGAGCCTTGTCGCAGTGCATCAAGCAGTTCGAGCCATCCGTGAAGGAGACTGCGAGGTGGCAGTTGTGGCCGGTGTGAATCTCATCTTAGGCCCCGAAAATTTCGTTCAGGAGAGCCAGTTGAAAATGCTGTCGTCTGATGGGCGTTGCAAGATGTGGGATCGAGACGCTGACGGCTATGGCCGGGGAGAAGGTGTCGCTGTGCTGGTCCTCAAAAGGCTCGAGGCTGCGACAATGCATAGAGATCCTATTGAGTGCATAATCAGAAATATCGAGATCAACCATGACGGCAGCAAGGCGGGCCTGACCAAACCAAACAGCGCAGCGCAAGCGGATCTGATCAGGAAAACATATCACAAGGCAGGGCTCGATATACATAATCCTCAGGATAGATGTCAATTCTTCGAGGCACATGGCACAGGCACAGCCGCTGGTGACCCCGCAGAAGCAGAAGCTATATACCAAGCATTTAGCCTAAAGAAACAGACTTGGTCCGACAATCATATGTATGTGGGCTCGATTAAGACGGTTATAGGTCATACTGAGGGCACTGCCGGAATCGCTGGCATCATGAAAGCCTCTCTTTCTATTCAAAATGGTCGTATCCCTCCCAACCTCCACCTGCACAATATAAATCCCGCCATTTCGCCTATGTCTGGGGCCCTCGAGGTCCCGACCCGTCTGATTGACTGGCCACAACAGTCTCGGAGAGCTAGTGTCAACTCCTTTGGTTTCGGCGGTGCCAATGCTCATGTAATTTTGGAAGGTGTCGAAGTTTGGAGGGACCCAGTGGTGAAGAAAGAAGCAGCTCAGACCTTTACGCCATTGGTCTTCTCCGCCCAATCTAAAGCCTCACTCATTGCAACACTGAGAGTGTTTTCAGAATATCTTGATCGAGAACCGAATGTAAATCTCGTTGACCTTGCCTGGACGTTGCGAAACCGTCGATCAAAGTTCCGCTGCCGAGTGGCGTACACAGCGACCAACGTCAGCTCGCTGCAGGAACAGATCAATGAGACCATCGCAAAATCCCACCATCATCCTGGAGCACTCATGGAAATTTCGAGTACTCAAAGGAGAGTGTTGGGTGTATTCACCGGCCAGGGCGCTCAGTACGCCCGCATGGGGGCAGCTTTGCTGGAAAAGTCGGGGTATTGTGCTGAGATCGTCGGAGAGTTGGAGCGGGAAATGGCCTCTTTACCACCGGATGATCGCCCATCGTGGTCAATCCGCGAGGAGTTACTTAAAGATGGCGCAAATACTAGCATTAATGACCCTGAAATCTCTCAGACCCTCTGTGCAGTAGTGCAGATCGTGCTCGTTCGTCTTCTTGCTCGGCTTGGAATTAAGTTCTCCGCCGTCGTCGGCCACTCGTCCGGAGAGATAAGTGCTGCTTTTGCCGTTGGATGCCTTTCCATGCGAGACTCTCTGCTATTAGCTTACTTCCGAGGACGGTACGCCAAACATGCGTGCGGTCTTTCTGGCGGTCAAGGGGCGATGCTGGCTGTTGGAACATCCCAACAGGACGCTGCAGAGCTGTGCGATCTGGAGGAATTCCGTGGGAGAGTCGTCGTTGCAGCTTCAAACTCACCATCAAGTGTGACGTTGGCCGGTGATGAAGAGCAGATTGAGCAAATCCGAATCATTTTCGAAGACGAGGGCAAATTCTGCCGGAGACTAAAGGTGGACGTGGCATATCATTCCCACCACATGCTTCCTTGCTCCAAGATATATAGAGAGGCCATTGAACGCCATGGAATAGCGGGCAATGGGAGTAGAATGGGCCCCCGGTGGTACTCAAGTGTGTTACCAACGTCAGGCATCCCGCACCTAAGTTCAGACTACTGGATACAGAACATGCTACAGCCAGTACTATTCCACCAGGCAGTTTCTCGGGCGGTGTCTGAGATGGGGTGCGACATGGTTATTGAGATTGGGCCCCACCCTGCACTAAAGAGTCCAACTATGAAAACCATTCAGCTCATAAAATCTCCACGGGATTTCCAGGACGTCGTGCATTTCGGAACGCTTGAACGAGAGAAATGCGCAACAGATGCCATATCTGAGACCCTTGCCTCTCTGTGGGTACACAACACACAGTGCAATATCGACTTGGATTGGTATGAGAAGCAAATGACTGAGGACCATGAATTTGCTGTTGTTGTGGATCTTCCTTCCTATCAGTGGAACCACGAGCATTCTCTTCCGGACGAAAAGAGTCGCTATTTGCGCGCACTTTATCACCGAACGGGCAAATATCATCCGCTTCTCGGTCGCCTGTGTCCAACAAGCTCTGAAACCCACCTCCTTTGGCGTAACATCGTTCGGCTGTCTCAAATCCCATGGCTGAAAGGCCATCAGCTCCAAGGCCAGGTGATATTTCCGGCTACGGGATATCTGGTGACTGCCATCGAAGCTGTTGCATGTATACTGGGCGAAAACGAGCAAGCGCGGCTGATCGAACTTCATGATGTCCAGTTCCAGCAGGCAATGGTATTCTCTGAAACGGATGAGGGGGTGGAGGTGCTTTTCCAGCTCGACAAGCTTTCCAGAGAAAGCGGCTCAATCGTCAGCGCTCGATTCATTTATTCCGCCGCTATAGGGGCACAGGGCAACATGAAGGTCACCGCCAGTGGCTTGGCGACGGTAGAGGTGGGCCGGGCAGAGAGTGAGATACTTCCTCCGCGCCAAACCTCCTCCACTAGTATGTCCATGGTGGATATAGATGTGTTCTATCGCTATCTGCAGAACCTCGGATATGATTATTCGGACCAATTTCGCTCACTCGATGACCTCGAACGGTGTTCTGGGTTTGCAGCAGGAAAGGTCTACCCTCCAGACAGCGAAGAAGCTATGGAAGCACCATATCGAGTTCATCCCGCTGTACTAGACGCGGGAATTCAGGTTCTACTATTAGCCTACAGCTACCCGTGGGATGGCAGACTGCGCTCGATTCATGTTCCCACCACCGTTGACATTGTGCGGATTAATCCTGCGGCGTGCGATGCGATAACACAACCTGAGGTACCCTTTTCTATTGACTCTCGACTCGCAGCACCTGATCATGGACGAGTTGCTCATATCACGGGCGACGTAGAGATTTACCGGGGCAGCAGTAAATATGCGGCAATTCAGCTAGGGGGAGTAACCGCTAAACCTCTGACGGCGGCCACTGCAGCTGATGATCGGCAGTTGTTCTTCTCAGAGACCTGGTGGCCGCAAGAGCCGGATGCAACAGGCGTCGATACTGATGAACCTAGTGAGAGGGTAGACGACATGGCGCGATGTCTGGAACGAGCGTCGCTTTTCTACCTACGCCGATTACGTGACGAAATTACCTACCGACCTTTGGAGGCTCCCAGCAGTCTTGCCACATCGTATCTGAACTATGCAGACTACATAGTCTCCCTGGTGGACGCTGGACTTCATCCGTGGGTTACAATTGAGGATAAAATTGACAGACTCGAAGACATCCTTGCGGCTACTGCACCGTAAGTTTATATTTACTGTACATATGTGTTGAATGCCTCGTGCCGCTAACGCGCGACAGATACTCCGAGTACCCCGAAGTAAAGCTGGTGCACGCCGTCGGAGATAATATCGACAGGGTATTGCGAGGGAAAATCCACAGCCTCGAAATCTTAGCAGCAGATGATCTGCTCGATAAGTACTACGAGCACGGAGAGCCGATGCGAACAACGAATCAATGGCTCAGCCGCGTCGTTGAACAGGTCAGTCGCAAGTATCCGCATATGAATGTCTTAGAAGTTGGTGCGTATCAATTTACCCCTCAGAAACATAGATGTTAACGGTCACAAACAGGAGCTGGTACCGGAAGCGCAACAAAAGCCGTTCTGGGCCGGATTGAAGAACGATTTGCATCATATACCTTCACGGATGTATCCTCAGGCTACTTTGGTGGAGCCGAAGGCCTCTTCAGCACCTGCCACAAGAAGGCGAGCATGAAGGTGCTTGATATTTCACGAGATATTGAAGCACAAGGGTTCGCTCCCCATTCCTATGACCTCGTAATTGCTTGCCACGTTTTGCATGTAACTCCATGCCTGGAAGACACCCTACGGAACATACGTTCTCTGATCAAGCCAGGCGGGTATCTGATCTTGTCCGAGTTGACTTCGAACGACATAAGTCGGGTGGCCTTCATATTCGGTGCGTTGTCTAGCTGGTGGGCAGGACGTGGTGAGGGTCGCGTACTGGGACCTAATGTGTCTGCTGTTCAATGGGATAGTTTACTTCGAAAATCTGGATTCTCAGGAGTGGATTCAATAGCTGGGGAGAGACACAACAGTGCCTATGCATGCACTGTGATGGTGGCGCAGGCGATTGACGAGCAAGCGGGATTCCTGCGTCATCCACTCTGGGCGCCCAGCCGACCTATATCCGGACTCCCTATACCACAGTTGATTCTACTTGGAGGTGCATCGTTGACAACAGCGAGCCTCGTCGGCAATCTGTGCCAGATAGTATCGCCATTAAGCCAGAGCGTACTAACCTTCCAGACTCTACAGGACGTACAGTACGATGCCCTCCATCCCGAGGCCGTAATCCTGTGCATGATCGAGCTTGATGCTCCGCTTTTTTCGAACTTCAAGGACGGGTGTTTTCAGAGCCTAAAGAATATGTTGTTAGAGCCGAGGAGGCTCCTCTGGGTGGCAGAGGGTAGTGGAAAAGCCGACAAGTATAGCGCCATGACTTTAGCGTTTATTCGGTCTGCCTGTTGGGAAATACCTGACATGCGCTTCCAATTCCTTCGATGGGACCACGCTCTCCTGGCAAATCCAAGCAACATCGCCGAGTATTTACTGAAGTTCGCTTGCTTGACATCTCGAACTCGGAAAGCAAAAAATAAGTTACTCTGGTCCTGCGAGACCGAAGTGAGAATCAATGTGCGGCTCCAAGCGCATATCCCTCGACTGGAGCCGGCAAAGACGGCAAATGAGCGGTATAATTCTTCGGTGCGGAAAATTACTCGCCATGTCTCCTCCAGCCCAGTCCAGCGGGTCGGTCTGCATCTTCAGCATGGCAGGCATGTCTTCGCAGTTTGCGGCGATCAGTCCTTGATTCAACGAGATAGTGAGCAGGTGGAACTGGTCGTCGAGCTCAGCACTATGTGGCCGCTCAGATATGCCGACGGCCAACTCTTCCTGGTCCTAGGCTGTTTAACAGAGAAAGCCACCACATATCTGGCGCTGACGCCCTCTGTTGCATCTCACCTAGTCATTCCTCAACATCAGCTGGTCGAGTACAAAATCCCAGAAGGACACACTAAAGTCAGCGCACTGGGATATATTGTTGCTCATCTACTCGCTGCGGCAATTTTGGATGGCATCGAATGTGGCAAAACACTGCTGGTTCACAACTCGCCTAGACCTTTGGGAGAGATTCTCCAGAGAATTGCGGCTGAGCGGAAGGTTACTTTGACTCTTACCACCTCCGAGGCTGAAAAGGATATACCAGAGTCTTGGATACACATACCACCCTACTCACGCCCACTGCAAGTCAAAACAACACTGCCTCCAAACGTAGACAGAATTGTGGACTTGACAGTGGACAGTCATATGGCGCAGAGGGGTATCCTGAGGTGCATTTACCATCAATGCACCGTTTGGGATCTCGGCACCCTATTAGGTGACGATACTAGCTATTGTAAAAAGACCAAGGCGTACACAAATCCCGATGTTCTGAGGCTCGCTACACATCAGGCATCCTCCTCTGACTTTCCATTCGACATATCTCTGAGTAGCTCCACTGTTGTCACCCCTAAACAGCTTGTGGATAAGTTACAGCCTCTCGCGCCCTTTACGTTACTTCACTGGATCGCGGACAATATGATCCCTGTGGGCGTCACCACTGCAGGTTCGCAAGTCATGTTTCGAGCAGACAGGACCTATTGGTTGGCCGGTATATCAGGAAGCCTTTCCGTGTCACTATGTGAGTGGATGATCAGCCGTGGGGCACGGTACATCGTGATCAGTAGTCGTCAACCGCGAATGAATCCGTTGTGGTTGGATCGGACGAAACGGCTGGGAGCGACTGTCCTTCCATTCGCTAAGTACGTATTGCACGATCCGATGACACCATAAGGTAGCAATAATACTGATAGCTTACAGTGACATCACAGATTATGATGGAGTCCAGGAGTTATACCAAACCATATGTAAGGAGCTCCCTCCGGTGGCTGGGGTCGCCCATGGCGCCATGGTCCTCCGGGACAGACCATTGCGGGACATGACCCACGATGACCTCTATACTGTTCTGGCACCAAAGGTTACAGGAAGTCAAAATTTGGATAATCTGTTTTGGGATAAACCATTGGAGTTTTTCATACTTCTATCTTCTGTGGTCAGCGTCGTTGGAAATGCAAGCCAGGCCAATTACGCTGCTGCAAACGGCTTTTTGGACGCATTGGCTAGCTATCGCAGACGAAGGGGTCTATGTGCATCAACAATCAACCTTGGAGTTATTGCCGGCTCTGATGTGGTATCTGGACGCTCTGGGGCCTCTTTATTGACCGCGCTTCTCAGTCGGCGTTTTATGGGCCTCTCTGAGTCAGACTTCCATGAGGCTTTTGCAGAGGCCATTGCCCTTGGGAAGGCGAATAGTTCTTCGGGGTCTTCCGTCATCACCGGAATTTCACTTGTCAATGAAGGAGACAAGAACAATACATTCGTGCCTGTGTGGACTAAAGAGCCAAAGTTCAGTACACTCATCATTACCGGAGGCTCTTCTCATGCAGGGACCGCCAAGAGGCGAGATGGGAACTCCATCGAGTCTCAATTGCGTAAGGCAAAGACGGACGAGGATGTTCGTGCGGTTATAATGGGTAGGCATCCCTTTCACGCAATGAGAAAAAAAATTGATATTGACGTACACAAGGTACTATATGCAGCAGACTTCGGCAGATTCTTCAGGTTTCATCGGACATGGATATTACGTCTTCAACTCGCACTGATCAACTAGGAATGGACTCTCTAGTTGCGGTTGATCTGAAATCATGGTTGTCGAAGACGTACCGGGTTGACATTCCGACGCTTAAGATTATGGCTGGAATGGAGATTGGGGAGCTTGTGCGATTGACAATGGATAGCATCGATCATAGAAGTGAGGAAACATTGGAAGGAGATACCATGTCTTCTGATGTCGAGGATCTAGTAGAAGAAACACCCCCGGGGTCGGCGCTACTAGGCAACTCAGATGGTCGAACAAGCATGACTCCTGACCTATTTCCAGAGACTATGTGTACTACGGAGGGGGTGCCAAATGCGTCTTCAAGCGAGCAGTTCATCCAGTCTCGCATGAATACCAACGGATCAGCATTGGCAAGCATCACTCATGTATCGACTGCTCATGCACAACGGGAAGAAGGCCTAACGGGAGTCTGCTCCATCTCTACTGATGATCAATATGAAGTAGTACGGCCTGGGGGCCTCTCTTCATCACAGTCAATGTTCTGGTTTATAGATTCATTGATGGAGGAAAAGACCACACTCAATCACACCCTCCTATACCGCATTCAAGGTCCACTTGATGTGGCAAATCTGGAGCGGGCACTTAACGTTGTCGCTATGCGCCACGAAGTTCTGCACTCGCGGATACGATATGACGAAAAAACGCAACAGATGATTCAGGAGGTACTTCAAAAACAACCTGTGTTTTTGGAGAAAAGACAGATTCAGGATACGTGTGAAGTGAACACCATATACAACGAGCTTCACAGATATGTATACGATCCCGAATCGGGTCACGCGTTCCGCATGATATATATTTCTTCCTGCTCGGAGGACAGCTTCTTACTGATCGGTTATCATCATCTCATTGTAGACGGCTCAAGTCATGCCATCATCATGCGCGACCTTCAGGAAGCATATCGAGGACGACCACTTACAACGAAGCCTGTACAATTCCTGGATTATGTGCAGGAGGAGCAGGAGAAGCGTGCTTCCCGTGTATGGAGTGAAGATATCATATACTGGAAAGGCGTACTCGATCCCAGGCCTGAGCCTCTTCCCGTTTTTCGCAGTCGAGTCTCCACACGTCCGCTCTTAAAGCAATACGATATGCACCGAGTTGAGTACACTTTGCCCGGCGATTTTCACAGCGAAATTAGCCGCCTGGCAGTAGCAAATCGAGCCACGCCCTTTCATGTCTACCTTGCCGCCTTTGAAGTGCTTCTCTTTCGCTTTCTTGGTGTGCATGACCTTTGCATCGGGACAGGGGATGCGAATCGTTGGGATGCTGGGAAAAATGACTGCGTTGGTCCATATATTAACCTTGTACCTCTTCGTTTTCAAGTCGATAAGGACATGACATTCGCCTCTGTTTTAAAAGCAACACGGAACACGACCTATGACTGCCTCCAACATGCCCAGGTGCCATTTCAAGTGTTACTTAATGAACTACGAATTTCACGGTCAGCAGCTCACAGTCCCGTGTTCCAGGCGTTCTTGGATTACCGACTTGCTCCCGAGACCGACGGCTTGTTTGGAGACCGCCACATCGACCTGGAGAGATGGGATATTGCACAGCTGGGCTACGACTTCATGATTGATGTCGTCCCCCATCCGGCTCGTGGAATGTCCATTGCGATCCATGTGCAGAAGTCACTCTATGGGGAGGTAGAGGCCAGAATGCTCGCGAAGGGTTATGAGGATATCATCAAAGAAATCGTTGCGGCGCCTGACCGCTCAATAGAACGCCAATGGAAGTTCCGAGCAGATGACATAAATGAAGCTTGCGAGCTTGGACGGGGTAAGTGTAATACAGAGCGTTAAATTCATGACGTCGTCGCTAACTCAACGCCGAAGGACCCTCTGCTGCTTCAAGCTGGCCAACAACCATCCCTCATCGCATTGACACCATTGCCAAGTACCATGGCTCTCGAACGGCTGTAAAGGAAGCCAGCGGTGCGATGATCACCTATAGTGAGCTGCTTTCCCGAGTAGACAGTATCGCATTGGCCATGGTAAACAGTGGCCTGATGCGAGGAGCGCCGGTTGCGGTGTACCAGGAACCATCAATCGAGTCCATCGCTTCCACACTGGCCATTCTCAAAGTTGGTGGAGTATACCTACCGCTAGATCTATCGGTTCCACCGGGGCGATTAGCCACAATGGTGCAGTCCGTTAATCCCAGGATCGTATTGGTACACGATGCAACCTCAGGCCGCGAGAGAGATCTTTTCCTAGCACAGAGTGTCCCCACGATGAATGTGTCCGACGTGCGTCAACATGGTAAAACGTGTGGTAGTCGCGCTTTTAGCAATGGCCCTGCGGTTATCCTCCACACCAGTGGAACCACAGGAGTGCCCAAAGGAGTGCTTCTCACCCACGCCAACCTGCGGAATCACATGGAATTCTCCATGCCACTTGCAGATATCAGGCCAGAGCATGTCTTTCTCCACCAGAGTGCTTGCTCATTTGATCTGTCCCTGGCACAAATCCTCGGGCCTCTGTGCTATGGGGCTACTGTGTGCGTTGCACAGCGTGAGGTGCGGTATGACCCTGAAGAAATGACGCATTTGATTCATCGTGAGAGAATTACGCATACTTTGGCTACACCTAGCGAATATAGAAGCTGGCTCAAATGCGCGGGACTTAAGAACCTTCAAGCTAGCGCCTGGGTTACGGCTCTAGCCGCGGGTGAGCCAGTGACCCAAGATTTGCTAGAGAACTTCCGACTGCTCGCAAAGGACAACCTACGGCTCTACAATTTGTACGGCCCGTGCGAGACCACTATTTGGTCTACCGCTACTGAGCTAGATTACTCCACACCCGGCCAATATGCACAGGGAGTCCCAGTTGGATGGCCTGGTTATAATGAGTGGATATACATTGTAGATGAGTTGCTTCAACTCCAGCCTGTCGGACTTCCCGGTGAGGTCATCATTAGCGGCGCCGGTGTTGCGGAGGGATATGTCAATTTGGGTGATGAGAACAAGCTCAAGTTTGTGGAGGACACTTTCCACTTTCCAAAGGTGGAGAACCAAATGATGTACCGAACCGGTGACCGAGGAAGACTGCTAGAAAATGGCCAGCTCGTGCTCGAGGGTCGCGTGGCGGGCGATACGATGGTGAAGCTTCATGGCGTACGGATCGACCTCCATGATGTTGAGCAGAGCGTATTGCGTGTCAGTGGGGGAGCTTTGGTGGACGTCGCGGCTTCGATAAGACAAGGCTCTGGGCCTGGATCTGCATACCTGGTAGCTCATGTTGTCTTCTGCAAAAGTGACACGATGCCACAAGGACCCTATCAATTTCTACGACAGCTTAGGCATCGCCTTAATCTACCATCTACGATGTGCCCCACGATGATTCCTATTGAGCAATTGCCACGAACGGTGTCAGGGAAGCTTGACCGGGCTGCTGTGCAGAACCTTCCTGTGCAATCCTCGAGTCGCTCTAAGAATGATGTCGGGGATCTGTCGAAGTTACAAGCAAGAATGAAACAACTTTGGCTGTCTGTTATACCCGCCGAGCTTGTCAGAGCTGAGGACATCGATCAACAGACGGACTTTTTTCACGTCGGAGGAAATTCAATGTTGCTCATTGACCTGCATCGATCGGTCACAAATGAGTTTCATTCTTCTATCTCTCTTCTACAACTCTTCCAGCATAGCACTCTGGAGGGAATGTCGTCGCTTATGTCACCCAACGGAATTGAATCATCGAATTCCGACACCGTTGCACGAGGACCTGATACCATCAGTTGGAACATGGAAACTGCTCCGTTGGTTCGTGATGTGCCCTGGAGGGAGATGACTGTAAACCCGCCAAGTCCGTTGCCACGTACCATTGTTCTCACTGGTGCGACAGGATTGCTCGGTCAGCGCTTATTAGAAGTTCTTGAGCGGCACCCGCAGGTTGGCACAATTATCTGCGTTGCTGTCCGCGGACTCAAGGCACGACAGGAGCAGCTAAGGAAGTCCCGAAAGGTGAAATATATCGAAGGAGACTTAGCCCTGCCTTTACTAGGGCTCGATGAACCCACAGCGTGCCGCGTTTTTCAAGGTGCGGATGCCGTCATCCACAATGGCGCAGACACCTCTCAGGCCAAATCATACACTACTCTACGGCCAGTCAACCTTCAGTCAACCAAAGAACTGGCAAGCCTTTGTGCCAGGCGTCGGATTCCTCTTCATTACGTCTCCACGGCGAGTGTATTGCTTCTGGGTGGCCAAGACGGGCAAGCCAAGCATATAACTCACTTCAGCCCGCCCACTTCCGGTGCATTCGGATACGTTTCGTCAAAGTGGGCTAGTGAATGTTATCTGCACAAAGTCAATCAGGAACTTAATCTACCAGCCTTCATCTACCGGCCCACCCAACTGGTCTCCAGCAATGAGAGTAACCGGGGGCAAACCAGCTTCGGACAGATGCTGCTTGACTATGTGCAGCGCTTGCAGAAAGTCCCCGATATACCTAGCATTCTGGAAACATTAAGTTTTGTTTCCACTGACCGGGTGGCTAGGGCAGTTGCGAGATCTGTCCTAGGCAACAATCGGGGTAAGAGTCTTGTTGTCCCTCTGGAAAGTGATGATAAGCCGATGAAAATTCTATCAAATAAGGAGAAAAACCTACCGACCATTGCATTATCGGAGTGGATTCAGCAAGCAGAAAATATTGGAATGTCGTCTGAAGTTGTTCCGATATTTCGACAAATAGAGGAGCATATGGATCTGCTGGGGGCGTGAAGGGAGATTGCCTGCATTGCGTGGAGGTTTAACATAGGGTTTCGGGAGGAAACAGTCCTCGGGATGAGACCATGTCTGCAAACCACTATATACATGCCGCCCCCCCCCCCTTTATTCAGTAGATCGTGTTTAGCTACAAATAGTTGTCAACGTATAAAAATATATGACTGCGAGATTATAGCAGCTTTAAGATCTATCACATCAGTAACCATATACTTTTCATCCAACCATGACATATGAGAGTAAAAGAGAGAGGAGATCTAACATAAAAGTCCAGTCAAACAATGACAAACAAAACCAAACGCAATCTAGCAACCCATACCCAAACCAATCAACCCAAATAAACCAGCAGACATAAATGAAACCAAAGCTCAACCAGAAGCATACCTCGACATCCCCCTCAACTTCGCTCCCCAAAACCAAAACACCCAAGGCGCTGGCACCCCAATCCCAATACTCAGAAACCCAAGCAAGCTATTGCCCCACCCATACTGCAACTTGTTATACATATACGGCGCAAACAACGGAAAACTAAACCCCGCCAGACTCCTCAACACAACCGCAGCGGCCAACCCACTCGCCGCAAACCTCGTATAACTATCAATCACATACGTCTGCATACACTGCAGACAGACAATGCTCCCAATACTGAACAACACGATACCAATGTTAGGCATAATCCAATGGATATGTGCTTGCACACTCCACCCATACCAGAACAACCCGACGGGGATGAACAACGAGCCCACGAACATAGCAGGGATCCGGAACTCGGGGAGGCCCGTGTTATTGCGTTTGGCCTTGAGCTGTTTGTAGATGCGATCGCTAGCGCGCGCGTTCACCTGTGCGCCGAGCACGAATCCAATGCCTAGGGAAATGTAGTTCAGACCGCCAATGCCGACGCTCTCGCCGTAGACGTTCTCCCAGACTTGGGGGAAGGTGGACAGGAGTAGGTAGAATAGCCCGAAGAGGTACGCCATGTACAGCGCGATGACCTGCACGATGGGCTGTGTGGTAAGGAGGATGAATGGGCGGACGAGAGCGCGTTGCAGCGTCGACATCAAACTTGTGTTCTGGGTGTCTGCCTCAGTGTGGTATGCTTCGTCACCGGTCTTCTGGCGTAGGGTTCGGGCGCGTCGCTTTAGCAGTGTCGGCGCGTATGTCTCGGGCAGGAAGGCAAGCCCGATTAGTTGTATCACGGCGCCCGCGATACTAGTGGCCCAGAAGACCCACCGCCAGGTGGTTGTTTCGGTAATGAAGCCGCCCGCGATGGGGCCCACGACGGGGCCGAGGAGGGGGGCGAGGCTGTAGATACCGACGGCTTTGCCACGTTGGTCGGCGTTCCAGCAATCGCTTTCACAATGTTAGTTGTTGATTGGAAGAAGGGATGGGTAACGAACGAAGGGAAGTGGAAGGGCATACCTGAGAACACCACCGCCAATAGCCAACGGCGCACTGCCCGCAATGCCGCTCATGAATCGGAACGCGATCAACTGCCCAGATGTCTGCGCGAACCCGCATCCCAGGTTCCAGGCCACGTAGCATAGGTTGCTGCATTGTAGGACGTAGGCGCGACCGAAGAGCTCGGATAGCGGGCCGAAGCATAGCGGGCCGACAGCGTAGGCGAGAACAAAGACGGAGAGACTTAATTCGGATTCCACCTCTGAGGTGATGTTGAGTTCTTTCGCGATTTTGGTCAAGGCGGGAGAAATCATGGAGGAAGAGACCGGGGAGATGAAGGTAAAAAGCGAGACGGTAATTGTCACAGCCCATTTCTTGCTCATGCTCCAGTTTTTGGGGTTTTCGCGGTCGTCCATGGCCCATGTTACCTATAGTAGTATGTCGCTGTTAGTATGTTGACAATATTGGTAGGGAGTGGGGGCAGACTGACTAGGTGGGCATCTTGGTCTGGGAAGAGTCGTCTTGTGTCGTTGACGGATACTTGGGATGGAGCGGCCTCCGACGGGACTGATTCTGTGGATGGTTGAGTGATGGTTAGTTAGGGTCTTGGCTGGTGTTGATGTTCCATAGGGCTGGCGTGGAGATGGATGGGTCCGCAACACGGAAGGGAGACATACCTCCTTCTTTGGCTGCCATCTTGCAGCGATTGATTTCAGAGCACAAAACAAACGGTTGAAGAGTGTCTGATCCTAGTAGAATGGAATTGATATTATATTAAATGAAAAGAAAGAAGGGAATCCTGCTCAAGTGCAGACTCTCTTATACCTGATTCCTGTCGGCTTTTAAGACGGCTTAAAACCCGAGTCGCCATAATCCTCAGGCAGCGAATTGCCGTTAGCGGCTACAAGCATAGGACTTGCCTCATTCGGGCTAGTGGCCAGCACGTGTTGGGTGCAACATGAACTAGTCCCATTCCAGACAGACGCGTGTTTGATTGCGGCTCATTGCTTAACCGTTTCCTTCCTTCCATATCAACTAAGCCTTCTCAATATGACTCGCGTCCATCTTCACATCATCTCCATCCACCTCCACCATATCGATTCCCGTCATCTCCTTCGAATATACAGTAACCTTCCACCAATGTTCCGGATCACCAAATAACCGATCCATCTCCTCCAGCGATCGACCCTTCGTCTCCGGAAATACGAAATAAACCATAAGAGCAACACTAAACCCAATCACCGCATACACAATATAATACCTCCACCTGATCGTCGCAAACGCAATGGGCGTAATCTCTGCAATGACAAAATTTAACAACCAATGGGTCGCCGTTCCAATTGCCGCCAAATGAATCCTCAGCTCTTGTGGTGCGATCTCCGCCGCATACAAGAAATTAGCAGCCAAGAACCCAAGCGGGAAGAAAGACATGTAGAAGAAGAGAAAAAACGTCGCTGCGATACTAGTACCGTACGTGGACCGGTTATCTATTGCCCAGACTGTTCCAGTGAGTCCGGACATGGATGTACCCATCCCCAACGCGGACACGATGAAGAGTGGTTCGCGGCCGAAGCGGTCAACGGAGAGGTAGTCCGAGAGAGCAGCGAAGATTTTCCATGTTAGCACGCCAGCGCTCAGGATAGCTGCTTTCTCTGCTTCGAGGCCTAGGGGTTTTTGGAAGATGGTTTTGCCGTAGTAGGTTATCACGTTGGCACCGGTCACTTGAGCGCTGAAGTTGACGGCAACGGCGAGGAAGAGACGGTAGAACAGGTCCCCGTTTGAAGAAGTTGACGAAACCGTATTCTGATGTAGATGATTCTTGGAGAGCGAGAGGGATGGTTTCGATTTCGGCGTCAATCGCTTCGTAGCTAACTATGTGCTTGTCAGCTAGTGCGTGCATGGCGGCGCGGGCTTCTGCCTTGAGGCCTTTGCTGATGAGCCAGCGGGGTGATTCAGGGAAGGACATGGTAAATGCCAGGAGCAGCAGGGTGAAGACGATTGGTAGTGCTAGAGGGAGGCGCCAGGATACCTGACTCTCTTCTACAAACGAGAGACCCACGTTCACCCAGCTAGCCATGGCAACTCCTGAGGCAATTAAAACGCCGATAACAACGACATTCTTCCCTCGACTCTTGGGCTTTGTGCACTCGCTCTGCCAAACAGGGATGACAGCGTTAACACCACCAATCCCGATGCCGGAAACTATACGTCCCACGACAAGTTGAGCTATATGGTAGTACGTAGCCTGTATGACTAGACCGATGGTAGCTACTGCAGCAACGGTCATGAGGGATTTGCGTCGTCCGATGCGGTTCCCAAGCTGGGTGATCGAGAGGGCGCCGATGAGGCATCCGATGGTATATATGGCGACGACGGTTCCCATGAAATAGATGGTTAGGAACATTATTGGGAGTATGGATGTGTGAACATGCCCTGGATGGTTGCATTGTGGTTCTTGATGGAACCTGTGGTGTTACTCGTATCTATCGGTGGAAAATACTTGATGAATGATGGGTAATCGAGCACTCCACCTATTTTGGATTGATTGTAGCTGTATAGGAGAAATGCAGGGGCAACTATAAGACATATACGGGCTCTAGCTAACGATGAGCCGGTGAGACTTGCGAAAGTCATATTGGCGAGGAAGTGGTGGTAGACAAGATGGGTGCAATATATAATTTGATGAAACTGGGCACATGAACGAATAGCCTCTGATTATGAGATCCAGCGAGTCTCTCGATAGAAGAGAACAATAAAATAAGAGGATCTAAAAGCAGTTCTTAAATAACACAGCGTATAGTATCTTACACACTCCCATAACATTCAACAAATTCACGTACTGTCAAGCATCATGCGGAATCAGACGCTATGAAGCTCAGAAACTTGGCTATACCCCGCAAAATTACCCCAGATTGCTCCATAAGCATGCATTCAGAATGTACAAAGTAATACATAGCACATAATATGAGCATCGAATGTTGTGAGGATGAGCCTAAACGTTTTGCCATGGCACCGAAATCTGAACCATGGGTAGAGGAGGTTTAGCCGTAACCTACTCCGACGGCAAATGCCCTGCTCGGGACAGACAACCGTCATGGTTAATCTTTTCTTGAAAGACCAAATTTAAGATAGATAAACGTAATACGTTGGTTGCCAACAAAGCCACAGAACATGAGGCTCGGACAGAAAGCAGCGTGGACTCTCTTCCCTCGCAGCACCATCAGAACCATGTCTTCGGCTAAACCCCGCATTCTTTTCTTCAATCCCGTGAGGCACGCAGTGTCGTTCTACGAGAAGCTCCAAGAGCATGCTCACACAGAGGTCGTGACAAGTAAAAGCCGAGAAGAGTTCTTCAAAGATGTCACAGAAAAATACAAAGACATTTTCGCTATTTATCGGACATCTGCTAGCGGTGCAGTATGTAATACCCTCACCCAATGTACAGACTTCTGGTCTCAGTAAACTAATAAGGTACTAAAGGTAGCCGGCAAGTTCGATGCCGAACTAATCAACCACCTCCCATCGAGCTGCAAATACGTCTTCCACAATGGAGCAGGTACGCGAGTCATGTAACATCCCAGAAAAACCCCACTGACAAATGACTACAGGCTACGACCCCATCGACACCGAAGCCTGCGCCAAACGAGGCATCATCGTCACCAACGCCCCGGACCCAGTCACAGATGCAACCGCTGACCTAGCTATCCTCCTACTCCTGGGTGCTCTGCGAAACCTTAACCCAGCACTTCGCTCCCTCCACGCCGGGACCTTCAAACAAGGTGTAGGTTTTGGCCACGACCCCCAAGGAAAGACGATAGGTATCCTTGGAATGGGCCGAATTGGCCGTGCTATCAAACAGCGCTGCGAGCCCTTCGGCATCAAGACCGTCTATCACAACCGTCGTCCTTTGTCTGCTGATCTGTCTGCCGGGGCCGAGTACGTCTCGTTTGAGAAGCTGCTTACTGAGAGTGACATCATCAGTATCAATGTTCCTTTGAACGCGAATACGAAGCATTTGATCGGCGCAGCGGAGATCGCGAAGATGAAGCGCGACGTTGTTATTATCAATACCGCTCGTGGTGCTATTGTCGATGAGGCTGCTATGGCTGATGCCCTGGAGAGTGGGCATATTGGTGCTGTTGGCTTGGATGTGTATGAAAGGGAGCCGGAGGTAAATGAAAGGCTCGTGAAGAATGAACGTGCGCTTTTGGTGCCGCATATTGGGACGCATACTTATGAAACGTTGGCAAAGATGGAGGAGTGGGCGATGGAGAATGCGAGACGGGCGATCGTGGGTGAGGTGTTGCTGTCCCCGGTTCCGGAGCATTGGGGGTTTGGTAAATGGGAATGCTTAGAACAGTGGATAAATTGATTTGTCTGTCAAACGGAACTTTGTGTTTGTGTTTACATTTCAAAGAATACAATTGTGCATTGGGTTGTTTGCATTAGCGGCTGTCTTAAGGTGATCTAATCATCTACCAGAATATATAGAGTATTTATTCTGAGAATGCTTGCATTGCATTTACATATGAATCATGGTTCAGACATACATCACTCGATCATTGCATCACGGCCGACTCTGCTGGCCGAATCGCACATCGTTAATTGTGCCAGCGTTATGTCCCATCTGGATTCCAAATTTCTCCCCTGTGAAGATAACACAGTTATTGTAGGTAATCGTAGGCTGATTGGCCTTGACAACGGTTTCACTCGAAAGACCATCCTGGCTAGCATAAGTCTCTTAAAGGAGTGACAGACCAATCTTGACCTTGTCCATCCGTGAAGCTTCATTTTTATAGATCCCGCAGTGCTTATTTTCCGCTGGGAACAATTCAGTCAAATCGTCGACCAGACCACCTATGTCTTGGATCAACCGCGAGAAATCCTTCATCTCGTAAATGGCCGGGGCCCTATCCTGGTTGACAATAAATTTACCCTCCTGCCCCTCGATGATATCATTGACTTGCTGATGAGACGATTCAGAGGTTCTGGCCAGCTCCTTACTGGGATCCATATTCGGAGATGGGGGAGTCTTATTCCTGAAGCAACCCGAAAGCTTATCCGCTTCCCTGATCAGCTCCAGTATTTCACCGAGGAGATCTTGCATTTCTGGAATGTCTTCACGAGCGAGATTTATTTCATGAGCAGACCCCACATCATTTAGATCAGTCAAACCCACAGACCTCCCCCACCTAGTTAGGCGCAACTTAACCACGTCAAGTTTCAATAGACTCGTCCGGGCTTTGTTGCCAAAGCTATTTCCGCTCTGAAGTGACTCCAAAAATCTCAGCGCTTGGCTGAATAACTTGGACTGCTCGGACAATTGGTCCATGATTACTCGCTGCATACCCAGCATCTCAGGAGAGCTGTGCTGTCCACAGCAGCCGGTTGCCAACTACCACTAATACATGACCATCAGGATATAGTCAATCGTACCGACAACGAAATTAGGCTTCCGTGTATTACGTATGGCCAGTATGTCACCCCAAAATTAACAGCCGGGTAGCAAAGAAAGGCCATTGCTGAGGAGCTTTGTGAAAGGCTTCGGAAAACCATGAAGAACCCAGGATAATGTGAGTTTCTCGAATCTGACGTAGTTTCTCAATACCGGTAGAAACATTGGAATCCGCCCGCATTCTAAGCCAAGCTCAGGAGCTATGACCTAATTTTATGGGGTTGAAATTGAAGAACAATCAGCCAGACATGCTGTGTCGAATTCCCCTTGCCAGCCGGCTATACTTGGACCGTGCGGGTGAACGTTCACCCCCCGAGCTCCCAGCATGTTTCAGGAAGTGTACTACCGGGAGAATCACCAGTAATAAGAACAGAATATCTGTCTACTCGATTGCTAATGCAGAGTCTCAGACATTAATATCACGTCAATACATCTGCAAATTCGACCGGGATACAACGACCATACCAATCATCAACATGGTGAAAATTGCACTTCTTGGCGCCGCGGGCCAGATAGGCACGCCCCTCAGTCTTTTATGCAAAACAGTATGACCAACAAAAAATTAACATGAATGAACATGTTACAGAATATGCTGGCTGACACTGTCCAGAGTGATTTATTTGATGAGATTGCTTTGTACGATATTGTCCATGTACCGGGCATTGCTACGGACTTGATGCACATCGACACCAAAGCCAAGGTTACTGGCTACCTTCCCGCTGATGATGGACTGAAAAAAGCCCTTACCGGCGCTGATGTCATTGTGGTCACTGCTGGTATTGCGCGTAAACCGGGTATGACTAGAGATGGTGAGTGACGAGTACTATTTACATATATATATATATATATAATACTAACCAGTTACTGATGTGTGCCGGCGTCCAGATTTATTCAAGGTGAGAGAACAACTACCCAACTGAACCTAAATATATATTTGTGATGTTCTCACCAGAATAACCACCATCTAACTAAAACTAGACAAATGCTCACATTATCCGCTCAATCTTCACCGAAGTCGCAGCAACATGCCCCAAGGCATTCTGCTGCGTCGTCACCAACCCCGTCAACTCCACCGTCCCCGTCGCCGCCAAGACCCTCAAAAGAGCAGGTGTCTTCGACCCGACTCGTCTCTTTGGCGTCACTACCCTAGATGTCGTACGGGCATCTACTTTCGCCGCACATGCCACGAACACCGACCCCAAAGCCTACAAAGTCCCTGTCATCGGCGGCCACAGCGGAGCTACCATATTGCCGCTTTACAGTCAGGCCCAACCACAAGTCACTCTTGATGAGGAGACTTTGGCGGCTGTTATTAACCGTATGTTTCCCACTATACAAGTATGCGTCACCTTCGGGAAGCAGATGCTAATGTAATGGGATTGAAGGGGTGCAATTCGGCGGTGACGAGATCGTGAAGAGTAAGCAGGGAGCGGGAAGTGCTACTACATGCATGGCGTATGCGGGATTCCGCTTCGTCAAGGCTATTTTGGCAGCCAGGGGTGGAGAAACTGTTACCGAGGAAGCCTATGTCTATCTTCCTGGTGTTCCTGGCGGCGAGGAGATTGCGGCTAAGCTTGGGGTGGATTATTTTGCTGTTAAGGTTGAGATTGGAAAGACAGGCGCTTCGAAGGCGTTGTCATTTGGTGGGATTTCAGAGAATGAAAGTAAGCTTCTGGGAGTTGCTATCGAGGGGTTGAAGAAGGATATTGCTACGGGGTTGGCTTTGGAGTAGAGACAGCTTACCGTCTTGAGTCTACCTGATAGTAACCTATGGGGTGTATGTATTTTGGGTTGCTTTGTAGAGCTCGATACAATGCCATGAAACTATAGATCATGCTCCATCTCATTAACTGGCCCCCGCGTAAAGAAATGGAATTCTTGCAAGAAGTGATGACGCATAAATAGGTTTACTCCACTATATATATGCAACAAATCATAGTAAGAAAATGTAGAGAATTTGCCAGAGGAAGCACAATCTTAAAGGTCAATTCTGTGGTGAGATGGAGCACAATTGAATCAGTTGTTTGCTCATCACTGAATGCTACTGGAAGACCTTCAAGGAGGTGGCCACATGCCATCGACATGATCCGGCTTTCTGGGTATGGGGTATTCCTCAACAACCTTACCGTCTTCCCACCTGGCACTAACATCGAGCTTCTGGTTCAACGCAAAGAACGTGTCCCAATTCTTGCAGGTATGGTATGTATTGAAGTTTGGGTACGGGATGTCTAGGCCTTGCACCCAGTTGTAGGTCACCAAGGAGAGGTCATCGTTGCACATTAGGGTCTGACGAAGGATATCAACGCAGTGGTCTGGGAAAGCTGTTAGCTGTGTGCTGTACTCCGCAGCTCGAAAACGAAAGAGATTGATTGTAAGACCCACCTAAGTGAAAGAAGATACGCTCATCTGTTTGATTCACGAAATGCTCATCTTTGTCTTTGTAGTAATCCATGTGGATACCTTTCCGCAGTAGATCCTATGAAGTGACACGATCAGCTATATCGATCAACACGCACATAGTCACTATACTCACAACACAGTGTAATTGGTGAAGGACGTCAAAGGTCGCCATATACTCTTGGTCAGGGCCAGCGCTTTCGATTCGTACTGCAACATCAGGATGGTTGTTCAGTGCTGTCAGCTGCTGCCGACTGATGCCCATTGCACCTCCTATCATAGAATATTAGATATCAGACAATGGGAAGATAGATCTTCTGATGTCTAACTTGTCAAGTCATGCCATTTGGCATCCACCTCCGGCCCCACACCGGCGTAATCCGAATGTGCGCTATAGAATTGTTGTTTCTCGTAGACTATTCCACTTTCAAAGCCTGGCACTGTACATGACCTGTCAAAATATGCGTAGAGAAGTCGAAACAAAAGATGTACCTACACCAGTAATCTGTAGGCTTCTGAATGAAGCCTTCTTGGCGGATATGGGGCGCGGTTGTCCAGAGGTTGAAAACAAGCATCACAGTGTTCAACATTAGTAGGATGACACAGAACGACCCGAAGAACAAGTACTTTCGGCTCATGCGTGGACTGGGTTGAACCACATGGTCCTCGAACGGCTTGCTAAGAAACACTCGTCTGGCTTCGTCTTTGTCAAGACTGCTGCTCCCGCGGCAGTCACTGCCATCGTCAACTGGACAATATGCGGCATCCTTCATTTCTGGATTTCTTATTGTTTACAGAACGGCCTCGGAGTGCCTCTGAGGAAGAATGGCTCGAGTGGCTCACAATACCCTCGACTCAGGCTATGTGTTCGGTCATATAAACCCTCCCAGTAGCCCAACCTCGCGAGAGATGATGTCTTGATTGGATAAAGTGGTATTTGTCACATTTCATTAGGTCACCAGAAGAATGCGTGGCGTCATATCGATGATCTTTGCCCATTTTCTGGAGTGTAAGCGCTATCAACACATAATATCAATTTATAGTCGCAGATCACAAGGGAGATTGTGGACGGAGGGTTCACGAGCGCTACGGCGCACATAATAGGTGCTGATGGTAGCATGGTACCGAATCTGGTTTCGAACTGAGTCCGCGAGGCTACCTCTTTTACAAATCCTAGAGATTGATCATCGGTTGCCCTTCTGGCTTACCTGTACTATATTTGAGTTGCAAGTATACTACTACATCTAATCACTATTTCGTGGCACTTATTGATGCTGATCGTTGGACTGTCACACACTGTATCTGCAGCCAGGACAAAGCAATATCGGAGATTATAACAACTGTTTTCTTCACCGGCGGGTGTTAGGAACCGCTTGAAAAAGTAATCTACAAACTTACCATGACTGTTTCTTCACCCGCATGTCTTGGAAACAATAGGAAAAAGCAATATAGGAGACTGCAATGGATGTTGCCTTCACCGATCGGCCTCGCAAATTGTAAAAAGACTTCATAGACGTAGTACAGCAGAGGTCGAGCCCAAGTTTCCATATGGTAATGACTACTCTATCCTCATTGTCATTCAATGTGTGCTTTTCCGAAATGAAGAAGACATGTAGTTTCTCACCCCAGAAAAAGCATAAAAGGCACCCAATCTTAGTCAGATATGGTACAATGCATGGTAACTAGTTAACTAGCGCAATGGGTGAGCATCTGGCCTCAGCCCAATTTCCTTATTGAGCTCAATATTGCATGGACCCTCCACCCGCTGCCTCACAATATACACGATATCGGGACATATCTCTCCAGTTGTCTGATTATATAGATGCAAAATATCATTTCAGTGTAACGGTCAGTGCGTTGACACATGACAGTAAGTCCGGCCCCCGCACGGGCATGATGGAGACAAGCATTGTTGCCAGACAGTTGAAACGAAAACGCATATCGAAAGTGGTGAGGGGCGTAAATGCCTCATAGAAATGGTCCACGATGTGAGACCAAACTACAATATATAATGTAGACCCAGACCTGGAATCTAGATGCAATCTGAATATCTTAAGAACAACTACAACAAGCCCCACAAGCACAAAAACAATCAACAAGCACACTACCACCACCAATAAGAAAAAAAGTTGAACAAAATGCGTTCGTTTATCTGGCTGAGTGCACTTATCGGGCTTGCCATCGCGGCACCCGGAGCGTCTATTCCGGAGGAGAACGACAAGCGGGAATGGCTTGATGGCTACGGCCGTGGCGGTGGAGACGGCTACGGCGGCGGTGATGGTTATGGACTGGTAAGTAGCAATTCAGCTCATGAAAGCAAGCAATTACTTAGATATTACCAGGCTAAGCGAGAGTGGATGGACGGCTATGGTCGTGGTGGTGGTGATGGATATGGCGGTGGTGATGGTTACGGTCTAGTAAGTGGCAATCCAGCTCGTGGAAAGGAAGAAATACTGAAGTTATACCAGGCTAAGCGGGAATGGCTCGACGGTTACGGCCGTGGCGGTGGTGATGGATATGGTGGAGGCGATGGCTACGGCAGAGTGAGTGACTCCCGCATTGTGAAAGGGATAAGGATACTGACATTATACCAGGCTAAGCGGGAATGGCTCGACGGTTACGGCCGTGGTGGTGGTGACGGATATGGCGGCGGTGATGGTTATGGTCTAGTAAGTCGCAATCCAGCTCATGAAAGGAAGCGAATACTTAGATCTCACCAGGCTAAGCGAGAGTGGATGGACGGCTACGGTCGTGGTGGTGGTGACGGATATGGTGGAGGTGATGGCTATGGAAGGGTAATGCCCCTCCCTACCTTATCGCGCAGTGAAGATGCTAATGAAACTGTATAGGTGTAGCTATAGCGCGTTGGCAGATGACAAAGTCTGCAGGAAACTGTACTTGACGTACGTTTTACTGTATGGTTCATTCACCAGAGCCAGACTTTTTCATCGTTACGCTTTCGACGGATGTATCCTGTTGCCTGGCGCAGCATTCAACATGCAAGGTACTGTATCCGTGCGAATTCCGACAAGGCTTTGCCTTTTCCTGTCACTTAATCTTGAGTCTTAGTGCTTAAATGGACACAAGTCATAACAATTTTGATCTATAGCGAGGAAGTACCTATAAAAAGACCCCTCGATGTTCCATTGTAGTGTGCATCTTTAGTAAGGTATTTTCTGAGTACGTAATCGCCATTCATCTCATATTGGATAGGGTAGATCCAGGATCAAGTTCTGGAATCATGGTATACTAGATGGAACACTACTATAAAATGACAGGGTTAACTTTGTGCAAAGGAAGATGATAAAAATAATGAATCTGGAAGTATTCTTTTGAAGAATAATGATACTCCCCTGTTTAATGACTTAATATATCAGTACTGGACCAGCTTCCCAAGACAGGAAAATATCATCACATACATTACCAACTGTTCATCTCGGCAAATATGTCTCCCCCTCCATGCAATTGCCTCCCAGGTCCTGCTAAAGCCATGCGAGAAACATCTATTCGCTCATCCACCATCATGGCCGGCAACAGGGTATGGCTGTTTCCATCGGTCGTGAAGCATACCTTGGAAAGCCGCAACCTCTCCTGCTCACGCAGCATGGCCACAAAGTCGTCGAGAATGTTAATAGTACCGCAGCTCTCTGCCATATGAAGTCCATCAATGACCCATATAATTGATGGTGGTGCATCCACCAGGAGGCCTCCGATTATCCTCAACGCAGTGGAGGTAGATCCTATCGTTCCATCAAGATTTTTAAAATGTGCCAGGAGCTCTGGGGCACCGTGGAAGTCTGCGGGGAGCAGACGCGCAAGTTGTGCGATTATGGAGTACAAAAGCGCGATGACACAGGCTTCTTGGCTCGAGACATCCGTGTCGCGATTGTACCTTGGCTTACAAAAGAATGAGATACAGGGGATTTGTGCCCTTGTGCTCAGAGCGCACAGCTGCATGGCTGCCAGGGAGAGGTTGGACCTATGATTAAATGACGGGACCCCCTCGAGCCAGATCATTTTCGACCGTGGGCTCCTGATCCAGTCCTGGATCTCACTCAATACTTCCTGTGGAAGTAGAGAAGATGGAATTCCTCGGAGTGAATGGGAAAGCTCTTCTCTCCCATCGTCAGTGTACTTCATGAGGGCTGTCGTGGCTTTCTGAATGTCGTAGCGCGCGCATGTCTCATCTGCGTCTTGGATGGTTTGTTAGGAAGGTAGAATAAATCAGATAAATGCAACAATATTTACCAGAGTCCGACTCAGTCTTCCATGTCTCGACTTCAGTAGCTTGAACATCGGTCGGCTTAACATCTGTCAGGCTCTCCCTCTTCTCACGTATCTTTAGCGACTGTGGATCTAGCTCACAGATTAGATTACCATTCTTAAGTTGGCTTAAGTTATGGTCAGGTAGTTGTCCTACCGTGTTTAGCATTCCTCTCAACCTCTTGCAGCGTTTCAAGTGAGCATGCTCCCACGAGCTGACCCAAGTGGTGAAACTTCGCCTGCGTCGCATTTCGGTCGTCGTCTCGACTCTCACTTCCCACAACGTGAAGATATAAGAATTTTCCAGAGACGTCAATTGGCCGTGGGCTGACAATATCGAGCACTTGGCCAAGCTTGCTGCTGATTCCCAGGACCTGCTTCTCTGCCAGATGTGCCGCTTCGTCACGGATCCGTGCAACCGCCGATTTCATGCGATCAACCAAGTCCTTGACCTCATGGTCATAAGAACTCCTATCAATGATCGTCCGATATCGATGGCGCGGTCGACTAAACCATGACATTGCGTTGCAGAGGAACTCAAAGACCATCACGTAGTAGTCCACGACGAGCGTCCTCATGTCTGCGCTGTCCCAGATATCCGTCTTTTTTTGGACGAGCCTCAAATCACTGCTAAGATCGACCAAGGCGGAAAAGAACCCCTCAGCAATTCACCTATAATTGGCACATATCTAAGTACGCGCAGGTGTTTTGAGCTCATGGCCAACTCGTGCTCTCCGGATGTGATCGCATACCTTGACGACTGACGAGATAACACCTGTGATCAGACTGATGTACTTGTCTCCGGTCGGGATGAACTTGAACAGAAAAGAATGGTCATCCATCATCTCCAGAAAGTCGATAACATAACTCTTGACCTTTCCGAGTCATTTATTTCTCTTAGCCTGCCAGTCCATTTGGGCGTCCTGGACGATGTTTCTCAACGTGGCAATATTCGGTATCTCTGGGACGAGTGGATTAGAGCCCACTCTAGAATCTTCTTGATGATGCTCTCGGAATCGCTGCCAAATCTCTACAATGCTCTTGCGACCATCTTCTAGCCGCCTCAAATCTGCGTCACTGGTGATTTATTCAGTCTCAGCATAGTAGTGCTACGCGAAAAGGCATGCCTGGTTGCATGATGGGCCTTACTCTGTGTTATCTCCGAATCTGAGCCATTTGTCCCATTGTTCCGCCTGCACCCGAGCCTGTATCTCTATCTCATCCCGCTGTTTTATCGTGGTACTCAAGGCCTGGGTGAGCGGGTTGTTGGGCGTCTCCTGCTCTGCCTTCATGCTATATCGCCTGATCAGAAAGGATATCGGTGGTTGTTGCATTGCTTTCTCGTCTACCTGGAGCCACATGAATCCAAGTGTTGTCGGATTTTAGTAGTATGTGGCGTGTTAGATATAGGAGACGAAATGGTGATGGAGTCGTCTAGTGGGGCGGAGAGAACTTGGGTATTGGGCACTGAGAGATACCCCATGTCTTTACGCCCCCACTCAGCCTCTTCCGTGGCCGTTTGAGAGCCAGCAGACCAGTCGCCAAGGCTGAGACAAACAGGGAAACTTCGTATTAGCATGGGTGGTATGGCCACCGGACACGGGCTCATAAGCGCTGAGCGTGAGAATGGAGCGCTAAGTGGAGTGCTAAGCCTCTCAGCCTCCACAAAATGGTGGAATCAGAAGATAAGCCATGCAGTAACCTTAAGCCAGAACTAATAAGTTTAGTGGTATAAAGGCGGACTGACATCACTCCATGCAGACACCCAGAGTCGACTTTTTCATGATCAATCAGTTAAATGTCGATCTAGCGACTTGTATCAGCGTTCGGCAAAGAGGACCATGAACCACGGCGCCGCAGGAGACGTGACTGCCATCAGCTTAGGCACTACTTTGGTTGCAACTCCCCCTACCAACATGAGCATAAGTGTGAGTACAGAATCAGAATCCGTCTCATCGAATGGCAAGACACATACAAGTACAGGAGCAGACCACTCTCCGAGTTCCAATTTGGAGGAGGATGCTGCTTCGGAAAAAGTGACAGAAACTGGTGGAGAGGGAGGTGTTTCCAGTGACGATGCCAAGAACCAGTATGAGGATAATCAGGTGTCATGGGCAACATTATACTGTCCGGAGAATGGGCGATCCCATGCGACCCTCCTAGATTTTGGATTTGGCGAATGCCCCAAGTGCGGCCAAAATTTGACGGTCATGTGGACGCAGCCCACATGGGCTCAGCAGGAGTTCAATAACCCACAAGAACACAGCAACGAACAGGATGACAACCAACCAGGACCGCATTTGCCTAAGAACAGCGAAGCAGAACAATTGGCTCCAGCGCCCGAGGTCCACGAGGACTCTACAACTGATCCTTCTTCCATTGTGACCTATTGCCTGGAATATCTAGACGCCGGGAGCAACATTATCACCACAGTGCCATGGTCAGGTCCTTTCAACAGCTCAGTCATTCAAAAAAGCGTCGAGGTCAAGCAGCGCGTTATCTTCAATGTCACTACGGTTTTGGAAACGTCTGTGCCCCCGGACCCGCACAGATACTCAAATGAAGTCGAAGGCCTTCTACACGATGGCATCATAACGAACCCGACCATCGAGGTTGGGGTCCGTTCAACCCGTATGACCATCTTCTCCAAGACTCTTCTCAATGCTCTGGCCCGTGCGGTAACTTACTACCCGGCTGAAAGACTGGGTGGGGAGTATCTCCAACTCAATGAGCCATTTTGCTTAGTCGGTCATCATCTTAAAGAGCTTGAAGCTTACCGCGCGACATATCGAGAAAACGATGTTGGCTCCCCACAGCCAGATGGCGCAGACCGTGATCCTGCCATTCCGATGTGTGACAAGGAGACATTTGATCAGCTAGGCCTGCTGCTTGATTATGTAAAAGACTCATTCTATAAAGATCGTCTCCCTGATGAACTAGCCCGACACACTCAGAACCGTTGCACATTCCGAATGCTGTGGCTACTCTTCAAGCCCGGAGAAACTGTGTATATGGAGTCTGGGGGTCAACTGTCAGCCTACGTGGTCCAATATATGCAAGTTGATAAGACGTTGCTTTCATCCACCGGTCGCAAGTTTACTCATCCGTATATTGTTCAACTGTGGAATCTTGACTTCAATGGTACATATGTCGGGAGGCGTTCCAAAACCGTGACTATCGCACACTTCGATGGTGAGCGACAAGTCACCTCGCTCAAAATATTTCCGTGCCACTTCATCGATAGACAGGATAATGGAAAGACTCGGAGGCATTTGGAGGATCTCGGGCGGAAATGGTATGAGCTTCTCCAGGGAAAGCAGGTGTTCTACTCGGGCGAGTTCCTGGGTCCAGCTAAGCGACAGGTAAGCATGCGTTTATTACCCGCATGAGCCATGCTGACTTCTCGTGGTAGTACCAAGGCCGCGTCTACGTGGACTCAGCTTCTTATTTTGCACAGCACGAATACACAGCCCCAGACATCTGTGAAGTCGAGGACATGGGTGACGGACTAGCCAAATGCCTTTGCGAAGAGTGTCGTGGCTGGAAACCTCACCCGCTGCCTGGCTTCCGGTGGGCCGCTTATGATCTTTTAGACCCGAAAGTCGATATCGATCTCGAGCTTCCTGAGTCTCCCGAAGGTGCTCGTCATCGCTACTTACTCTGCAGCCGGGTACTTTATGGACTTGTGTTGAAGTCCAGGACATGGGGTGGGTGCTACCATGTCGAATCTAGTTTCTCAATGACTCGCTAACGGGCGCAGAGGAATTGAACGTCTCGTATTGTAGGGAGCCGAAAGTGAACAAAAGGGCTATTGATAGCTTGGTTATGCCGGAAGCAAGGAAAGAGATGATCCGCGCGCTTGTGCAGAAATACACAGATTCTAGAAGCGACGAACAAAATAGATCTTGGGGAGCCGATTTCATTGAAAACAAAGGCGAAGGGCAGATATTCCTCCTTCATGGCAGTCCGGGTGTGGGAAAAACCTTTGTAAGTTCTATCCTCCCCAGATATAACCTGAAACCTACTGACGGCCACAGACTGCTGGTATGTCGTATACGCGATCAAATGACAGCACGTCGCTATCATCACTGACCCAACCCAGAATGTATAGCCGAATACACCGGACGGGCACTACTATCGCTGACCGTTGGAGACATCGGTACAGACGAAGTCGTAATGGAGAACCAATTGTCCAAATGGTTCAGACTAGCCGAACAATGGGGAGCGGTTATGCTCATCGATGAGGCGGATTTTTATCTCGAGAGGCGACAGATCACAGATCTTAAGCGCAATAGTCTGGTATCCGGTAAGTTTGATAGATTTATACCCAGATAACTCCAACTCACACTTTACTCCAAAAGTATTTCTCCGGTGCATCGAATACTATCGAGGAATTCTATTCCTGACGACTAACAGAGTCGGCCACTTCGACGATGCCTTCATCTCTCGAATCCACGTCGTCATCCGGTACGACAATCTGAGCGAAGAAAACCGGCGAACGATCTGGGAGCAATTCTTCGACAAGTTGACCGACGAGCGCCATGACTTTGTTGTGACTCGACGTGCAAAGTCCTATGTCTTGGAGGATGAAGTGATTAGCAAAATGCAATGGAATGGACGGGAAATTCGTAATGGTATGATCCTTACCCACCATAGCTCTTCATACAAACAAAGAAACTGAGATGATTTCTCTAGCGTTTCAAACAGCCGTTGCCCTCGCCGAATACCGTTTTTCTCAAAAGCAAGACAAGTCCAAAGACGACGGCCCGACATTGGATCAGCGAGACTTTGAGCAAGTGTGCAACATGACGAGGGACTTCAAGCAGTACTTGACCACTGTGCATGGTATTGATGAAGAGGGTCGCGCGTTTCATGCTAAGGCTAGAGCCGGTAATATTCGCCGGACTTGATGCTGTAGAAATCGTCTGCCCATAAAGGGAACCTAGAGTCTCGTACAAAGCCAAAACAATACAAACATGCCAAATAGACATGGTATGATGTCAGCCATACCATCTAGGTCATTCATATATCCCCTCCATTTCCATGACTCACACCTTACCATCCCATTCACCAATACTTAGGTCATCATTCTGCAACTTATCAGTCTACAATAGGGTACCCAATCAGCTCCCCCTATTCACCGAGAAGTCGAGACAATCGCGAAAATCCACTTTACCTGACAGACCAATCATTCGACGCGCTGGTGACGCGTGGACGTAATTACTATAGAATCAGATCAAATCAGATTAGATTGTCTTCCAAGATTGTGGCCTGGGGTATGGGGCAGAGTGGTTGTCTACCGTAATGAATGATTACCTTATACTGCTAGCCATAGACGCTATATCCAATAAGTGAGGTCAGTGTTTTGAGGGCGGTTTTCATCTCGTGTTGTGCTTTTAGCTTGTTTCAGGTCTTTGAATATACTCCCGGTATCACTAATAAATTAGGGGTTGCAATCCCCGGAGCTAAGAACGGATCAGCTAAGAAGCCATCATCATAATTGATTGTTAATCTGCCAGATGATGGCACTGCATTATCTACAATATTACGTCCTATCTCGCTGATATGCTCAAGTACCAAGAGAACCATTCTCAACTGCCAGCGATAATGGAGTGCGTCTCAGCAGGTAACACTCGTGAATTATAAGAACGAAATAGTGGTCAGGGTTCTTAAGACTCTATATGAGTGTTTATTCTCCTAGTGCGGCCGGATTCCCCGCCCCAAACCCCAGACCTTGAACATTTTTTCCTCCCTGTATGATCGAGATTAAAGTTCTCCAATGTCCACGGTTAGTATTAGCGACCCTTCAGAGCCGATTGTCCGCCTCACAAAAACGAAATGGCCTCTATAATTATGGGGGTGGGTTGATGTTTTTAAAGCCCATATAATCGAGAAGATGCTTATGGTAAGTCAAATTACGGGAAAGTATGCTGAATTAGAGAAGTAAAGGTCACTGGAAAACAGAAACGGGCGGTATGAGTAACTACTTGCGGAAGTAGAAGAAGCGCCCGCGCCGCCACATGCTTCTCCAACACCATGACCTTGTTCTCAGTATAAGCGGAGGATCCGCCGCTATACCTAGATTCTCCATAACAGCTCAGCAAAGGAAAGTCAGATGCATTGGATGTCAATCTTATCCATATAATTTAGGATAGACCCAAGGTGGGTGGGTCCCGGCTTGGCCCGACCAATTGTTCGAAGGCCTGGATAAGGCCCTTCGGGTCGTTGTCGCTCAGTCATTCAATTTCTGAGGGGCCAATACATCCGGCTGGGGTATAACAAACGCAGTCTACTCTGCGAGCAAGGACTTTGGTATGTAGCGTTAGATAAAGTTGTGACTTGAGGGGAATTGTCATCAGGTGGGTTTTCCGCAGGAAATCTTGGGATAGAAGGAAGTCAGTATCTATATACTTTACTGAGTAATGGACAATGCCCTATATTGCCAGTGTTGTCATCGCTCCTTCTAGTGCCCGCAAGCCATTGAGACTGTATGATTAAAGTCCACAATCAGATTTCCTTCATTCTACTTCATATCTCGTGAACGTCTTTTCCCACACAAAGTTAATAATACAGATACAGAGGACAGAATACATCCGCGCCAGACTCTCTTCGTCATTCATCTCACTTGCTGCCCTGTGCTTTCTGATAGCTGTGGCCATCATAAGTATAAGCATACTCACCAACATCAAATCCCCACTTGCCCTTGCCATTGGAACCCGGTTTGCAGATGGCATCATTTTTGTTAGGCTTAGCGTTGTTGTTGTTGAGTGCCTTGCAGTAGGGACTGATTGATATATGAAATCAGCAGTTGCCAGAAGAATAGTAAAGAAAGCTTAGGTGTTCCCTTACCCTAGCTCTCCTGTCCATCCTGTAATTTCGAACCAGCTATTCTTACCCTGGTGTGCGGATTTGATATCATACATATTGTAGAAGCTGTTGATAGAACCGCCTTGCGAGCGCTGAGATTCTGTGGTTACTGGGAACAAGATTGCCCTGCTTGGTGATCAGTACGCTAAATATCTGTTACCGCCAATTTACCTACTGGTAACCACCCTGAGTAGTTGATGCGTATGGAAACTCCTCTGGAGACACGTATTGACTGCCAGGTATCTTGACCTTGGCCGCTGTCGGGTTTCGGAAGGGACCGGCCCCCTTGCCTCCTGGAAAATACTTCTTCACGCCGGCGTCCTTTCGGTTCTCATTGCTCTCTGTTCCATCTCTCTGGCTGAGCAATGGAACCAAAACTGTTTGTTAGATGGATGCCGAATCTGGGTTGGTGCAATGAGTTGCCGTCAGAGGCTGACAATATTGGTTCTTTCCCCAGACACAGAATAGCATAACAGTCGCCATCAAAAGGCAAAGCGTTATCTCGCTTAACCTCCATTACCCCTGAAATAGGGTTGCTTTTGCTTGAACCGGCAACAGGGGGAGCACGGCTCGCCAAGTTGTTAGTAGCAACATCTTCGGTGGCATAAATCGGCGCTGCGTAGGTTATATTTATGATCCTCGTATAGAAGACAAGTACAATGAGAAGACTGTAACCCCGCATGGTGAAAGAGTATATAGATTGTGTAAATTAAAGAAAGCCCTGGATAGAAACTTGGTTGTCTTTCTCGTCTATTTCTTGATGCTTGACATGCTCTCGACAGCTACGTACACGAGCTAGTTGGCTCTTATATTTCTGATTTGATCTCTCAAGGTGCCACATCATGGCTGTATTCAGGGGCAAGCCTGAAGCACCTCACTGGGGCTAAACTGGATGGCTTTGCCTTGCATATGTGAAGGCGAGCGGTATAGCAGTGAGGAAACTGCGGTTCAAAATGGGAAACTAGGGACCAGGAAAGATCAAACATGATTGATGAAACATGGTGTCACTGTGATTGGGACATTTTTTACGATTGAAGGGGAATAAGCTGATCAAACCCTTTGCAGGCGATACTCATCATGGAAGAGCATTGTTTGAAACTAGCTCATGGAATAGAAACGTAAGGGGAAAGTAGTAGGATGAGAGAACAGGAAAATAGAAGGCAACCATTGTCAGGGGTTTGAGTCTGGATATTTTAACGGCCCGTCGCTGTCAGGTCGGCTGCATAGGGGCCTTGATTGCTAGGTATGAGTGAGTGGTTGGCAAACCCTGGGAGATTATTGGTTCCACAAGTAGTATACCTGAAGCCTCAGAATACCGACTTTGCGAGAACCTAATGTTGCATCGGTCATCAATGGCAAGAATTGCCAATTTAGGGGCTGATATCACCCAGATAATCATAGAAGTCAATTATTGTGATTGTGCTGAAGTATGACTATTCTCGGGGTGACTGTCATCCAATGCTGGTCGCACAGTATGTTTTGGAAGATGCCTCTACACTTGATCTCTGCCTGCTCAGCATCATAGCAAATAGGGTAGATATACCAATGCCTTGGTATGTGCCTGTTGGGTGCCCAGAGACAAAACCGCACTCGACTGGCTTAGGCTTCCAGTTGCAATGGTTCCAGAATCAGTACAACAATGTCAGACCGGAGCTCTCCTCTGAGCCTCAGCGAGATGTATTTCAAGTTCCGGCTTCACACTGTTGGACAAAGAAATTTGTGAACCCATCGCGTCTGAGAATGGTAGCCGGATCTTCCCCTCCTTGGCGCGTTGGCTTATGTGAGACTCACACATAAGACTCCCTGATAATCCCTGCATTCCCTGTTCACATTGGCTGACTGTGTTACTACTGGGCGGTTAACTTACATGACAGCTTTTAGCCCCAGAGCTGCAGCACCTCACAGGTAGTAAGCCCAATAGTCAAAGGCGGTGAGTCTTACGTGTAGCTTATCTTCGGATATTCACCATGTACGCGCCTTACCCAACCTGGCCATCTGGCAGATGCAGGAATTATAAAGCCTCTATTGCGGCCGCGTCTTCCATATTCGAAACTCATTCCACTGATGAGAAGCTGTTCACTGATTCCTTCCGAGATTGAAACTACAACACCTGTTACTCCAATCACAATGTCCGACATCATGACTTTTTTCACGGCGAATATGCCCGCAAGTGTATGATTATAAGAGTCCATGTCCATGGCCACGGCCGGGGCAACCTAGCTAACCGTTCGTCCCAGGTATTCAATCAACTCTTTGAAGAGAGCCAGACGGCTGAGAACGCGTGTCCTTTTCTTACACTTATCCGTTATCCAGAGCAGGAAGAGGTGGATGACTGGGGAACGAAAGCACCCATCCAGGATTTTGAGACGGGATTCCTGGGCAAAAGCGACGATGAGCTTCGTCAATACTTCCGCCGCTTCTTGTCCGAAAGACCAGGATACAAACAGGGGAATATTGGTGGACACTGGATGGCAGAGCTCGACGAGCATTCTGCCATTGAGTCAACAATCGTGCTACACTACGGGATGAAGAAATCGACGTGGGATTATATGCATGAATATGAGCCCGAGGCAGAGATCTTTGCGGATGGGAAGCTTTGTGATGACGGGTATATCTGGTGGAAGTGGAGAGTCCCGTTCAAATACTCCTATAGCTTCTACATATCCATCGAATGCTGCGACTTTGAGGTCATGCAATTGTTCTGCCGTCCAGATTATCGGGACTCGCGGGGACTCATCGATTATGAGACCTGCGACAAGATCATTCGCAGGGAGATTCCAGACCCTTTGCAGACTGTGGGAGGAGAATGGGATGAGTCGCCTGACCCGTGATTTTGAGGGCCACTATTGCCGATCACGGAACAGCATGGTTAGCGACGGTTAGGGGACGCCTGGTAGCATAAATATAACCTAGTCATGCGAGAACTCGATCTGATTCAGTCCTTATTTGTAACCATATTCCTTAACTGGATTGAATCTGTTAGAGTATCACAATGGGAAGATCGACCTGAAAAGAACATGGTTTAGTCACACTGTGAACAATGTATTACCTATTAAGCATGGCCAGCTCAATTCAGCAGGCGGTCTGAGTACAAGTACGTGATGAAAGGCTGTTGACCTACAATCTATCGTTATACTGGCTTCGCTAGGTTATTCACGAGGTGTAATGATACAGATCATTATTATTAACACTGTCATGTAATCATGTGCTCTAACAATGTCCACAAAATTTAGGGTTACGTCTCCGATATCTACCCTGACGTAAAGAATTTCTAGAGACTCACCTCAGTAACCTGAGTGCGTATTGGATAGCAACCCTCCCCATTAATGCTTCGACAAAAGACGAGACCAGCAGAACGGAGGGCAGTATTGCCTGTGCGAGGTTTTAGAAATCGGTTGAAACAGTATAGAAGGGGGAGGGGTTGGGCGCTATCTACCAGACAACCATGCTGCGCCGCTAAGGCCGACAGCCTGCGCGATTCGGTATCCAGATGGATATGTGCTCATTGTCTAAGAAGAAGACTAGTCACTGGGAGGATAGTGAATTCAAGGTCAAAGAAACAAGAAAATTGATATCAGCAACAGAGAAGTTCGAATTACTAGAATACTTGCGGCCATAGAAAAGGGAGCTATGACGAAACGATGAGTGAGGCCACGGTCCATCCTAATAGTAAACGACATGGCCAAAGTGGGCCCCCAATTCACGAATAGCAAAGCTTTCCAAAGGCCGTCCAAAGACCGAGCCAGTTGAAGTCGTTCCACCGGTTAGTGCTCTTGGCGGATCCCAAATTATATGTTCCCGGGGCCCACAGAATCCTTGTAACACCTTAGTCCGAAGTGGGCTTTGCGTTGATATAATGGATATTGAAATCAGGAGGTGGGCGTATGAATAAACCCTTGGTTTTGGAGCATATTGTCTAATACAGCTTGAGGTTATAGCTTCTTACGGCTAATAGAGTACATATGCAACGAACCAACGCAGTACACCATTCTTCGAAATAGGTATCGTTTAGAGCAAGCTATTGAATACTAGAAACACAAAGTCAGCGTTTAGCACGAGGAGTGTTCTGCGCCTTCCACAGCATCAACCCTCTTGCTGTCTATATCGCCAAACTATAGCAAAACTGCTTCACAGTCTCAGAGATACATGCCCACAGCCAACAATCCTCCCATCAGTGGAAAACCCGTTCGAACCATATTCCAAACTCCCCAACTAGTCATTGCCGCCTCAACGTGATCGCTTTCACTATTGGACTCAGCTGCTGCCGCATACAATATTATCTCCGATCGTTTCAGCACTATAATTGTGAAGGGGACGATGCCCAGGCATGCAGTGGCTGCAGCGAGAAAGCGGTTGCCCTGGGTTTTCAATCCCAACCACCCGAAGCAAGCCGCCGAGAACAATACCAATGGCGTACAAAGCTTGTGGCAACGACGATGCACGTGGACCCACCGCTGTGCAGCCAGGGCGGGGGATTCTCGAACGTCAATAAGGGCAGTGCTAACACCAGCAAATGAGGAGGTAAAGATTGCACCTATCAAAGGGGGGTGGCTGTGAGTAAGTCTCAGATTAATTGAATAATATGTAGTTGGAGTTCAAAGCTCAGTCAACTTACCGGCCACAAACGACGAGGAGATTACTCCTGTTGCGTGGATGAGGGACGAATTATTCGTCATCTTGGGGTACGCATTCAAGTTTAAGCGAACTAGATCGACTAACGAGTGAAAATTCAGCACTATTGGTCAGTTCTTATACTGTCGCTTTGAAATCGGCATAGTACACCGGCGTACAGGATAGTGCCTACGCGGGTCGACTGCAAAACCCGAGGGGCGGACTTAGGGCTAATTGAATGCCCGCTTACAAACCATTAAGACTCAGAATATCGTCGGTCGAATGACGTGGTTATCTCCTGAGTATATAGACACATCAAGATCCTGTAAACAAAGCTGCGATGAGCGCTATCAGGTTCATTTTTACCACTTTAACTGCTGCCTCATCATGCTGAAGTATAACAACATCATCATCTTGGGTGCTACGGGGGATGTGGGCTCCGCAGCCGCTCTGCAAGCCCACCATGAGGGAGCCACGGTTTCGCTGGCGAGGCGCAACCTGTCCAAATCCATCCCCCGACTCGCTCATATACCGTTCAAGAGATATCAGGCCGACCTGACCCGGCCCAGTACCCTAGCTGCGGCCGTTTGCGACGCTGGTGCCAAGGCGGCTTTTATCTATGGTGTGTTCGACGACCAGGACTTTATGAGAGGCGCTCTCCGTACTCTCAAAGCAGCCGGAGTTGAGTTTGTGGTCTTTCTAAGCAGCTTTCTCATCCTCACCGATATTCACAACGTGGACCCCTCTGACATCGTTCCCTGGGAGCACGCCCAGGTGGAAATTGCACTTGAAGAAGTCTATGGACGTGATTCGTACGTGACTGTGCGACCGGCCTTTTACGCCAGCAATCTATTCCACCAAAAGCAGGCCATCCAGCAAGGCGAGGTGAAACTTCCCAACCCGGAGGCGAAGTTTGACTTCATCTCCTCGAAGGATATTGGTCAGGTTGCTGGGACGATTCTAGCCCACGGTGCCCAGGAACATATTGTGCGACTCTTGGGACCCGAGAGGATGACTTTGAGGGAGGCTGTGGGAATCATTGGGGAGGCTCTGAGTCAAATAGTCCGGGTGACCGCAGTCTCCCGCGAGGAAGGTGCTGCGCAATTGGAAGCCGCCGGTGTCCCGCCCCCAATGGTTCAATGGCACCTTCATAACGTTATCGACCGTGCTTCCTTGTATCTTGAAAGCTCCGAGGCTCTCATAACTGGCGACAATATTTCAAAGTATGCCCATCACCCTCCACAACGCTTTCGCGACTGGGTGGAGGAGCACAAGGCACAGTTTCTGGACTGATTTAGACTTGTACTGGAGACAAAGAATCCGAATCGGGAGCTCTTTTGAACTCGGTCAGTCGTCGGGTCTGTCAAAAACGAGGGCTTTTCATATTTACCAGCAATTATGAATCTTGTATAGAATAGATGAGATGAGACCTGGTGGTACCTATATTGGTACTACTTAAGAAGCATTTAACCCTTGTTTCAACACGCCCAGTGGCTGACAACGGAGTCATGTGATTTTCCATTTCCGGCTTTACTAGCATATTCAACGCTCCCTTTTCTGCCATCCTTGGAGACCCCTTATATCATTACTACTTCCCCATTTATAATCTAGTTAAATCATCCCTAATCATCACCACGCCCTTCCCATTCCAAGCTTCCAGCCCCATCGACATGCAAGTACTTCTCCCCCACCTCATGCATCGCAATGTTCTCGCCGCCACTCATCACCAATTGGGTTCATTGTAGGGCGAGACGCCGGCGCAAACCGTCAGCTCACTAGGTCAAGCGCTGCGAACCGTCGGTGGCCTGACCAAGCCAAGTGGCAGGGGGCTGTTTATGTTCCATTGTCTGCTGGCGGGGAGCTCGTCCGCTGCGATTATCGGCATGCTTGGGGCTACGGTCATGGGCTATGCCTTTACGGCGGGCGCTGTGGGATTTCTTGGCGGCTCCTGTGTAGGCTTTGTTTTGGGAAGCATCGGCTACTACCGTACTTGTGCGCGGCAAAGCTTGATTGCCTTCCTCAGGTACCCCGATTTACTCCGGCACCATATCGCCATTGACTTCGGCATGCATGGAGTGGACAAAGCCTCACTGTTTTGGGGCACCGACGTGCAAAGGACTATGTCGGAAATTCAGAGTGACTTTTCCCTGCAAGGGATGTTGGTTGCTGCTTGGCATTCGGCGGTGCCGGCCATCGAGGTTGGTTTCGAATCGAGTTTCGGTGTAAGGATGTTGGTAGTGAGCGAAGACGAGCTGACCAGAAGAATCGAACCAGGAGATTCAAAATATGGAAGAGGCCCGTCTGGTGGCCAATAGTGCCTAGGTTATGATATACCAGGAGGCAGTATGATGCAGAGCCATTTACACTATCGGTGCGACCAAAGAATGGATTTTAAGATTGTTCGAGATACCTACTAGTTAGGTTTAGCAACAACAATTTACTAACGCAGTCTGTGTGGTACATATGCAGTGGATAATTGACTTTATGAATCTTGATTACAGATTCTTTTTGTGCAGCTTAGATATAGTTGTTCATTTATAATGGTATATCTACTGATATTCCGCATATTCCCGCCATTCCTTCATGAAGCGTTTCGCGTTCTTGTTGCTTTTCCGGAGTCGGGTGAAATCCCGGAGGTGTACCAATGATCGGTATATCGTTAATCGCATCAAAAGACGGGGCGGCCCTGGTGATGGCCCGATGGTATTTAGACCGTGTGGATAGGAAACAACTTATTTTTTACAGGCAAAACTTATTTACCTCAACTTCCGATTTTATATATTTAATAACCACTTGACTAATATACTAAATCTCACCGTATGTCTTTCGAAACTCACCAACTCAAACAGGCATCTCAGCGGACTATCACGCGGGGAATACCCGTCGCACCAAGCAAGGGCGGGCAAAATGCCGGAGAAGGAGCCGAGCTTTAATCTTTTATCTGCCACCCAAAGGCTCCAACGCTGATTGTGGACAAAATCTTGAGCGATAATCAATAGATATGAAGTGGTCGCACTTGTTACCCTTGGCCTTGCATCTGAGCTCCACGGCAGCAGTAATGAGCGATTCTGTTGAAAGTAAGTAAAGATAACCAATGCATGTATATCCTGACTGATACATGATGACAACCCAATTAAGGTATGAGAAAGGTTCTCGAACCATTCAAGTATAGCTCATTTCCCTTGGGTACTATCACCGCGACGGGCTGGTTACAGGATCAGCTGGAGCTCGAAGCAAATGGACTAGCTGGCCATCTCAACGACTTCTACCGCTTCGTGGCCGGATCGACATGGGTCGGGGGTAGCTGGGAGTACAGCACATTAGACGAAGCAGCGCCCTACTGGTTCAACTACGTTGTTCCTCTCGCCTGGACCATTGATGACGCGCGCCTGAAAGCTCAGGCGAAGGAATTTCTCGATTACGTGCTTGACAATCAAGCTGAAGATGGATGGCTGGGGCCCGAGAAAACTCACCAAACTCGAGGAATATGGGCACGTAGTCTGCTCTTCTTTGGCTTAGTGGTGAGTGCATATGTCTGGTATGTGTACATGTGGTGCTTGGCTCTGACCCAGCGGTCCAGCAATACGCACAAGCAGATCCATCCGAGACGGACCGGATTGTAACAGCGATGCATAAGTTTACCATCCTTGCCCATTCTATGCTCAAGGACAATTTCACCGGCCTGATCGAAAACACGACGCTTGGAGACGGGTTTGATCCCTACGGCTTTGGACTAGCCCGGACGCATGAGTTGCCCATGTCGTTGCAGTGGTTGTATGAGAACTATCCACGAAACAACTCTGAAATAATCTGGGAGACTATAGAGCTTATGTTCGCTGGAGGCGTCGCCGGTGGTAAAGACTGGACAACCTTCTTCGTTGAGGGTGTTTTCCCTACCTTGGGAACACCGTATATCACGACCAGCTCATTCACCCATGGTGTCAATTTAGCAGAAGGTATGAAAATAAAGCCTGGGACAGTGGATATTGTGTTGACCAAAGCAGGCCTACGGTATTCCACGGTGCTCTATCGAATGAATGGAAACTCTTCCTTGTTGGACCAGACTTCGTTAGCGGTGAACTTGCTCACCACTTACCAGTCGACACTTGCTGGGAGCATCACGGCCGATGAGCATCTGGGTGGACTCAGTCCCGAGCGAGGGTATGGGTCCCCGCACGTCTCTTGTTTGACCATTGATAGCACTGACAGGGGACAAGTTCGGAAACCTGCATATCGGTCGAAATGATGTTCTCCATGGCCTACCTGTATCGGTTCTATGGCACCAACGCGTACGCAGACCGAGCCGAGCGCGTCGCATTCAACTCCCTGCCTGCAGCGCTATCACCGAATTGTAAGTCTATGAGCACCTGGTACAAATACCCCGGCTAAGTCTCTCTTAGGGTGGTCACATCAATATGTCCAGCAGGTGAATCAGCCTTGGTCCCGCAACCTAAGTGCCGTCCCTTTCGGGAACGTGAACTCCTACGCCAACAGCTATGGCCTCGAGCCCAACTTTCCTTGCTGCACCGTCAACCATGGCCAGGGTTATCCCAAGTATGTGGCCTCTTCTTATGTGCTTGAGGGAGACAGCCATGTGATTCACGCACTACTGGGCCCCGAAACATTGAGCACGAAGCTGGCTACAGGCAACGTGACCATAGCATGCACAACCAACTACCCCTTCTCCGGCCGACTGGAGTATGCAATCACAACCACCACCGACCTATCATTCTCCGTCCGTATCCCTGACTGGGTGAACAAGACGAGCTCTCAGTACTCACTCGCTGGCGGATCCTCCAAACCCCTCTCCTCGGACTCCAATAACCTGCAAACCTTCAACCTCACCACGGAAACTACCCAGATAGCTGTGGAGCTAGAAATGGGCATCCAGGTCACAAAGTCACCAACCAACGGCACCGCAGCCATCTACTACGGCCCATTATTATACGCGCTAGACATAGACTACAACTCCACCTACCACAGCCCCCTGAACTATTCCTCCTTGGAGCCACTGCCAGCAGACCAGATTGTGGCGCAGACACATGACTATGTGCTCGACCCAACCTCTGCTTGGCGGTATGCTATCGACCCGACCTCGGTGACTGTTCAGCAGGTCTACGATCGCGATGGACAACTTCAAAATCCCATCTGGGCGAAAAATGCCACCCCCGTTGCCTTGTTCGCGGATGCATGGCTGGTCCCCTGGGAGGAGGATTCGGGGACCGCTGCGGTGCCCCCGAAATATCCTAATGTTACTGGGTCACCGAGTAAGATCAGCTTGGTCCCTTACGGCTCGGCAAAGCTGCATATTGCCGATTTCCCTATTGCGGTTCAGTCGTCGTAGGGGGTTGTCGATGATGTTATGGAATATATAACTAAAAAAAGTCGGGGCTTGGTGATCTGATGTTTGATTCATGACCATGACCTCAGAGGCCTTCGCTATGTGGCTTTTAGAAGCTGTCTACAAGGTAGCATGTGTGATACGTCTATCTAAAATTAATTGAAGTTACAACAGAACGTCAAACATGGGTAGGTTCTCGATTGTAAACCAAATACATGAGGAAGAGTATAGATACAGATTTCCAATCTTCACTGATTTCCCACAATAACAGCCAATACTAAATGATACTTGGAGATAATAATCAGATCATATAATATAGTTAAATTGATTTTATTAATTTATTTTATTCATCGACTTTTCTTATTAATACATTATATATTTTAATTTTATGTATTCTTCATTCCTTTCTTACGTTCAATATTCTAAGGTAGTATGCTAAATTTTACATGATGGCGCTCGAACTGACAGTCCTCCCAAGACACACAGCTACCATCGGCCTGACTCGAATTAGTTTCAAACGTTATATTGATTACCAAAATCATTCCCCTGATTATTCATCGATGTTACTCACCGTATTCCGATAAGTGTTGCCCTTGCAGTAACAACCTCCCTCCTCTGTTATTATCTCGCAGAGAGTTCTGAGAATCCATTATGCCCGGTGTGACTCGACCCTTGAATCCTATATGAGGAGAATTATGAAGATCCGAAATATCTCAATATCTTTCAAATAGATACACAGGGATCACCATCGCGGTGTTGACAAAGCTATTTATACTGCGATCGCATATAGCACGAGGCCCTGCACGGTGACCAGGAACTAGTTATATTGACTAGGGAAATCTTCAATAAACCCTACTCATGATATGCTCAGTGACATGATTTGTAAAAAATTATTGGATGGTCTCAAATAGCTTGTGTTACGTTGGCTGCAGAATTGAGTATCCAGAGGAGAATATTTATAGTAGTCTTTTATCAGTTGAGTGACCTGGTAGGAAGCCTTGACACCAAACCAGCTTGTCTGAACGTAAACCTGCTTCCACGGACCTTAATCAATTAGTGTTGTCTTGAGCATGATGACCAAGTTTTACAATCTCTAAGCGTTCTAAGGGTAGTTTACTTTGGAATATCAGAAATCCAAACCTCTAGAAAGGTGCTACAGCCACACCGGCGCCCCTCCTAGAGCCACACCCTGCCGCCTGCCTTAGAAGGTAAAGCATGCTCTAGATAAGGTACGGCCCTGCTGAGGCCGGCAAAGGGTGTGGCATGAGCGGAGACCGGTGTGGAGGAAGCTTGGCTGGTGTGGCAGTAACGTCCTTCAATCCTTATTCGTTCAATTCTTTTGCTGATCTTTCGCCACGTGAGTAAGAAATACATCCTCTGAACGCACATACCAACACGCCATCCTCACATGAGTAGTTCATCAACAATGAGCAATTTCCCTATCTACATCATATGAAGAGGTGTATAATAACCTAATCCTTACTCGACTATTGATCAAACTCAAAGGAACAGTAATCCATGCTTGTCGATGTCAAAAATCCAACCTCGTAAAAGATACGGACTCATCCCTCACATGACGAGAACTTCAAAGTTGTGTATAGATTTCTGACTATCTACTCATAGACTACAAGTATCATATCGCGTCTCTGCAAATTTCGACGAAGATTTATGTCCCAACGTCACTGTTAAGGCACAAACAGGGATCTGCATCTACTCGCATTCCACCGCTCCCGCCAAGAGTATACCCACCAGGGGTAAATCATCTTGAGTAGTGCGACAGTAGGATCTTTCCGTGAACATCATGATCTTGAGAGGATTGCCATTATCATCACTTCGATCATTGCGACCGCTGACCCTGTCTCCTCATGTCATTCCTCCTATCCACATAACGCGTTTGTCAAATCGTCGCGTCTTTGCTAGCACCGCGTCTAACACAATACCAAACGGGGACAATCCCAATGTCACTGGGCCTCCTAGTAAGATTTGCTTGGTTCCTTACGGCTCGGCGAAGTTGCATATTGCCGACTTTCCTATTTTAATCCGGGGTCCTACCCTATTGTATTTATGTGGTGTTTTGACAATGACTTAAATACGCAAGCGGAAAGCATGGACTAAGCTACAACTTAAGTTTTCATTCAGCAACTTGCTCGGAGTAGTAATAATGTTTCACGCGTCATTATTGTCAAGGTACTACCGTTTGAATAGACTCGCATATTATCAAACATAGTTTAGTACATTCACAAAAGGAAACTGACATTGAAAAGCAAACAAAAGCCCTGGCCAACCAATACACTTTAGGAGAAAGCGACTGAGCCCCTAATTCTCCGGGAAATGGCCATAGCCGATCTCTGGCGCAGCCACAAGCTCCTCATCTGATGGCCACACCGTCTTCCTTCCTTGTTGCCTTTTAGCGGTGTCGGGTTTCTCTCCGGCGTGCGTTGCGCGCACAAACTCAAGGTCATCCTTTCCGTGAACATAGCCGTGACTAGCGATATGAGTTCCGCGAAGGAGCTGAGCTTCATCCTTGTAGCAAAGGGTCACGTGTGGACCCAAAGGGTCTTTCTGGCGTACGCCGTTGATGCTGGTTGTATCATGGACTTCGGACCTAGCAGGACATACATGCCGAATTAGTATCTAGCCAGAGCTTTGGAAAATGACTATGTCCCTTACCTAATAAGAACGGCTTTGGGATAAAGCTTTCTGTCTCTGGCTGTTTGATATGCCAAGGCCAGTAGCTGGCGCAGTCTGTCTTGGTCGGTTGGCAGCATACCCCGATAGAAGTAGTATTTTACCATGTTGACAGTAGACATGCTTGCTTGATGCTGGTAGTATAGTTGTAGGGTGATTGATATATTTGGTGAGGAGAACAAGTATGCTTAGTGCTGATTTGGAAGCTTTTGGGCAAATAAGTGACTATGATGAGCAGTTGCAGAATGAAAACTGAGTCCAGTTCAAGTCCAGGTTGTTCTTGCTCTTATAGAAATCTACTGCCTGTCACCGGAGCCTTGCATGGGCAGTGTAGCGCTTAAGAGGCCCATAAAGCGTCGAATGACAACTTGCACTTCCCTGTCCAGGATCTCACTCCCTGAAGTTATTCCCCAGCCCATCGTGTTCATCCTCCTAAGAAATATAAACAGGCAAGCATGGCCAAACTGTCGAATCCTGGCGGCTTTTTCAATCGGGCGTGTAGCCCATAAATCTTTCTGATCCAACGGATAGCCTGTTTCTACTTATGGCGGAGTATCGAGGAACTATAACCGCGTACTTTTAAGGGGTGAGTGGTTGATCTACTCCACATGTTGCTGTTTGAAGGTCGCCCGGCCAATCGTTTACGCGCTGCGTTTCGGACCCGGACTTACTCATATACCGTCTCAGCCAATCCCGTGACTTCTCCTGCTATTGTCGCCCAGCACCATCCAAACTAGCGCAGACAACCTCTCGGAACACGGTGCATAAGTAATTCCCTACCGTTGGATCAACTCCAATTACATACAGCGGCAATGAGAGGATGGTCACTCTCCTCGCTCAGCTTTTTCTGCCCTCGCACTTCGTGCTCGCCCATCAATAGTCCCATCCTCCTCAGGACGCGTATATTCTTGCCTCACATCAAGCCTCGCAGTGCCACCCGTGCCACCGCGTTCAGCACAATGACTGCGGATGATGAATACAAGTCCCAGTTCTTGTACGAACCCATTGAGGGGGTGGAGAGACTTGAAAACTATCAGCCAGGGGGATACCATCCCATACAACTTGGAGATCACCTACAAAGTCGATATCGAGTAATCCATAAGCTAGGCCACGGCACTTACTCAACCACGTGGCTGGCCCGTGATGAACAGCACAACAGATATGTTGCGGTGAAAATCTGTACTGCTGATTCGAATCCGAAAGAAGTTGAAATTGTAAACACCCTCACTCGTCCGCATTGTCCTGCAGACAATGATTTTTCAGGCAAGACAATGCTCCCTTCGATTCTAGACACTTTCTCCATCCATGGTCCAAATGGAGAACATGCTTGCTATGTTACATCTCCTGCCAGGGCTAGCCTCTCTGATCTGAAAGATGGGTCATGGGTCCGCTTATTCCAGATCAATGTCGCCCGGGCTTTGGCTGCGCAACTAGTCCTGGCGGTAGACTACGTGCATGCCCGAGGGTTCATCCACGGTGACCTTCACATGGGCAATGTCCTGCTCAAAACCCCACCCAGCTTTGATCAGCTCTCACCCGAACAACTATATGAAAAGTATGGAGCGCCCGAGCTCGATCCGGTGATTCATCTAGATGGTAAACCGCTTCCTCCTGGTGTTCCATCCCACGGCATTGCACCCATCTGGCTTGGAGAACCAAGCGAGAAAATCACACTTCCAGAGGCAAGAATCCTACTTACAGACTTTGGCGAGGCCTTTTCCTCCAAAGAAGCAAAGTCTGAATCTCACACTCCGCTTGTCAGTCGTCCTCCTGAAACTCGCTTTGAACCAAATAAACCACTGTCATTTTCATCAGACATATGGTCTCTTGCCTGCACCATATGGAATATTATTGCTCAGAGGCCACTTTTTGAAGGATTTCTCGCAACGGAAGACTACATGACCCGTGAGCATGTAGACACTCTAGGTATCTTGCCTCCTGAATGGTGGAACAGATGGAACGCGCGACCAGAGAATTTTACCGAGGATGGGAGGCCAACTAAGCGGAATCCATATCGCTCCTGGGGCGATCGGTTTGAGGATAGTGTACAGCTGCCTAGACAGGAAGTAGGAATGCCTTTGTTTGATGCAGAAGAGAGAGGTGCTATCTTTGCGATGTTGCGGCCGATGTTTGCTTTTAGACCGGAACATCGAAGCACGACGAAGCAAATTCTTGAATCGGAGTGGATGGTGAAGTGGGCTTTGCCGGAATATGAGAAGATTCGAAAAGGTGATTAGGGTATGACCTGGGTTGTAGTGTTAAAGTGGCTCTGGGGTTTGAATAGACTCCGTGTTGTGTTTAATATATATTATATGACCAGTGTGCTCCGCCGTAATTGACTTTGCTAGAAGATTGTATGATGCCACTACTATGGACACGGCATGGTCGATACACCCTCCACTAACCAGTATTTCTCGACATATTCCTAAGATGATTCACCGAGACATATATATATTGTCATTTCGCACGAGATAGGAACCTATGAGGAGTAAGCCTCCATTGTGTGGCCGTGCCAAGACTTGGTGCACACGAATGCATACGTCCTTGTGCAATGCGTGTCAGAACATACATACCATTGGTCCGACTAGTACAGATGCTATCATAACTTGGGAACATAATTACGCGGTACTAGACAAGTGACTACCTTCAATCGTTCTACTTATGCATAAGCACTAGTGTGTGACGGCGTACAGCTACCAATATAAAGCAGGGAGCAATCCTCGCCGTCCCACCTTGCCTTTGCGTCTCTTCAATCCCTTATTTCTTCAAAAGCAGAAGCCTACCAGCCTTAACTCACTTTGTACTACTCTCTTCAATATGCCTTCCACTGTGGAGTCTGAAGACCGGACATACGTCCTCTCCCACCGTTCCAAGCAAACAGAAGAACACGAGCGTCTGAACCGACAGCACAATCTCATCCAGCAGACCTTTCTCAATAATCAGCTCATCCACCCTTCCATTCCTTTGTCGTCACTGAGGGGTAGAGTTGCAGATATTGGCTGCGGAACAGGTATCTGGCTGCGGGAAGTAGCTCAGTTCTTATCATCACCAGGTCTTGAAAATGGAACTGGGGCCTCTGCAACCCCCACCCCGTCTCTTGTTGGCTTTGACTTGAACGCAGCCGCATTCCCCGAAAACCCCACCCCGGGAATCCAACTTGTGCAGCACGACTGCACTAAACCTTTTGACCCCCGCTATCATGAGCAATTCGACCTGGTCAATATCCGTGGCCTTGCTTACGCTATCACAGAGGAGAAGCTGTCTCGAGCGCTCGAGAATGCATTGCAACTCTTGAGTAAGTTGTTACTCCATTGCTAGTTACCAGCTTGGTATGCTTCGCGTGGTTAGAATCTTATTTTTCCGTTGTACAGAGCCAGGAGGCTATCTCCAGTGGACGGAAAGCGAAGCCCGACTTTTCAAACTGTTCCCAGAAACACCAGATATGCTCAAAGCACTGGAGGTCATTGATCTTGAGAGACGGGCTCGTGATCTGGTACCTTAGTGAGTATTTACCTACTCACTGCTTTTCTCTCACTTCTGCCGTCGCCTAATCACATCGGCTTACTTGTGTACTTCTTCGTTTTCTTCAGCCTGCCGCATTTCATGCTGCAAAGGATTCTCTCACTCAAAGGTTCCAATGGAGAAGGTGCCCTAAATGTCCTTCATTTCAATCTACGCCCCGGAGGTTTCTGTCAGGAAGATGCCGATCCAGACGTCTGCCTGCAATTTTCAGACCTTCTCACAGACTCTGTCAACCTTTTTCTGCACTCTGCACTCATCAGAATAGAACAACAGCAGTCTCAGAATGGAACTGCAGTTGAGAACGGCAATGTCGGGAAAATAGAATTGGATGAACTGCGTAAATTGAAGACTTCTGTTAGTGAGACTATCGAGGGTAAACATGTCAGAATGGGTGGGATCTTTCCTCATCTTGTGGCGCAGAAGAGATGATCTGGCGGTGTTGGAGATGTATCTGAACTAGTGAATTACATTCTGCACCAAATATCCTCAGAACATGCTCGTTTGATCGATGTAGCGAAACTTCAGTATTTAGGAGGTACATTGACAAAGCCTGCATTCGAGATAATAGACGCCGTGAATTTGCCCCTTACTGCTTGCTGGGCGGCCACTTTGTGGATATCAAAGTGCCAATAATATTCGTAGCAAATAGTAGTCTGTGTAAATTTCAAGTATCTACGGTGGACTAGGCATCTCCTTTGCTCCAGGAAGGCGCTCAATGCCATGTTCGGGTGTTGTATAGAGCTGGTGCTGCCCGACCCATTGCTTCACTGCGCGGAAATCGCGACATTTATGGTGCCTGCGAATGCCACTTAATGTTAGCTTTGTACCTGTATACTTCCGTTCTTTCAAGCACGCTATGTGTATCGGAAGGTTGATGGGCGGAAAGGGGCGCGGGAGGGCGGGAAGGGGGGAAGGGGGGAAGCTTCATACACATTGAAGTCTGGAAATGGGTCTTTATGCCCCTTCACCCACACATATGTCAGGATACCAACGTCCGCATCACACATCAACTATTTGGCAGATAACAACAATTAGCCAGTTCTTCCTTTGAGTGTCAATGATGGCGATGCTACACAAGACACCCTTCTGGCTTACCTTTTGTCGTAGGATATCAATGCAATGATCTGTTTTCAGGTATTTGTCAACATTTGTTCAATCATTCATTGTGTTCGGACGTCTTCTACTCATGACTTACCAAGATGGTGCCGTAGAATCTGCGGGCTATCTTCCCACGGACCCGGCTTGTCCCTATAATAATCCTCGTAACTCGCTTGGCGGAGCATATTTAAACAGTGTAGCTGATGCAAAACTTCCACCGAGCCCATGTAACCGCCACCAAGTTCGTGAGACAGTCCAACTGAGTATTCGGAAGCATTGATATTCTGAAGAGTTTGCTCATCAACATTGATGACGCCACCTGAAATAGACGGGTTGTAAGCCTCGTGTTCATTCTATCTGGGTCCATTCGGGATAAATCACCAGAAGCATAAGTTATATCGTCCCAGGCAGCATCGATAGCAGGACTTGGTGGCCCTTTGAAAGCATTGGGCTTTGCAAAGCTGCCGTCGAACTTTTCAATATGACCTGTGTTCTCGAGGGCCTCTAAGGCTGGAGAATCGATGGGTAGGTAGTCATCGCATTGACATGCGGCAGCTGTCTTTCGATGACGAGCTATTGTTGACCAAAGGTAGGCAGAAGCTATGAACAGAAATAAAGTCCACAAAGATAGAATCAAAGTCCCACTGGGGTGATACCGGCACCTTCGTGGTCTTCTCGTGGAAGGACTTCGACTGTCTTTGAGGATGTTTTCCTCGTCAAAACTTGATATGAGGCGTTCTTCGCTCTGTCTGTCTTCGATCCTGGCTCCGGCCATGACGATATCATGGGTTGATGAATGGCTGTGTGCGGTGGAGGTAGGAAGGAGTAGGAAGATGCAAAACGCAGAGATTGTTGATGGTGGGAGAAGGCAGAGCACCGGAGGGGATAACTCGGCACAAAATGTTCCGTAGATTACACACGAAATCGTGGGGGATTGCCTTGGAGAGAATGCAATGCAGAGGTAACAGGGAGGTGGAGGGGGAGTGTCCACAAACTAGCCAAGACTGCGTTTATCCTCGGAGCGAGCTCGACCTTCATCCGCCCTACCCTTCCATACTCACATCAATGCACCTCATCATTGATCTTAATATCACCATTGGGGGCCAAATGGTGCCGAATTTCCGCGCGTTGCAACGACAGAGTGCCTGGAAGTACTTGGCGAGAGTTAATCATGCATGATTAAATTGACTACTCGACATTTGGTGTGATCATTGGCCTTTGACCAACCGCTCCTGCCGCATCAGCAGCGAAGTCGAAGGCCCTAAACATCTTCATTTGCGAGATCCTGGAACAGTGAGATTTTAACTAGATACTACGCTAACCCCGCTTTGGAGTGAATGCCCGAACACGTCTACGATGGGCTGATGTGAGGATGGATGCATTCGATGCAGCCGCTCACGATTCCCTTGGCCCGGCGCCAACACAAAGGACTCCAGATCCGACGAGGTTGGTATGGAACCTCCTTGGCAAGCAGGCGTACACCAGAGAACATACAATAAGGCAGGGAGTACGGAATATATAAGGTTCGAGGTCAGGTTTGTGGTGTCCTTATGTGCTGGCGGATGCAATCAACTTCTCTACCCATCGCTTCCTCTTCCCTCCAAGCTCTTTGAACTCCAAATTATCATCCTCCTTAGTCTTTGACTTCCCACTTTATTTCAATATGCGTACTGCGTTGGGCGCACTCGCGGTCCTTATCACCCTGGCCAGCTCTGTCAGAGCGGCTCCTGTCGCAGCTCCATCCGAAGTTGAGGAGCGTGATGCCTCTGCCGTGCTGAACACGCGGTTCATTACTTACGAGGATGGGATCAATAAGAGAGATGAGGTTGAGGAACGCGATCCCTCGGCAGTGCTTAATTCACGGTTCATAACCTATGAGGACGCCATCAACAAGAGAGATGACGTCGAGGAACGTGACGCTTCCGCTGTACTGAACACCCGGTTCATCACCTACGAAGACGCCATCAGCAAAAGAGATGAAGTGGAAGAGCGTGATCCCTCTGCTGTGCTGAACAGTCGGTTCATTACGTACGAGGACTCCGTCAGCAAGAGAGACAAAGTCGAGGAACGCGATCCTTCGGCTGTCCTGAACAGTCGCTTCATCACTTACGAGGATACGTAAGTCCCTCTATCCCCTTCTTGGCACGGTCAATATGTGTACTGACATGGGCACAGTGCTTAAGCGAGGTAGTAAGCAGGCTTCACCCTCCGGGCTGCAGACACGCAAGCTAAAGCCACTGGTTTGCGCCATAAAGAGGGGTTGTTGTGGAAACTGGCTAGTGTGCGGGGGAAACTGAATCGGTCGATAGTACTTTTAGTTCAGGGTCTATAAACAGATCGATTTGAAGAATTCCCACTACTTAATCTGACACGGTCTCCTAGTGCGTAGTCAGACCATCGAATAAGGTGAAATCGCCGCTGCACTAGACCCATCCTTTCCCCGGAGTAATGAGAAACTAAGAATAGTGGACTTCCCTCGGGCCGCCTGACAAATGCTGTTCGAGAAAATGCTTCAGTTAGTAGCTTTCTTGGCAATTTCTATTGGAGACCCAGAGACACCATGATCCTTCGTATTTGTCTTCGAGTACCCTAAGCCGGATGGGCAGTGCAATACACTAGCTTCGCTGCCTTGAAGGAGTTGTAACCCTGCAGCGCAGCCCTCCCTCTCTCCCTCCACATTCATCCTTCCTAGCCTGACAAGGCCACTGTAATTTCTGCAGCCTTTCTCACAGGCCATTGTCACGTATTTGCAGGCGAATCCTTCCGCCCCCACCATTAGTATGATTTACCTGACGATGTCGACGTCCCTGTTGCAGACGTGGTGTGCCTCCGATCCTGGCGCATGGGGGCTATACAGTCGCTACAGTCAGACGGACGGTGGCAGACAGATGATGGGCTAACTTTGCATTTCTTCAGCCTGGCTGTCTCCTGTGCCCTCACGCCTCAGCCGAGAGACATGCATTCTTCCCTTCCGGGCTATTATAAGGGAATGGCTTTTGGCTGTCGCGCCTCTGCCATCATCAAGGCTTAACCCCCTCTTTCTCCATACCGCTTGTCTGCAAACTGATCCGGCAAGATGTTGTATTATGAAGGTCATGGTATTACCAGTACGGCCAAGGCGATCATTATTGTGACCACCATTCTAGGCGTCCTGGCCATTCTGGCGGTTGCACTCCGTGTCTACGCCCGGATATATTCCAAGCTCTACTTGGGTGCCGATGACTGGACAATTATCCTCGCCCTGGTACGTCCTATCACCATCCCATCCCATCATTCATGATGTTAACATTCAATGTTCGCCACTAGATTCTTTCTTGTGGGATTAGCATTATCATCGACTACACCGATGCTGTTACCGGCATCGGAGACCCTGAGTATCAGCCAACCATGGAGGCGATCATCTTCGCATTGAAGGTAAACTTCGCTTGCGAAAATGCTCAGATCGCCACAATGGGGGTCATCAAAGTTTCTTTGCTCTTCTTCTACCGGCGGATCTTCGGCATCTCCCGTCCGTTTGTCATGGCGAGCAATGTGCTCATTGCTCTGATTTCCAGCTTCACGTTGGCGATTGTCCTGGCAGTTATCTTCTCAAAATGGCCGGTCTACCTGCAATGGGATCCAACTGCCCCCTATGATATTAACGCGTCGGCGATCCTTATCTGCTACGTTGCAGGCAATAGCCTATTCGATCTTCTGACGCTGGCCCTTCCAATCGCTGCCGTACAGAAATTGCAGATGGATCAGTCAAAGAAGCTGTTTATGTCTGTGATCTTTGTCTTGGGAAGCACGTAAGTAGTCCTGACCTCCTTGGTCCTTCTGATAAATGATTAATTGTTGGGGTTGCGATAGCTGCATGGCGGCATCACTTGTTCGACTATACTATGCCGTCCAGTGGACTAAGGAACCAGCGACTATCAGTAGCATGTTTGAGGGTATGCTTTCCCGGGCTCCATCGCATTATCAATTCTTGTTGTACGCGTTTGCTGACGACGTATTCAATTCTTTGATAGTACCCTTCATTTATAACATTCTGTGGGCGCTTCTTGAGCCACCCATTTTCATTGTCGTGGGCTCCATGCTTACCCTAGGACCTCTGCTCCGTAACTGGCGAGGGCCCAAGCAATGGATTCGGCTTCTCAGCAGCAAGAAGGAAGGATCAACCAAGTTCTATGACTCACGCAGCCTCCCTCAGTCACATATGCGGTCGGCAAACTCTCATCAGCGTGGGCAGGAGAAGAAACTGACACCAAGTACCTCGAGCGAGGTGGAACTGTTGGAGGTGTGAAGCGTAATGCTGAATTGGGACAATCGTTGAAGCCGCTATCATCATCCTTAAAAATATGTAGTGTTAGTGTATGTTATGAAATCTGGTGGATTGAATTGTAGTCACATCGCCTCAGCCCAACCTATTCAGTATCACTGGAGCAACACTGATCTCATTTCGAAGGCGGGCTTAGTAGTAGCAATAGACCCCCACTGAAAAGCAGCAGTCTCAACCAAGAAGAGGAGTGACTGTGCCAGCTGTCCCTTCTTCGTGGCTATTTGAGGGAATATACAGGGGTGGTTGCGGACAGTGGGTCATTCGCGTCCGACTACTTGACTGGCTTCGAGCTACCCATTCCCGTTCTAGCAATAGACAGACTCACCCTGGCTGACTCCGTCCAACAATCGAGTTTTTATTCCACCCACTAGGTCGATGAACAAAGAACATCTTACAACACTAAAGTAGACTGTAAGCGCCGGCCTTCGGAGGAGAAGTAGGGCACCACTCGCTTTACAGGCATAAATACTTCTCCCAAACCCCCTCTTCCCAGCATCCGAACTAATCTCCCCTACTACCACTCACTCACCTCAATAACCCCCCTTTCCAATCCCTCATATACTTACTTCACTCAACATCATGACCGTCCCCACCGACAAAAAGAAGCCCGCCCTCGTCGTCGTGCCCGGCGCCTCCCAAAACCCAGCCCACTACGCCCACCTCCTGCACCTCCTCCAATCCGCCGGCTACGGAGCCTTCACTGGCCTCCTCCCCAGCATTGGCGCCCAAGGACAGGTCACGGCGGCCGACGACACCGACTACGTGCGCAACCGACTGATCCTCCCTCTCCTGGACGTCGGCAACCAAGATGTGATCCTGATCAGCCACTCGTACAGTGGAATGCCTGCTAGCGCGGCGGCGCGCGGACTCGGACCCGCCGACCGTGCCGCTCAGGGCAAGTCCACTTCGGTGCTTGGCCAGATCTTCATCGCGACCATTCTGCCTCGTGGTGGTGATGGACTGAGTGTTATTGATTCTTTTGGTGGAAATCTGCCTCCGCATATGTATATGGATGTATGTGCTCCTTCCTTCCTTCCCACATACCATTTTCAGTATTGACGAGAAGCAATGAATGAATAGAAAGAGCAAAACCTCCTCAAATGCGACGAGCCCAAGCCCCCTCTCTTCTACGACGTTGAACCCACCCTTGCCGACGCGGCTTGCCAGACTTCCCTCAGTCAGGGCCTCACTTCCTTCTCTAGTCCTTGTCCTGAGGCGAGCTGGGCCTCTGAGGCCTTCAAGGATAGAATTGCTTACATCCACACCACTGAGGATCGGGCGGTGCCGTACCCGGCCCAGACGGCTATGGTTCAGGCTACTGGGGCTAAGTGGATTACTAGGGAATTGGCTACGGGTCACAGTGCGCAATTGTCTGCTCCGGAGGAGTTGACGAAGACTATTTTGGAGTTGGTGAAGCAGTGGGAGTAGATAGATGTATTTATGATGAATCGGGTGTGCATTTAGCTGCGTGCAATGTTGTTTTGGAATGTAACAGAATTCGCGAAGGTTATTTAGTCCAATTTGTGGTTTTGATATGGGGATATGATCGATTGCATTGGCAAATAAAATGCTTTGTTCCTGTTGTCCTCTTGCTTATCCATCCTCCCGCTTCCTACAGGCACAACTGGAAGGCGTGTGCCCCTAGTGAGGGGCAGTGGGCCGGTGAAAGGAAGAGGAGGCGGGTAGTGGAGGACAACAAGCACAAGACACAGAAGGGAGCCCAGGGGTGTGGAGATTCCTGCTTGGTGTGCTGGCCAGTCGAGAAAGGGAGGGAGGGGTGTGGGAAGGAACAGGAGAAGGCTGAGGCTCGTTAAGACCAACGGGAACAGACAACTCCCAAGCAACTAGACTCCGCGGATAAACACTTTTGGAAGCTAGCTTAGCTCCGAGTACGCCGTACTTCTTCCTTCTGTTCGGTTATCAGCCCATCGCCAAGGATGAACTAAGGATGTCCCCGAGCGTCCAATCTAAGTGGGCCTGACAGATTTAGGGCAGGCGGGCGGAGGCTGTGGGAGGAAAGGGCCGACGGGACGAGATTATTTCCAGCCAGCCAGCTTAGTATACCAGATTATTACAGACATCTCAGTGTCTTTATTATCCTGTGACCCAATTAATGCAGTCATCAATTAGTATATAATGGGTGTGTTACATTGACTTACCATTGTCTGGTAGATTCACAATGGAGGGGAAGTGGCCGTCGAGCGCTAAATTAGATCGATATACCATGCTGCAGGACACACCCTAATTGGCCATTGAGCTACTGGCTAGTAAGACTAGCTAGTTAATGTTCAATTTAGGATAAGTGAGGAGAGACTTACGGGGTCGCATATCTGTCCCCTCTTCCGATCTACCCGGTTTTAGCGACACATGCATTAGCTTCAATAGCGCCGTTGAAGTAAGCATTGGAGACGGTTCTCTCTGCTGTCGATGGGAGGACATCACAGCCAGGGGCACATTGAACGGAACGTGTTAAAATTTGTTATCCACCCCTCTCCGTTTCTAATTGTACGGCTTGTCAGTTGTCTATCTAACCCCTCTTATTCTGCGTGTCAGAAATTAGTATAATTGGTCTACCCCAAAGTGGAGTAGGGAGAACAACGCTAATGTCCATAAGCGCTAATTTGTAGCGTTGCAGTCGTAGCAGTTTCTATTACTATCACTGAAGCTAGAATGATGCTTCGCTAAAGTACAGGCACATCGGCGAGAGGTTGGTAGTAAGACGGCGATAAGCACCGTGACAATCGGGTCAGACCTATTCCTCTTTAGACGCGGACCCTGTATGGTACTGATTACTGCATATCTCATCTTATTACTATCCATTTAGATTAATGTGCATGTCATGGAATCAGCCCAACCCTCGCCCCATTCCTCGAACAAAGCGTGAGCCCCAATCCCTCCACCCATGGTCCAGGGTCCCGACTCTCCAGGCCGCGGAACTCCTGCACCATCCGCACAAGTACATAGCTGACCTCCGTCAAGGCATAGCGCTGACCAATACAGATCCGTGGTCCGCCATTGAACGGCAAATAGCCCCAGCGCGGCTGCAGTTTCCCATCCTCCCAGCGTTCAGGGCGAAATACCTCTGCATCTGGACCGTAGATATCCGGTCGACGATGCATGGCGTAGACGTTGTAGCCGACGATGGTTCCTTTGGAGACGAAGACGGGGGAAAGGCCGTCTTTGCCTCCGCCTACAGGGAGGACAGTATCTTTGGCTGCTTCGCGTTCGTTGCGTGGGACGACAGGGTGAAGGCGCAATGCTATTAGTTCAAGTCAGTGACATCCAGCAGAATAGACAGGTAATGGGTATCCATACATTCATTCACACAGCACTGAACATACTTCAGACCGCGCAGCTCCTCATACGTCGGTGGCCGATCTTGCAGCGTTTCAACCTCCGCGCGCAGTTTCGCCCAAATAGCTGGGTTCTTCGCCAGCACGAAGAACATATTCCCAAGAAGACTGGCCGTCGTGTCTCGCCCCGCTAGAAGCACATTCATCAGTTCGTCCAGGATGCGCTGCTTATCACAAGTCCGCGACGCCAGCTCATGCGAGAAAATATACTTCCGCTTCGTGTCCAACGATTCATCTTCTTTCCTCGTCGCAGCCGCATAGACAGCCTCATCAACAAACCTTTGCACAAAGTCCCGACAGATTCGGTTACACTCCTCGGCCTTCCGATCACGAAAGATGACACCAAGCGGACCTAGCATTCCTCGCATCGGGATCGCCATCTGAGCATAATGAAACGCCTCCGCGAACCCAGCCTCCGAGTGACCCTCTTTCAACGCGCCCACCGACTGTCCGAACAGGAATTCCGTCGCGGAGTCAATCGTATACCGGAAGAATAGTTCCTGTAGGTCCACCGTGCTCCCATCCCTTGGAAGCAACGCGAATAAATCCTGGATTAACTCTTCCAGCAAACGCAGATCAGTCACCTGCTCGCGGGCGAAGCTCGGCCTGATAAGCGCGCGAGATGTGGCCCAGTGCTGACCATCCGTGTTGAAGATGCCTTCGCCCAGAAGTGGCTTCATTGCCTCGTAGCGGTGCTTGAGACTGTAGTCGTTGAAGTTGAGGGAGAGGACTGTCTTGATGTTTTCGGGCTCGATGGTCAAGATTGCACTACGGCCTAGTTCTTTGACGGTGAATGTGTTTCCGAATGTGCGGAATAGATTACAGCCTCGCTCAAGAATACGGTGCTCTTTCCTTGTGCGTATTGTGCTCAAGATGGTGTCCAAGCCTAGGAACGGGTCTTTGCTGAAGGATTGTGCGACTGTTTTGCAGCCATGCTGGCGGGCGAATTGGCGGCGCTTGACATAGCGTCGGAAGGATTCGCTGGCAATTACTAGAGCCGCGAGCAGGAAGATAATGAGTTTAGGTTGGATATCCATGATGGTTATTATGGATTTAAGGTATTGAAGCTGGAAAGTGAACGATAACTGCTTTCTGGGTGTTTTATGTATGCTGTTCAGGCAGCAGTGATGAGGTTGGATCACGTGGGCGTATATAAAAGGATTGGAGGTGAGAATTTAGCGTGACGATGAGTAGGAAGAATCAGGCAGCCGGTAATTGGTGAGGTCATTATTGAATGAAATTTGATCTGCAAGAGTGAATATGGAATATTGAGTGATGTTAATATCATCATGCAATTGGCAATCTATAGTGATGGCAAAATACCAGGTTCTGATGTTTAGGGGTTAAGTTGTTTCTGTGGCGCTGAATTATATAGCTTCCGCGTCTATTTGAGCTTATGTATCTCTGTCATTCTGTCAAATCCCATTTTGATTATCTAGCCGATGAATACTCCAGACCGCTTGTGTAACAAACGATAACATAAAATCCTATAAAACGTAGTATATATATTCTACTAGTCTTTGTATGTTTTCTCTCTAACTCAGTAAATGGGAAAGGTGATCGCTGCGGACTGGCTTCTCAACGATGATTTGCTGCACTATTTGGCAGTTTAAAGAAGCTATTAGCGATAACTAACCTTCCTGCATCAATTGGAGGTTTGACACATCCAGGGGTGAGTAAGGCAATCTCGAGCTGAAATGCGGTCAGGGACGTTTACGGTGAGCATTCGATCAATGAGATCCAATGCAGGATCTCCGATGGGATCCCAGTAAGGTGATGGATAATCAAATCTACCCATCTTTATCTGTTGTGCCAGGGTATATGGGTTTTCCGGGGTTTTAAGCTCGTCGGCAAATGGAGGAAATCCGCAGAGACAGATGTACAAAACTACACCCGAAGACCATATGTCTACCTCGAATCCATATCGGCGGTGGGGTGTCTCTACAATTATTTCTGGTGCCACATCTAAGCCAGATTAGCAATCGCCTCAATGGGTGTCCAGGGACTAAGATACATACAAGTGGGAGTTCCACACAAGGTTGTTGTCAATCCATCAGAAGCTGACTTCGCGCCGATCTTTTTCGCGAGACCAAAGTCACATAACTGGATTGAAAGGTGGTCGTCGCATATCAAGATATTCTCGGGTTTAATGTCTCGGTGGACCCATCCAAGTTCATGCTATTATGTATTAGCTTGGACCAGCGTAGTCTAGTGTCAAAGAACAAGTCTCGCCAGAAATATGATGGCAGATAATAACTGAGTGAATATATGCCGTGTTTCACCTTCGCTGAGATTTCCTCTCGATGTAATAGTGTAAAATAGTTCCCCTTTCAACGCGACACTTAAGAGAAGGCGAAAATCATTCCCCTCTAAATTTGCGAATGCATCTATCATCCTCACTAAGTTTGGATGATAGTGCTTCTGGAGCTCGCGTAGCAGTTGAATTTCACCGCCTATCCCCTTGAAATCCTTTGCTCTCAGGGGATTTCCAGGAGTTACACCTTCGAGAACCTTGACTGCGAAAACCATCCCTGTCACTCTGTCGGTGCAGAGGTGTACTGTGGCACTATGGCCATTCCCAATTTTCTGCGTTATCTTGTAACGCTGATCAAACCCGGTCTTTATGTTATACTGCTCCATCAGCTCTCCCAGCGAGACCTCGTCACTCGGTTCGGTTTCTGTTCCAGAAGCAGTTGCCTCTCCCTGCGGTAATTCACGTACGATCTGAGGTAGGCCACCCATAAGTCGCGAGGATTGCCGCTGTAAAGATCTCCCAGCAACCGCCTCATAATCAAGTGTTAGGCGCTGTGCTACATGTTGTAATCCTCTCTGGCAAGCTATGGTGAAAGCTCGACGCCCCGCCAAGCCGCGAGGCAAAACAGCACCATGATCGGCAAGGAAGACAGCGATATTCTCCTGTCCACTTCTCAAAGCCATAGTCAAGGCTGTGTCCCCCCATTCCGTCTCTGAAATTAGCTCTGCGCCTGCTTCGACGAGTATTCGAACGGCGTTAAGACTCTCACAGGACACAGCAAGCATGAGTGCTGTCCAATTGCTGGACGCTTTGTTGTTCACTCCGGCACCTTCACCTATTAGCACACGAATAATCTCTTCATTTCCCTTTCTAGCAGCTCTGTGTAGAGCAGTTTCATTCATGTAGTCTTGAGCATCGACCTCAGCTCCTAGCTCTAGTAATGTGCGCACATTTGCGACCTGGCCAAATGTCGCGGCCCGGATAAGGGCAGTCTCTTCATCGGACCCCCTACCTTCAATGTCATGACCGTTTGCAATCATTTGTCGAAGGATAGCTGGAAGGTCATAAACCGCGGCAAGCACGAGAGCTGGGCAGTTTCGAGGAAACTCCTGGCTCCAGTTGGGATAGCGAGCATTTGACAGACTCCACACTTGACTAGTCATCTCAACCGCCACAGGATTAGACCAAAGCCGTTCGAGGTCTGGCAAAAGCTCGCCTGCATCGATGAGGTTCATCTCTGAGCCCCAATGCTTGGCGGCATACTCAATGAAGGGATACTCTCTCATACGCTGTTCCATAGCGGTATCACTGGTACAGAAGCCAGTGGAGAAGTTCGGCAACACCAGATACGCCAAGCTAACTTTTGTGAGACTGATTCGGGCAGTCATCAACTTCGGCGCAAGGGAAATTTCAAAGTATTGTTGGGCGGTGTAGTGGATGATATTGATGGTTTGCGACTCTTTATCAACCGTAATGAGACCTCCACAAGCTGCGGTGAGGACATCTCTGTCCGGGAGGTCGTCGTCTTCAAGAGCCATGTCCTCCAATAGCTCTTGCATGGCATACATATGTTGAAGCTGCATAACTGTAAAGCTCTGACGGGCGCAGATAACCCAGAGCAGTACGAGCTCTGCCAGCTCCGCCATCTCGGCGGGCTGGTCCCGGATCCTTTTGAGGGCGTCTGAGTAAGTATCATTCAGAGTTCCTGGAAGAGAGGCCAAAGCCAAGCGCACAGCCTTCCGATTGATTTTCGGGAGAAGCGACTCGAGGTGTAGCTTAGCGAGAAGAAACCTAGTATCCACATATTAACGTCGTCAGTCCTCGGTGTATTATATTACTGGTTGCATACATTCCCTGGCACTCCCCCGTGATGGAAACAATGATGTGTCTTCTCAAGTCTGGCTCGGCTCGAAGATGCTTGGATAGGCTCGACAGCGTGGGGAGCCGTGCAATTTCCGAATCCAAGAATAGTTCAATGTCTTCGTCCCGAGCCGAGATTTCTACCTTTTCAAAGGAATTGAAATATGCGTCAAAGGTTGTGGAGAAACGTGAGCTACACATAATTCTAACGTTTGAGCTAACGGAACTAATGGTGGATAGAAACCACAAAGCGTCATTCTCACTCTCGCTGTATTCGTCTAGAGCATCGATCACGATGAAGGTCGTTGCATATTCGAGGGTCATTTTGGTGAATATATCGAATAACTCCTTCCAGGTAGGGCGGGTACCAAGTTTCTTATGCGAATCATAAAGCGAGGATATTTCAGATGGCACTGTCCCGCTTTTCGAGTGTCGAAGTACTTGCAACAGCAAGCTTGAAATAAGAGCAACAAGGGTCTGTTCGTTTCGGCGTCCATAATTACAATAGATGTACGTACAGAGAGCGTTTTTCGAGGCCAGCTTATGCTCGAGCGTATCAACAACGATGGACCTGATACGATGCATTAGCTGTCAATGCAACATCTAAGGGACATATTCCAAGCAAATCAAAGAACAATAATAGATATACATATGAATGAAAATGGAAAAATAAAATACTTAGTCAATGTACTAACATTAGTCGTGTTTTACCAGCGCCAGCTAGCAACCTGAAGTTAGCTTCCCCATAGTGTAAAACTCCGAGTACTTACGTATGCCTGGACACCAAAGCATGCTGGTATTTCCTTCAAGCCAATTACATACTCTCTCGTGTTTCATAAACCAGCCACCAGTTCCCGCCTGCACGCTCTCTAGGATTGCATCATGTTGCTTGCGGAAGGGCAATGGGCTAAGCCAGAGCAAGATCCTCTCGTTTAGATCTTCCTCATCCTTCAATTGTGTTTGGCTGACCTTCTGTCCGATTTCTGTAAGTTCTCTATGCGATGACTGCACCATTTTTCTAACGTCCTGTAATTAGCACTTTACCAAATATTGAAGACGATCGAGAACCTTGTGAGACAGGACACCGTACATCAGGTCATTCTGTAAGACGAGACTGAGACTACCCTTTAGTCGCTCCAAGCAAGCCAGCTTCTCCGTGATATCCTTTTTTGTGAATGGCCATGTCAAAGACAACGATCGTTGACCGAACTTTGATTGCGGACAGAGCCGAGAGATGATGTCTTGCAGCACACTCTGAACAAGAACGAGGAGACCATCAAGACCCACAAGAGACTCGGTCAATATGGACTTTCCCATGCCTAAAGTTACGGCCGCGTCCTCAGCATCATCAATACGGTCTCTAAGCATTTCGAGCAGGTAGGTGGTGCTTCGTATCTCATCCCGCAACTGGAGTCGGTCTGCTGCTCCATGTTTGATTTCCCTGAGATAGCGGGTTGTGGTGGCTGCCAGTTCAAGGACGGCTATTACACTTGCGGTGATACTCAGAGGGTCGCTCATAGTGCGTGAGCAAGCACTGCCAGGTCAGTTCTTGCATCGAATGATATCCTGAAGGTTATATCCTGCCGGTCGAATAATCGGTCGTGTTATTAAGACTTGGGGGCGTTAGGCTACGCGAGAGGTTCAGCTGAGTGAGGGGTATTGGGTACTCTTAACGGCCCGATGCAACGGGATGTGCGGCTACAGCCAGAGATGCTATCAATTCAAACGAGACAAGGAATGAAAACAGCCCTAAGAACGGTACTAAAGACCAGCAGTCAAGGATATCCACTTTTAGCATATGGCCCGCTTTTGTAGGTTCCACCCGGCTGTCCATGCAGTAATAGTACTACCATCATACCAAAGATATACTTTCCAATCCAGTGCGGTTTTGAACATCGCAAAGGGTTTCGATGATATAATTCAAACGGATGATCACTATACTGT